GACGTTAAAAGTAACCGGTTTTGATACCAGACAATTGTTGCATGAGATTGTCGGAAGCATGGCGTGTATTGCGTCCCCCAGTAGGTTTGAGACTCCAAAGCATCGCGTGAACGTGATGTATGCTTGCAGTTTTGAAGTCTGCAAGATGCAGAGAATGTAGCTTAGGAAGGACGATGAGGATGAGAGCGGCATACGCTGCATATTCGCGCATGAGAAGAGCGTCTCGAAGGTAGTCGCTCGAGACTAGGCTTTCGCCTTCCAATGTTTTCATGGCTAGGCCGTACATGGCCTCGTCATCAAAGTGATTGTCACGGGTGATCCAACGTTGGCCTTCTCTAACGTCCTCCTCAGGCGACGGTCCTAGTCTGATAGATGTTACACGTCGTGCCAACCGTCGGTGTTTTGTAACGTTGAGACAAAATCTATCAATTCGTGGGAGTCTGTCGCCCGAACGAATGAAGAGATCTACATGTCTGTATAGGAATGGAACCACAAGAGCATGCAACCTCCTGTTCAGCTGACAGACTGCATATAGTGCTGGTTGGTCCAGATAGGAGTAGACATACTCCATGAGCTCCGCGGGCAGATGTGTGAAAGATGCCATGGTTCTGAGTGTAGTGTGAAATGTTGATGCGCAGAGCAGGATGACAGAAGGATGCCTAATGATGGAAGGGGCGATTCGCGGGGTGGAGGCCCGTGCACACCAATCACAAGTAGGGTGGGTAGACGAACCACGGCACTTTGCGAATAGGATTTTGCACTTGAAAAAGAATATTAAAGAACTAAATCATAACAAAAAAGTACAGATGTTCTACTTTCAGGGAGACTTGAAAGTTCATGGGAAAATGGTGTAAAGATAGATTTAGCTACGGTTCTCCGCGGCGGCTTCCAGGACCCACTCTTCCGCAAAGCCGTGAAGGATGAGGCATAGGTCGAGGAAGGGGATACCTCAGCTTTCTCATAGCAAAGCAAAGACAAGAGCAGCTTGACTTACTCTCAGACGCTGTATTCGATAAGTAAGCGCCTAGCAGTGTAATAGATACTAGTACCCGCACCAAGACTATAAAAGCCTATACTATCGCATCTGATATGCGCGGTCAGTTGCGAGGGGAAGCGAGTGGACATGTGTAAGTGTAGTGATTGGAAGAGATACAGGGTTCATCGGCCGGCTGTAGGAACGTTCGCTCGATCGTCAGAGTTGCCGTTCGATTCGAGGGATAACCTTGGAAGTTGCTTTTTGCTTGGAGCCTGCGAACCATTGCTTAGCGGACCGGCAGTACTGCCCGTCAACGGCATACAGTGCATTAGCGATTATCTGCGACCAACGAGTGTCGGCGGGTTCCCAATGACGAGAGAGGAGTGGGGTGGGGTGCATGACGGACATGAGCACATGGCGCAGCTGCACACCCCTACAATCCGAGGAGATGGACTAGATGAATCCGGCTGTAGGTAACAGCACCGCTTGCCGGGGCGACGGAGACACTGTGCTGGTCGTGGGGAGCAGAACAGGCGCAGGGCTTCATGCCTCGGTCTAACATCGGAGCCGTTGGCCGGTGCTGAGAGCGAGACGAATCAGGTGAGCGTCAATTCAGCAACAGCTCCGGTTTTCTCCATGCTCGACCGCTTCGGCAGCGTCACAGGCACAGCGACCACACTTGGACATCCACTTCCCCGCAACCGACCATAAATCGCTCCTCCCCCGCCATCGAAGAGGCTACCAATCTGAGAACAGGCGCGCGCTTCGCTTCATCCCACGCTGCAACACCGTGAGCCGCTTTGACGTCACACACACATACACACACCGTCCGACCGTAGCCGTGACACGCGATAAGACGGCCGCCGCCCTTTCATCCTTTGGAGGGAAACACCCGAAACACGCTGCAAGATAGACCCGCTATTTAGGACGAGGAGCGCGAGTGGGTGGACACCGAGCTTCACTTCACCGCCTTTCCAGCGCAGCGGGAGATGCACGAGGACCGACACACCTCCAGCTCAGGAACAACAACCCCGTCAAACACCATGACGACCAACAGACCCTTCTTCGGGGGGTTCCTCGCAGCCTTCCGAGCCCAGCCCGCGCTCCAGAAAGCCGCAAACTCGCAGGCAGCTTCCGTCGCCTCATATTCCCACAACGCCACATCCTCGCAGACCCAGAACCGTGAGGCGTCAACACCATCAACACGCACAATAACTGCAAAAGCGCGGTCACCCTCCCCTGGTGCAAACAACGCGTCAGTACAAGGGACCAACCACTTCCAACCGACACGGCAACATGCACCGCCCTACCACCGCTCCACATCACCCACGGCGAAAGCCTTCCCGATACCAGGCGCTTCACAAAGAAACAGACGAGGATCAGACAGCTCCTCGGAGGGCTTTCACGAGGTCATGGGCGCGGAGAAGTGGTACATCGGCGGGCGGACGGCCACAGGCGAAGAAAGATTCTACAAGCTGGGCATGGTGAAGAGGCATAGAGAGTGCAGATCGGTTGAGCTTGGACAAGCTCAGTATATAACACGGGCCCTCGCTGTTCCGAAAATCATGACTGCATCGCTGGCGTTTTGGGATTTGTTTCTGGTAGGTACACGGCTCTGTCACTTCAAGGCCCCTTTTAGATAACACATGGACAAAGTCAGGTCCTTCTGTTGAATGTACTCCTATATTCGGGCTTCACAGCTCGCACTTTCCGCACAGACTTCTTGGGCTCCAACATGGGTGAACTATCGACCAGGCCGTATTAGCACATGAACGCATCGTGAACGCCAAGCAGCACGGCACAATTTGACCCGGACATTCTTTCACCGCGCGACCAACACCAGCATCGAGTGGCGAGTCTTGCCAATCACATTGCACACATTGCTGCATTCGCGGAGTCGGCATTCATTCCGAGTTCGGAACTGGACATTATGACGCCGATACCCTGTCACGCTACTCCCACCTTTCGGATGTCACAGCCCTATCTGCTAGAAAATCTTCACTTGCTGCCCGGAAAAGCAGCAGGCTAGGGACAACAACGTCCGCCGCTTGATCTGCGCTTGCAACGCTAACGCAACGAGATAGGCTCAACATGTGGCCAACTGCAACAGAATTAGACTCCTTGAGTCACCCTCGCTCCCTTTTCCGTGTGTCTGGTGGTTGGGCTTCATATATGTGCAAGCTGCTCGCGTGCCTCTGTAATTTTACGCTTGCAAGTCTACTGTTCTTCCGTTTGTTTGTCCATACCTTCGTGCGGTATATTTCTTCGGCTCTTGCCTTTTCATGAACACACATTATGGCGTCCAACAACACCCCGGCTCCGGCTGTACCTGCTCCAGCTCACATCCCCGAGTCTGAGAAGCAAACGCAGTATGCCTCCATCATCCCAGAAGACCGTGGGGAAGGTCGCCTAGATCTCCAACGCACCATCTCCAGCCATGCAGACATGGCAGACGTGGGCTACATTGCCACAGGTGACGCGGATGAAATCTACAACCGCTTTTCCGGACGCCGCAAGGCCATCATTGTAGCCGTCGTATCCTTCTGTAGCTTCTTGGCTCCTATATCATCCACCACGGTCTTGTCCGCGGTTCCTGAGGTAGCAGCTACATTCAATACAGATGGTTCGATTATCAACGTCTCGAACGCTTTGTACATGCTGTTTATGGGACTGAGCCCGTGCTTCTATGGACCGTATGGGAATATTTACGGCAGAAAATGGGTACGCATTGACCAGCAGATGCTCTTGATCTATGGTGCTGAAAGCATCGGATAAGCAATATGGATTGAACTAATTTTTGACGACAGGTCTCTGTAGCAAGCGCCACGCTCTTCACGGGCTTCAGCATTGGAACAGCCCTAGCACCAAACCTTGCGAGCTTCTTCGTCTTTAGGATATTGACAGCTTTTCAAGGCACTGCCTTCTTGGTTATCGGTAGTGCAGTCATTGGAGACATCTACAAACCGGTAGGTCGTCTCTTTCCTTTACGAAAACCTAAGTTCTGCTGTGTATCCTGATGACTCCTGGTATACTTCCACAGTACCATGGTGCACAATCGGGATATTACACTGTAGCAGTATACCCAGAAGGATATGTTGTATGTCTCAACTTTGAACTAACATACCCCCAGACCGAGCGCTCGACAGCGCTTGGATGGTTCTTGAGCGGTACACTCATTGGGCCAGCCTTGGGTGAGTATTTTCCCTCAACCACAAACTTCATCACTAATACACACAGGCCCATTCATCGGCGGTATCATCGTAACGTTCCGAAGCTGGCGAGACATCTTCTGGCTCCAAACAGCTCTGGCCGGCGCAGCTACCGCCTTCTGCTTCTTCCTGCAGCCCGAAACCATCCACAAAAAACGTGCCACCGAGCTAGAAGGCCTCCCTCGGACGCAGAAAGCAAAGAAGATGTGGCAATGGCTGAATCCATTCCGCGTCATTGTGCTGTACCGATACCCAAACCTGCTTCTCACAGTGAGTATTCCGCCTTGAACGAAATCAGTGTAGGAGGCTAATACAACACAGGCACTCGCATCCTCCTCCCTAGTCTGGAACATGTACTCCCTCCTCACACCCATCCGCTACGTGCTCAATCCCCGCTTCCAACTGACATCGCCCCTGCAATCTGGGCTCTTCTACATCGCACCCGGCTGCGGCTACCTGTTTGGAACCTTCTTCGGCGGCCGCTATGCCGACCACATTGTCAAGAAGTATATCCGCAAGCGCGGCAAACGCATCGCTGAAGACCGGCTACGCAGCTGTGTTTTATTCCTCGGCGGCGTGATCCCGGCTTGCATGATCATCTATGGCTGGAGCATTGAGAAAGAGGTGGGCGGCGTTGCATTGCCGGTGCTCATGATGTTTCTTCAGGGTGTTGCGCAGTTGTTTTGTTTTCCTAGTTTGAATGTCTACTGCCTTGATGTTATGCAGGAGAGGAGTGCTGAGGTCATTGGTAAGTCCTGATTTCCGCCTATTTCAACATATTCGTATGAGCTAATACATCAATAGCGGGCAATTACTTCATGCGCTACATGTTCGCGGCGGGTGGTTCAGCTATCGTGCTTCCAGCCATCAGAGGCGTCGGAGTGGGATGGTTCTCGACGATTAGTGCGTTGTTTCTGATGGCGGGCGCGGCGGCTACGTGGGTCACTGCAGAGTACGGCAAGCAGTGGCGCGACTCCATTGATGAGAAGAAAGCTGCGCGAAAGGATGCTGATATCGAAGGGTAATTGTTGTCTTGCATGGCGTTGGTAAAACGGCGCATTGGACGGTGTTTGGGAGTTTTAGATACCAATAGACTTAATACATCCATAATATCATTAACTGCAGACTTACTTTCAATACCACACCCATACTCACCAACCGTCGTGAAAGTTGATGCTGACCACCCGCAAAATCCCGCAGGTCCTGATTGGTGCCAAGCCGCGCCCATCCTCGACCCATCCCGTCCGCAGAACTTCGAACATTCGTCACCGTCCAACATCGCCAACATCACGAATCTCCCCGCACACGCCTCACACACGATGTCGCCCCCTCACCATGGCAAGACGCCTGCCGCGTTCGTACGTTACAACGATTTCGGAGCCATTGGGGCGCTGAGAGAGTAGGCAGGGCTAATGAGGTGATGCAGAGTATGCGCAGCCCGTACGCGGCGTACAGGAGTCCGTTTGGTCCTCAGTACGTACACATTTCTTCTGGGTTCTTGGGGAAATCGAGGGAAAAAGCAGGAATTAGCGACGCAGCTGGGATAGACCGGGCTCTGAGAAATAGGCGGAATGGCGAGCACAAAAGAAGGAAGCAGGAAGAAGACACACACATATACCACACGGCGCAGTGAGGCTAACATGTTACTTTGTCTAGATACACCATTCCCCGCAACTACCACGGCATCACCGCAAAGCACGCTATGAAGGCGTACGTCCCACCACACATGTCCCATCCCCCTCACACATTCTAACCCGCCCACAGTGGCGTCCTAGCAGCCGGCTTCGGCGGCGCAGCAGGCTTCTTCGCCCTCTTCTTCTTCGCCGAGGTACCGCGCGTCCGCGAAGACATCATGAAGAAGATCCCCGTGGTCGGAAGCTACTTCAACGTCGAGATCCCGCCGGAGGACAACCCGTTTTAGATGGGTTGCATTGGAGCTGGGGTGCGGAGGATGTACATTATGGTGGTGGGAGAAGTTATAGAGTAGTGGAGTGGCAGTGCTGTGTTTTAGCGGCTAAAGAATAGACCACTTTTAAGTTCACGGGTGTGATATTGGTGATGATATGTCATGTGGAGGGCTGATGCTTTCTTCTTAGTGTGCATGGAAACGGTCGCAGATACCATGTCGTGCATTGCTTTCATTGTGTCGTAGCCGGCATAAGGCGCTCTAACATTCTTTGATGTGCTTTTGCTCCATGACCATCGCTGTACGCATTCATCACGGTTCAAAACGAAGTCGTCACTCTGCCCGTCTAGTTTGTTGGCAGTCTTCCAACCACCTCCTCCATCTCGGCATCAGTGTAGATCCTGAAGCCCTTGTCCTTGGTGACGCTCGCCAACTGGACGTTCTTGCTGTCCAGCTTCTCCTCCATGACCTGCTTCAGCGTCTTGAGCACCAGCACCTCCGCCTCGGGCAGGGTGAGCGACTTGTGGAACTCGTTCTGCAGCTCTGCTTGTGCGCCCTCGGAACCAGATCCAATGGCTTTGGCGTCGTAGCGGTAGAAGGTACCGGAGGGTTCGGCATGGTACCTATGCAGTCATTAGCCACCTTCCCCAGTTCTACGTATCTTGTGCAACATACAGACTCGGGCCATCCTCATCGTATCCCGCAATCAGCAACGCCACACCAAACGGCCGACTCATAATGCTCTCCTCGCCCTCTGCACCCTCACCGAACCGCAGCGCCAAATCGCATATCGCCTGCGTGCAGCTCTCGACTCTCAGCGGCTCGTTGTAGTTGAAAGCGTGGTTCTGGCTCTCGACACGCGCATGCTCGACCATGCTTCGTGCATCGGCTTGCAGACCCGACATGGCACATCCGATGTGGCGGTCGATTTCGACAATCTTCTCGACGGAGCTGGTCTCGAGGAGGGTGGAGGTTACGCGCTTTTCGACGCCGAGGATGACGCCCTCGCCGGTTGCAACCTGGCCGTGTGAGCATGATGTGTGGGGTGGAGAGAGATGGGGTGCATACGCCTATTGCTGTTGAACCGAGCTTGATGGCTTCTAGGGAGTATTCGACTTGGAAGAGACGGCCTTCGGGCGAGAAGGTGCTGTTTGCTTGTGAGCTGCGGCTTGTGGGGTGGGACGCAATGGGTGTACTGACTTGATGCCACGATCTAGATGATCATATTAGCATGCCAGTTTCATGGTTAATTGCTCAGAATGTACTCACCATACTCGCTCCGTGCTATGAACTGCTGATGTTAGCAGAAGAGCTCCAGCGGGGCGGGTAATCGCATACCATGTTGCCGGTTTGTGTGTGAGGCGAGGATTTGGCTGAGTGCTGTGGGGTATCAAAACTCGCAACAAGGTGTTGAGAGTATGGGAATTGTGGCTGAAAGAGGCAATATGCACTGTTGACGTGGTCGTGTTTCTTGAAGCTCAAGCTCAAGGCAACATGAGCCGCGCAGTAGCTCCAGTGCCAAGCCATGTCCCGCTAAGACGTCCGAACAGCACCCGCGTCCATCTCTCAGCCACATACCATGAAGCGATCATGCCGCATTTTATTAATTGCGACGGAAAGTAGGCGAGGGCATGTGCCGCCAATGCTTAAGACAGACATCCACATGATTCAGCCCTCGAGCTATGTACTACATCTTGTCGACTATGACGTGACCAGGGTGCAACAGGTGGCAGCTCATCCTATAACCTGAAATTGTACACTGGTGTTTGCTTCGCAACTGAATCTCAGCTGTAGTGTGTATAACCTAAAGCTGATGGCGTACTGAATCAGTCACTCGAATTTCATATGCCTGTCTATCGGTCTGTCGAGGCCATTCGCTGCTATCCACTTCGCTAGACATCCCACCATAACTTGCAGTATGCAGCCAGCCTCAAATGGGTAGGCGCCACCTGTCAGCACTGGATCGTCAGCACCAATATTCCAGCTTCTACAGTCCTAATCTCATGTTCTAAAACCGGCAGACTGCCTTCGCAAGGGAAATCACAATCGAACCCCATTATGCGTCTTTTGCAGCTGCAGGGCGACAGTGGAATCCAGCTTGTCCAAAGTGCTGACAATGCTATTCCACCATATGCTATCCTTTCGCATACTTGGGGAGCAGATGAGGACGAGGTCACCTTCAAGGATCTTAACAAGGGAACAGGTACAACAAAAGCTGGCTATCGAAAACTTGAGTTCTGCAGAAGGCAGGCTGCGAGCGATCACTTAGATTACTTCTGGGTCGACACATGTTGCATCAACAAAGACAGTAGCACAGAGCTTTCAGAAGCTATTGTCTCCATGTTCCGCTGGTACCAGAATGCGGCGCAATGCTACGTATACCTCGATGATGTGTCGACTGACAGCAAGGATGGCAAAACGCCTCAGCAGAGCAAGTGGTTCACTCGGGGATGGACGCTCCAAGAGCTGCTCGCCCCAAAAAGCGTCAAGTTCTTCTCTAGAGAAGGCCATTTACTGTTCACCAAGTCCTCTAAAGTGCTGGAGATCGCCAACATTACCCATATACCTGCCGAAGCTCTTCAACAGCGAGGACCTCTGTCACGCTATAGTGTTGAGGATAGGATGTCATGGGCAAAAGAACGAAATACAACACGTTCGGAAGACGTGGCCTATTGCCTGATGGGTGTTTTTGACATTCACATGGTACCCATCTACGGTGAAGGCAAGGTCAAGGCGATCAAGCGACTTCAGAAAGCAATAAGAGAAGCAGAAGATGAATCGGCTTCACCAATCGAGAACGCAAAGAAATGGCTAGAGAGCGCCAAGACCGATAAGAATGTACAGGAACTTTTCCGCAAGATGTTCATTGAAAACGAGGGCTTGGGTGAACAAGAAGATGACGTTGAACTCCAATCCGACATCTTCAAAACCGTCTTGCAGGCGCCCACGGTGTTAGCCGAGACTAGCGAGCATGTCAGACTTCTCATGGGCAACTCGAAAAAGGAAGGTCCGCCAGACTTGATTGCAGTCAAAAGGACGGCTACCTTTAACCGATCGGCCGTGGCTCATGTCCTCTCTGGCACTTCTAATTACCGGGACTTCAATCTCATCATCGCAACACCAGCTCGTGAGACTATGACTACGCAAATGGATTTCACGCTTACAGACTGGGACGATGACGGCTCGTTAGATATCGTCATGATCAAGAAGAACTACACCGGTACAAACAGTACTGAAGTTCATATCACATCTGGAAAATCCAATTACCAACATTGGATGCTAGAAGTCGGCACTATACTACACGAAACTGACGAAACCTTTACATTCGCCATGGGCAAACGGGACGCCAACAGCAGGCCGGACTTGTTCGCGATCAAGAAATCCAGAACCACTTCTCGTACCACCGAAGTGCACATACTATCGGGCGCCTCACACTTCAAGAACTTCATCATACGCACCGACACTGCCCTACACGAAACTGATGATACGTGGGACTTTCTCGTCACGGACTGGAACGGCGATGGGCACCAGGATCTAGTCGCGATAAAGAAGAGCAATTCGAGTGACAAATGCACTTCAGTGCATGTGCTGTCAGGAGCTTCTATGTACAAGGAATTTATACTGCGTGCCGAAACACCGCTGTATAGGAGCTATGGTATGTTTGAGTTTGCGGTCGCCGATTGGACTAAGAATGGGAAGCCGGATCTGGTTGCAGTAGCGAAGGACACGGAGAGTAATTCTACGGAGGTGCATGTCATGACACAACAGGGCTGACGGTGTCGCTGTAGAAGTGCTTTTACATAGTGAGTCTGTGTAGATATTCGCTCTAAGGACAGTTGTGTCTCGCAATTCTTCACGCACGTTTAATCCCCAAGCCTGGACTGGAGAAATAGTCACATCATTCACAATGGTGCCAATCACAACACGGGAAGCTGTCCACGCGTTTTGCGGACGCAAAAGTGTGCCGAATCCAGACAACACGTAGGCTCCTTTTCGCAACCTCCGGCTCTTCAGCCGCGTCATTGCCACACCGAAATACACCGGCGCATGCACCGTTGGTGATGACTTCAGACCGTCACAACTATTCGCGTCATCTCCATCAACTAGGCCTTGCAGCGCGATAATTTTCTCGAGCGCACAGATCGGGAGCTTGCATGTTGTGTCAACTAGTCTGCAGTTATTCGATCCACGTCTAGACTCTGTATGTGTTGAGGTCATCCCTCTTTGTTCGCATTCCACAAGACTACCGCAATTGAAAGCCAGCCATGCGTGTGCGAACGTGGCAAGTGCTACATTCGGAAGATTGCGAAAATGCAGCGATGCCCATAAGACAACAGACGAGTTCACGAGCAGGATGAAGTAGTGAAAGTCTATAAATGGATACGCAGTGACGTTGCTTCCGTTGCCGTTGGATATTGGCTTCCCCACATGGGCCAAGCCGGGGTTGGCCCGCTTGCGAAGCTTGACGTCTCTTGTTTCCACAGATCCCCGGTTTATCGAACTGCATCACTTTTGCGCACGCATCGAAATGAATGACTGGAAATGATGTTGTGTGTATAGAGTTTGCGAGTAGTGATAGGGGTGATGAGGCTCTGCACAACTGTCCGCGCGGCGGTCGCCATGTCAGCAAACAGCGGATGAGGACGGGTTCCCCTTTCTACGTGATCCCTGCAGAATGTTGCTTCCCCAACATTCGACCAATTCGCTGCTTCTCTTGCGGCTAATGCACGCACTTGTTTATCGTTTAGCTGACAGACGTCATGTAGGCGAACATTTCTTCTTAATAGCCTCATTCCTCTCCCACCACTTCGGCTGCCATCTGTAATCCTTCGCAGCTTATTGCCTCTCAATTCTTCTCCTTCGTCTACATTTTCCTCTTCCTCTTCCTACAGGTCTACAAGATGCGCTTCTCGACTCCTTTGGTTGCCGCGGCTGGACTTTTTTCGACCGCAAATGCGGCGATCAAAGGTTTCAACTATGGGTAAGCTGGAGCTCGATGCAGCTACAGGGTCGGTCACTGACGCCTCGAAGTGCAAACTTTAATGATGGCCGGGCGAAGACTCTGGTCGACTTTGAGTACGAATTCAATGCCGCGAAGAGCCTACCCGGCACCAACGGATGGACCTCGGCGCGTCTCTATACAATGGTCCAGCATGGAACGACAAATACACCCATTGAGGCCATCCAGGCTGCCATAAACACCAAGACTACTCTACTACTTGGATTATGGGCTTCTGCCGGCCAAGCCAGCTTCGACAATGAGATTGCTGCTCTGAAAGGCGCCATCGCGCAGTATGGCACTTCATTCAGTGACCTCGTCGATGGCATATCGGTCGGAAGTGAGGACCTGTACCGCATCACACCCACAGGGATTGAGAACAAGTCGGATCCTGGCGCTCAGCCCCAGGAGTTGATCAAATACGTCCAGCAGCTTCGCAACGCCATCAGTGGCACCCCGCTCCAGGGTAAGCCTGTTGGACACGTGGACACGTGGACAGTGTATGTCAATGCTACCAACAAGGACTTCATCTCGTCCCTCGACTTCATCGGAATGGATGCGTACCCTTACTTCCAGACTACCATGAATAACAATGTCGGGAGTGGTAGCCAGCTTTTCTTCGATGCCTATCACCAGACTGTGAATGCTGCCCAGGGCAAGCCTGTCTGGGTCACCGAGACTGGATGGCCCGTCAGCGGCAAAACCCTTAACCAGGCTGTTCCGAGTGCGGCCAATGCTCGTATTTACTGGGAGGATGTGACTTGCCAGCTCATCAAGGATGGCGTGAACCTATACTACTTCACCCTCCAGGACGTCCAATACGGAAACCCTGACCCCAGCTTTGGTATCAAGCCGGCTGGCGACCTCATGGCTGTCAACCCTCTGTTCGACCTGTCGTGCCCGACAGGCTCGAAGCCTGTAAGCCACCTATTTCCTTTTATCCTCTCTTCCGTTTTGTCGCCACTCCTCTTGATCTCTCTGTACAACTTTTCCATCGCCTGGTCTTTGCTTCAATGGTTTCTGCCTGTAATACATTGGCGTCGCGATTGCCCTTGCATGAATCTCCCCCATTCGCCCGTACATACACCAGCCTGGGTTGTGAGCCCTGCAGGTTGGAATGCACGGACTAATGGTCATGTAAAGTCATCGTCTTCGCGGTTGTCGTCTTCGACAGCGTCTCGCAGCAGTACCAGGCTATCGACTAGTACAGGAGTGGTTTCGAGTGAGGGAGATGGCGGACTCTTCCAGTCATGATTCTGTATGCTGACATGTGATAGCGCGTCTAAGCGGGACTTCCTCGACATCCCGACCCACAATAGTGTCCGTTCCTGTGATCAGCAGAGTTATACCTTCGTCAAACGTGGCTTTCTCAATACCAACATCGTCGAGCATTCGTCTGATTGATCTTCCAACGCCAACTAGCGTTCCAACCGGTCTCCGAGGCTCTTTTGAAGCACCACATCTGATCGTCCCGATTGACAAGGCCGACCCGTCGAAAGTCGTAGGCAACGGCTATAGCGCACTGCTATCACCGATCGCCTCCACGGTTTTCGTCTACGACGTTCGTCCTGAGTTCCAAGACAAGGTCTGCAATCTTGTCTTCTTCATGCCGCCTGCAGCACCTTTCGATCTCTCTCCAGCCAAGATTCGGTCGCCTGGCGGCATCATCGTGTCACACCTCAATGGTAGGGTTGCTTCGCTGGATGTCAGCGCCAATAATGTTGGTAGTTCAACACCCGTTGGCACAGTGCCGTCAATCCGGCCAGACAACCAATACGCTGTGAGCAGCATGCCGTGCGAAGGGGGACAAAGGGTGGCGTATCAGATTGATTCGACAGGAGGCTTGGTTATGGATTTCTTCCAGATGACCTCACCACCGCTAGGCCTTTTCATGATTCCCATGTAGAGGGAGCGCTGGATCAAGAGGAAGGGAGAGTTTTTGTGCAAAGGGTGTCGTATTAATTTAATCAGAGTCATGATTCTTCCCATCTTCTATTTTGACCTCTTTGCGTTCAATCTTCTTTGTTCGATGCTCGCTTACCATGTCAGTGTGACGCCAAACACGGGCGCGACGGTAAGAGAATTTGAGCTACATGATTAGATGAATGGGCCAAGAACAAGTAGGAAAGAGATGGCGGGTGACGGCACATACATGTATGCGCATCGTGAATGTCACAGATGACAGCAGTATATGCCGCGCTACCACACTCGTTGAAGCGATGAAATTCCATTTTGCACTGTCTCCGCACTGCTCCGCTGTTACCCAGTGCACACCTGGTGTTGCGACAGTTCGTGCGCGCTTTAGTTAAACCCAATCTGCTATCATAGGGCAGCCATTATCTTACGTACGAGCTTAAAGAGACTCAACCAGTTGAAAGTACGCGACGAAGTTCTGAAAGAGCTTTGAAGTTAGACAGCTTGAATCAATTGTGCTTAGACACCATGTGCTCAGAGTTTTCAGGCAGTGCTTACTGATGATTGCAGCACCTGGTGAGCATGCTTATGTTTTCCTTACCTTGGCTATGCTGTACTTCTTTGTTCACCCGTGAACGGCGATATTTTGTGGACTGGACAAAGGAATCAGACGAGGGGGTGGAATGTACGTGCCTCTACCGTCAGATCCGATCTAGTTGGGTACAATGTATCTTTGTTCTTCAGGGTGGGTAGATCAGAAGCGCAAAACCAGGAAGAATAAATTTTATACAAAGCCACACATAAAAAGGTGTCCGCGCACCTTATCGTAGAAATAGGGTAGTATTCTCTGCATACCGTTCTACTATCTCTAAGCGCAAAAAGGATACGTCCGATTTGCAATCATTCGATATAACTCAAGCAGCAGGACTAGTTTTTGGCTGAACATCTTAACAGCACTTCAAAGATGGCTTATGAACTAGACTTCTCGCCTGAGAACCTTATTCCAGATATGTTGTACAAGCCGATTGACGAGGTAGTATCTGCAGAAGAGAGGGAAAAACTTGGAGGTCTAACAGTAACCTGTACGTAATCCATGTATATGAATTGCATGCGAATCACGCGCTGACTTCGTACACCGACACACAGGGGCCCGCGACCAAAAAAAGACGCTATGCCGATCATGTGGCTGGACTGTCTACAACGAAATGTGCAGTTCGTACCTATCACGACTTCATATCGAAGGTGTACGGAACAACAATGGTATGTGGAGCATGGGAAACGACTGGATAGTCTGGGATCGTCCCGGTGCAGAGTGTCGAAACGACTATATGACGCACGAATTCCTCCAGAAACAAGGTGTAAAACACATACCACTTGTGAAGAGGATGGTTGAATTCAAGGATGAAGACGGTGGGTTTAACTTCGTGGTCATGTCTCGTGCCAGGGGAGTTCGACTGGAGAGCGTATGGCCGACACTCTCCACTGAAGAAAAGAATAGCTATGCCCAACAGGTCATTGCCGCGCTTCGAGAAATGCGCCAGTTTACTGCAGAGTTCCCGCAGCGGGTCGACGGAAGCCCCATCTTTGATAATGTCATCGGGCACTGCGAATCAAGGAAAATGTGCAGGGACATCGGAAAGACAACGGATGAATGGTTCAACAACATTGATGAGGAGCTTCGAGAAGGCATATCACGCAAGTTTGAGACAAGCGATGAGATTGTCATTGAAGCTAAGCTACAGGAGCTAAAGGTGTGTTCTACAAGTCTAAACTGAAGTCGAAACAAGACCCTGACTTGATCATAGCAAAATTTCCCAGATGGAGCACCGTATGTCCTGACCCACGCTGATCTCAATTTGAATAATATCCTTGTTCACGACGGCAAAATCGTGGCCATCATCGACTGGGAATTTGCTGGATACTATCCATGGTGGGTCGAAACATACATGTCGTATCGTCGTACCGTGAGTCGCAACGGAATCGAGTTGTTCAAAATTGTGTGGGATGAACTCGACATAGACGACAAGGCTATTTACGACAAAGTGAACCCCGTCATACACGCCTGGCGGTGCTCTCCGGTCCGCCACACAGGCAACACACATTACTGGCAGCGTCCGGTGTTCTGCAAATGCCAGCCCTATGGTGGTATACTCCGGAAAAATGCCATTGATTCTGAGGAGAGACACTTTGTCGATTACAATAATCGAAACCAGTATGGACAACCTCCATACCGGTCAGAGAAGGGAGTGGATTATGCCGGAAAGAACCAAGACTTGGAGCCTAAGGAGGGTTAGTGCGAATTGATATTCTATAGTCGCGAAATATCTTACCCGCTGTTGTGTCGGTGTGCAAATTTAATACTTGATGGCCAATCTGCAGGAATTGTACTTTTCCGGTAATCGGTCGTAGCCCGTGCATTGCTGTTCTTTCACATGCGCGTATTGTCCCATCTATGTCCTTGACGTAAATGGCGAATTGAGCATCGCTTCCAACGCGGACTGCAACGCCCACGTTGTTTGTAGCTTCAAGCACTTCAACGACCGTGTCGAGCAAGCTTTCATGGAGCCTCTGGTCGGAAGGGAAATGATCCGAGTTGCAGCCGAATGAATAGATGATGTAGACTGTTTCTTTCGTGCCATCATTCGTCGGTATTAACGCTGCTCCACGGATGCAGGTTATGTTCGATGATAAGTTGTCCGGTAGCCAGAACCAGCACTTGTTTTGCTTGTCGATGGGTTTGAAATATCTTAACATCTTGTCTGCTTGTGCCTCGAGTCTTGGTAAGAGTTGATTGGGGCGCTCACGTTGCTTTGTATTTATGTTCTTATGTATCCCTACCTACGCGGCTTGTTGTCTCACATATAACCTTAAGTCTTAGACATCTCAGCATGTCTTGGACATATCTCAAACACACCTCCTCGGCGTCGATCCAGCGCCGTTTCAACGAAAGACCCTACGCTCCCTACACAGGTACCTATCTGTACCGGGCAAACGCCAAGGCACGAGCATTCACTAGAAGTAAGAGGTCAGATAAAGAGCGACGTTAGCGGACAAACATTGCAGCGATCAGATGACGCATCAAAGTTTACGAAGGTGCAATCATCAAAATGTTGACCTTGATATAGTAGTCTGTACATGTGACGTTTGTAGTCTATACCCTCTTGTTAATCTAGAGCAATAAATCACGTCCCATTCACAGGCTCTATATTATCGTATTCAGAATGTGTGCACCCCCTCTCCAGCTTAACCATACAACGAGTAGGACACCTCCGTATGCTCCTATTGGCGGATTTCCTTATAGATATTAATAAGGGCCTAGATAGCCGTTGACAGATGTCACTTTTAGACTGAACCATATAATTCTAACCTCTAAAAAGGCTGCCCGCTTATGATATCATCAGGTACATCATTGTTCGTGATAGATATTCTTAGAACAGCTGAATCAGGGGGGGTGCGCATCTTCTGAATAGCACCGATATACATCACAGAATGTTAAAGGTAAGCAAACTTAAAGGAAGAGATTATATTGATTACTAAAAAGCTATGCAGTCTTAGATGGCTTGATATCCCGTCCGCAACGATTGGTGCCTTGTGATCTTTGAAAGTCTTAGTTCGACTTTAACATCGTGGTACAGTAAAATGTTAGGTAGAGACGGAGACGCAATACATGAGACAGAACAATGCTGGCGACTAGTACTGTATACACTTAGTTTGCCCTTCCATCTTGATGCGGCACCATCTCATGATCTCGAATTGGTCATCATGGCCCGATCGGCCACCACATAACCTCTAAGTAGCTTGGCGTGAGAAATGCTTAGTTATATGAGCGAGGCGCGTCAGGATATTTTTACTCTGTAAGTGAGCGATCGGAGATCACGTATTTGGGGTTGGTCTAACGAGAAAATACGTACAAGGAAGGCCCATATAACTAGGGCTAGTGCGGCGGCCGATCACATGCCAAACCACAGAGCGCAGAGCCGCACAGGAAGGATCCGTAACACATTCAATCCTCAACCATCTTCAACGTATTCATCCCCGGCTTCAGCATTATGGCGGAATGGCGAATCACCGAGGACAATCCGATCAGAGATATCGAAGGCTTAGATCATGAACGCTGTGCGGCGCTTCACAACTACATTATCGAACTTGGCTGGACACAACGCGGACTCTCCTTAAATGCACTCGACAAAAGAACCTGGTGGGAATGCCATAGTGGCGATGCAGCACTGACACCAGACATTTTAGAGCGGCTCGAACCTGCTGTCATTTCATTTCTAAAGGCCGCCTGGCACGGATACTCTCTGGACGAGTCTGTCCCACAACACTGCTTTCATCGGTATCTAGGCCGCTTAGGCTTCCCAGACAACCTTTTTAACAATGTCAACTACGCAGAATGGGAAGATGACTCGAACAAAAGAGCGTATGTTAGCCTGTATCTAGCGAATTGGGCTTTAGGCGCGACGCATCCTCAAGGCCCTTATTCTCGCTCAAGAAAACGGAGTGGCGATCCAACATATGTCTCTTCACAACACTAACGTTACGATGAATGGTCGGATGGGTTGGCTAGATTTAGAAGTGATATTGGATAGATATATCGAGATGATAGAACAAGGCAAAGTAGTCGCCGTTGACGACACGTATGAAGGCGAACAAGAGCGCATATCGCCCTGGATAATGCCATCATATACTCAGCTGGATCTTGACGAGACGCTGGAAGCTTTCGGGGAATTGGTCAACGCCATCAGCTCAAAAATGCCGTCTCAACCCCCTACAACCGAGCCAGCCCGCGGTCTTCTTGATCTCGTAACTGGCGGGAACCCGCAAATGCTCCGCCCGCATACCTTCGCGCACAAATTCCTCTGTGACGCCCCAGTCCCGTCGTTTACGCACATTGCCCCAGGCCTGCGCATCGCCGCACAGCAACCCTTCGCCTCCGCCTCCGACTTCCCGGGCACGCCCCCACTCCCTGGTTTGGAAGACGAGGACCTGCCCGAGGAAGATCCCAACAAACTCGCCCCCCTCCTCCTCTTCTCCAGCACCCTCCCCGCACACCAGGAAACCATCCGTTCCCCCTGGGGCGAGCACATCCCCGTGTCGTCCTTCACCGGGCGCGCCCCCGAACCCGTCTCTGTCCCTGCTGGCATGTACCTTACCTGCAGAGAACCGTACGGCGTGCACCCTTTCGAGGACGGGTGTAAACTGCTTCTGCCTTATACGCTTGGCGCTAATGGATTTGCGCGAACTAGCGATGAGGCGCTAATCGGCGAGGATATATGGGACGACGGAGAGGATGTTAGAGGGCAGTTGCAACCAAACAGCACGGATCTGTATCAACTAGGGTATAACTTTTTCGTCGCGAGACACGATGTACCGCTTAAGCATGTGCTGTGGAAATGGGTAGAGATGGTCAATGAGGGGAAATGGGAAGTTAATAATGAGGGTGTTGTTGGCGGCATGGACAAGTGGAAGGAGGCGGATACTGAAGAGCATTGGATGGACTATCAGCTGCCGCTTACCTGGTGATGCATGTGCGAGAAATGCGTAGCGCATGATAATAGCATACTTTTTAAATACGAGATGCAATCAATAATATAACTTAATACTTTCAGACTGCACCTATATACTATATCGAGATTCTAATATCCACTTGAGAGAGATAAGAGTAATACCTAAGTAGTATTAAACCCTTTTTGAGTAGCTAATCATAAGATAGGTAGTATTAAAGAGCTTGCTCAATACATTTTCGTCACCGGATGTCTTGGCCGGATAGTCACTGGCCCTGACAAGAGTGCTAACTAAACGACTGATTACATCCCTAAACAGTGTCTTGCAAAATATTCTAGAACAGAAAGCGATCCCGTCGGCTCCATCCCGTATGAATCAGCTAAAGCAGTACATGGGTAGCTATAGAAGACATATTTGCACAAAATAGCTGCGGGCGGCATCCACAACTGACCGAGGTAGTAAAGCAGATATGGAACCAAAACCTTCCATGGAGCCGGAAAGGAGGTGAAGGCATCGCCGCATTGTGTAAACGAGGATCCCCGTCCCGTGCGACAATGGTAGTAACAAGTCTACAAATACACAGGACGTCCAAGAAGAGCCATAATTCATATCCATGAAGAAGAAAAACACGAAAAAAAACCCCCTTACCTCATGCTCAAAGAATTAGACAAACTCACGACTTCTTATCCTCGGCCACCAAAAACGCATCCAAATCACCAAGATCCATTCTACTCCCCCTCCTTGGATAATTCTCACCATTCCTCGCCGTCCAATTCTCCCAGCTCGTACTAACAATCCTACTATCGGGCCTTGCTCTTGCCGTCAGAAGTAAGCCTGTGCCAATATCCCCGCGTTTGACCTTCATGGCGATTTTGCCGCCGCAGACGTTCTTCAGAACATGTACGATGGGGCTCTTTTCGTCGGACCAGACGGTGCCGTAGGAGTTTTCGCCAGGATATAGGATGCGTGCCGAGAGCTTCACGCATTGGGAGGGGGTGTGTGGGAAGAGGGTGCGGACGAGATGTGTGAGGGCGGTGGGGGCGAGGGCGTTCGTTTCGTCGGAGAAGTTAGGGAAGGCGACCTCGGTCTTGGAGAGGCGGCGCTCTTGTCGTTGGAGAGGGGGGTCGAGACGAAGGCGGGGACGGGTGGGGTTGGCGTTGGCGTTGGCGTTGGCGTTGGAGCTGCGACGCTGTGTGGTGCGGACCATGGAGCGTTGGCCGAATGAGCGGCCTGAGGGCATGGCGCCGAAGGACTCGGCGACTGCGAAACTGCTTGATGGAGTCAGGCGCTCCTCGTCGCCTCCGTCGGCTGATGTTGGGGAGCTAGGCTCGGACTTTCCGGGATTGCTGTAGTATCCAGAAATGTAGACTCGTCGTGCTTGCTTCAAAAGATATGGGTACATGCTCTTCAGCACCAGGACACCATATGGATATGTGACGTATAATGACAGTCCCTCGTTATCGTCCTTCAAGGTGGGCTCGGCCTCCTCTGCGGTTGGGTTTGCAGACCGCGCCCGCGCAGTCTTGATTTGTTTCCTCCCGCGCATGTAGTCGGTCAGCTCGTCATTGACCAGGCGACAAGTCAACAACAATGCCAATGGCGCCGGCATGCCTATGGTGCTGTCCTTACGCGCCACATCGTCCATCCAGGCATTGTCGATGGCGATCTCGGGTGGCTTCGCGACAGACAGGAGAGACGCGTCTCTGGTTTGCCGTACGAGTGGCGCGAGGTCAAGCGGCAGACCCGGAATGTCATGCTTTCGCGCGCGGTCCTTGATACGGTTGCCGAAGACTGTAATGTAGCCCGCGCTGATGGTAATGGACTGTGAGTCGACGAGGAGGTAGTCGTATATTTCGCATCTGATCTCTGTTGGGAGCGATAAGAAGGCGCTGTAGAGAGTGCTTGAGTCGTATCTTGAAGTCATGATGTCGTGTGCCGTGTGTCTAAAAAACCAAAACCGTGGCAGGTCCAACAATTTATTGCAAGTGCAGTGGCAGCATGAGTCGCTGATGTGTTGTTGTGGTGGCAGGTGGTCGCATGGGAATGATCAAGCGTCGTCGAATCATGCCCCGCTTGCCGATCGTGAAACCAACGATATAGCGTATGGTAGCGCGCCAACGAGTCGCGCCATGCCCATCGCTGCGGCCCGCTACCGCTTCGAGACGAGGAGTCATCGTTTCCATGGTAGACGTTATCGATATCCCAATCAGATCGTTGCCACCGTCTGTTTGTTTACAATTATTCACGCCAGGCTCTGGTTTCGGAAGACAACAACATGCAGGTACCAAACACTCTCGCCCTGTCCATGGACCGCTGTCCTTTATGCATTGCTACAGTGGGTATCTTGGCTTCCAATGTTCTTTGTCTCTCGGCCGCTCCAGGGCTTGGTTCGGATATCTAATCTGTCTCGCTGTCCTCGGCGCGCTGCTGTTCTGCCAATCTCTGAGCCTCCTCCCACTGTTGGGCAAACTCTCGCATGCCTCCTCCCCCGTCTTTACTTGCATCCACTACATCCTTGGGCAGCTTATGTGCGCTGTACTGAGGCGTCGCGAAGCCATATGCTTCGGGATCATCTCGACGCACCAGTCGAAACTCGGGCTGCCAGATCTCCTCGATGTCATCGTCCTCCGAGTCATCAGCACCCGACGATTCGTCAGCACCCGTCCGCCCCGAGCTGCCAGGCTGAGCCAGTCGAAGCCGCACAGTAGTCTCCTCTTGTTCGACGTCAGGCACATCCATAGTGAGCAACTCCATCCATGAGAACAATAGTGGGTCGGTTCGCAGCGCCCAAGGATTCACATCTACGAGCCAGACTTTGTCGTGTGGCGGAGGTACGTATACATCAAAGGTGAAGTTTGGGTCTGGAAAGGTGTTTCTCAGCCTGAGTTCAAAGAAGTCCTGTACAGCATTGCGCAGCTTGTCCTGCATGTTGAACAGAAAGTCGAAGTGGTTGAGATCTCGCTGGCACAGCGCGATCAGACGTCGATCACGCACGAAGCACCTGAACTCGACGCTCGGATTGAGCGTAATCCACTTGCGCAGTACGAGATGATACGGTATTTCCTGGTCATCTTCAGAGCTCTGGTCGGCTGTGTCGTCAAAGGCATGCGCTAGATCGTGGGTGACGAAGTCACTGCTCTTCAACAACAGGTAGATATCGTTGGGTGTCCGGCATTCCATGCTATTAGTTGCATTCATCCATGTCGCGTCCTTTGGGGCGCTCCAATTCAGTTTTGGCGCCACTTTGCCGCCCAACTCCTCAATTGTGCGCTCGATGGCTTCGTGGGTGTCGCGCCAATCGACACTGGGGTCCGCTGCTGCCTCATCGTCTTCATCGTTGTTGTCGGCGCCTGAGAAGATGCCACTATCGTTGTCCGACCACGTAGGGTTATCACCGTCTTCCGGTGGGAGGATAATGCCGTCAGAGCGCAGATAGTCGAGAAATGCAGCTGGTAGAGGAACGAGGCGTGCTTTGGGTGTAACGGCGCGGTATCTCGGAAGAGTCAGTATTACCCAGTGTACTCGATTCTCAATGTTCGCCATACCTGGGGTGCCAGCTGTGGTATGAGCAGTTCAGAATATGCTTCTTAGTCACTGGCGGGAACGGCAGCTCTGTCATGCCTTCAGTTGATGAGGAGAACACAGGATCGGGTCCTGATTCCTGGGACGTCATGGTGGTATCTGAGGTGTCTTGGGGCGAGAGTGAAAAGAAAGTGGCAGATTCATAAAAGTTGGTGGCTCCATTGCTGTGTGAGTCTTCGTCATTTCCGCCGCGAAAGTTTTGGCGGGGCAAGTTCCATCCATGCGTCGCGTGAAGCTCGGGCCCTCCTCCGAAACTCCGCCCGACAACTTTCATCATTGCTCATCGCGCTTCTCCACGGTGCAGTTTGTCGACCAACAACTACCGATATCATGGCAGACAACGTCGGACTCACTACGCCAAGGGGCAGCGGCACATCCGGATATGTCCAAAAGAACCGCTCGCTCCTCCGACCACGCGACAAGACTGCGCCATACCCCAAGGACTGGGAGCACGCAAAGCACCGCCCACGGCAGCCAGACGCGGCAATCCTCGAGCACGAAGCGAAGCGTGAGATCGAAGTCAAGGTCCTCGAACTGAGGGATAAGCTTGAAGAAGAAGGGTGCGCCATCATATGTGGAACATGGTCGAACAACGAACTAACGTCGTGCAGTGTCGACGAAGACGAAATCGATGACCAATGTGAGGGACTGCGCCGGAAGCTTGACCAAGAGAGGAAAGACGGCAAAGATCTGGGTCCCAACGCGAAACGACTCAAGTCCCACCAGGTCCACGATCTCGCCAAAGCAAAGATGGAGGAGAGTGAGCGGTTAAGGAAGGCGCTGGGCATCAGCGCAGACTACGAGGAAGGCAGTCACTGGCGGAAACAAGAAGAGCGCATGCGGGATGGTCTTGCGAAGAGAGAGGCCGAGGACGAGATCAAGACCGAGAAGGCCAGGGAGGCCAGGAGACACAAAGAGGAGGACTCAGAGTGAGCTTTCGCGAATCGGTCGAAACTTCCTTTGCCCCCTCTATGGCAGTGCTCCGATCACTTTTGCTGCAATGCGAATGCGTCTTTGCGCCCAGGTGTACCATTACTTATAGCACCACTCATGGGCCTTGACAAGCACGCATCCATTCAGCGCTCCACCCATACTGCACGACTAATGATATCGATGCCATTCGATGCACCGTCAGTTCAATGCTAAGCACACGAATAAAGCGGCCAGCACTGCTTGCACAGTACCATGCACTTCGGTGTACTGCTTACTGCTTGCGAATCGGAGACGAAGATTGTCAATTACACAAGCCGCAATTGGATGATACCAGGACGGGAACCCTTGAAGCGAATGTGAGACAGCGAATTAATGAATCGAAGAGCTTGATCAACTACCGTGTACCATCCACTTCCAAAAAGACTTCCCCACGATCTAATGCAGGAACATTCGCAAGGCACTGTCACCGGCCGCGCTGCTTCTCACTAAGGTCGACCTAGTTCATAAAGTGGGATGATGTGCAGCAGGGTGCAGTAACACTAGGATCTGGGGTACTGATGTCAAACCACGAGGATGACTTATTCGGACATGCGAAATGGCCTGGAGACCGTCGAAAATCCTGCAACCTAGCATCCTTTTCGACGACTACTGGCCCTCCAATCTTCATGATAGCAGTTGCACAATCAGAAAACTTCATGCAAGCGAGACAGAGACAGGGTCATGCCAGGTAGTGCATGCTCATCATGGCTGTGGTAAGCCAAATGCAAATGCAGAGCACGAACCAAGACGATTATTGCGCATTGGCAACACGTTCAAACCCTGGGCAGGCCAGACGTTGACAGACCCACGTCAGGCCGCGTGGGGACGTCTGAGATTTTGAGTGGTCAGCACACGGACCCGCCAGCCCAGGTTTGGACTGGGTTCAAAGTGGCACACCTCGGCGGCGGACCCCAGTGCGCCGCCTTTCTTTAATGACACGAACGACAGGGCTTTCCCTATGCCTCCTCGTCACATATGTGGGTGTCACGGCCTCTGAAGCTCTTGGGAGAGTTGTAGCGTGCACCTAAAAACACATGCGGTAGCCGAATCCTGCCATTGGTCACCATAGGTACCTTCAGGCCCGGTGTCTTGGACTAGGTATATTACCACACTCTCCGCAATCCGAGGATATCGTTGTCGCTTCCCGTGCACCACCATAGCACGTTGTGCGCTCGCGAGTGCTACGATGCTTCGACCGTTAGCTGTCGTCCGCGAGACATGGAGTCTCTACACGCCCCTCGAGCGGCGGAACATCTTCATCTACATCGCCGGAATCATGATGTATAAGTTCGGTCTTGAGGCCTTCAACGGATCCGTCATCGCTTTGGCAACCAATCGCTACGACGCTCTCGAGCAGAAGACGCACATCTCCATCACTTTCCAGCGCGTCGGTGTCTTGACGGGACTGAACCAGGCATTTCAGTGCGTGGGATCAATTCTCATCGCGCCTCTGATCAAGCGGTATCCGACCAAGAACGTCTTGGCTTGCGCAGTGCTCATCTTTGGCTTCATGAGCAGCATATTGCTCATCCTGGATGCTGCAACTGGTGGAACGTTCAGGCCTCGCCAACATCCGCAGAACGATTTCAGCTACTATGGCGACTACAATACCGATGGAATGATACCTATCTGTAAGTACCTTTGTATTTTCCGAGCCTTGGGATGCTCAGTTCGTCGTAGCCTGAGTCGCGAGAGCATGCCACCTGAGCTTTGCTCTGGAAAGGCATGAAGGGTTTCACTATTGTGAATGCAACGAGCTTCGCTGACCGCTCGCAGTCTGCGTCTGTGGTGTGGTGTACGGCATGGTCGAACTGATTCGCCGGGTCATTCCGCGGGATCTTGTAGGCGGGAACATTCAGAAGCTCCGTCGTATGGATTCTCTCGTTCACATTTTCTACGAAATCTCGGGCACGGCGGGCGCCTTCACTACAGCACTCGCCCTCATTCCCCACTTTGGCAACAACTTCTCCTTCATCATCACACCGATCTTCTTTGCTGTGGCCTCGATCCTGTGGTGGTTCATTCAAGATGGGATAGAAAGAGATACCCGAGCCCTCGTACTGGAAAGCCAGCCATCCTACGTCAGAGCAGTTGCCGGTGGATTCTACCTCTTCTTCGAGTCCTGCTGGACAGGCGGAAAGATCATCTTTACACACAGAAAGTTTATCTGGCTGCTGCCCGGATACGCCGTCGCCCTCTACGGACATCGATATCTCGAGAACGCAATCGCACCCGCAGTCGCTCGACGCTATCTCGGCAACTCCGCCTGGGCACAGATCATGGTTGGAGGATCGAATTTCGGTGAACTCCTTGGAGCCCTGTTCGTGTTCATGTTCACGAATCTGGTTCACACACCTATGCCCTGGCTGCGAATCGATGCACTCGCACTTCTCATCGTCTGGTACCTACCTTACTGGCACCCACCCAAGAATGATGTCGGTCAAGCTTGGATCGTTGCCGCAACCTTCATGCCTATCAGCTTCGGCTGGGCGGCGGGTGACGTCTCACTTGCAGCCTACATCCAAGCCTCGCTCGCCCGTATCGAATCTCAGACCCAGAACGTCTCTGCCCTTGGTGCTGTAATGGCTTTCCTGTACAGCACGTACATTGTAACCTACGCCATCGCTTCGGTCTGCCTCGGCACATACATTGACCGCGTATCGGATAGAAACAATGACGAGGTGCAGTCTGCTATCTTCAGCGTAGCGGGCGTGCAATTCACAGTCATTTTCGTTCTGGTCATGACGGCGACATTTGTACCCAAGGGCGCATTTTCCTTGAACCCCAAGATGCTCAGCGAGGAGGACTTGGATACGGATTTGGAAGACGAAGATCTGGAGTATGTACCTGGTGTTCAGGTTAGGAGCAAACAGAGTCACGAAAGCCACGAGATGACTAGCAGAGCAGACAGCTCATAGGGCAGTTGGGGGAATGTGTTTATTGATGTAGCGATTTAGCGATATAGCGTTCACAGGTCTTCGTAGGTCAGTCTTAGAATACGAAAATTACGACTTATACACTGCTCCCTAATCCAAACATGTCTCTCGACAGTCCTGCATATCATCGCAGCGTCAGCCAGGCACAGAATAGAATGGCCCATCCTGCGCCTATTCACCCGCACAAAGCACCTCGATCAGCACTCACGAGCCTGTGACACGACAGATGCTTCGAGGCCGTCGTTCGGCCCACACGTGGGATGCTTGCCAGTGCTTATTGAGTCTCCCCAATCTTAGCGATGATCGAACCACGATGGCATATGTAGGCTTTATATCTTGAAACAGAAGGTGACGTCCGCCGCAGTCCGGCAGCAACACAGTTTGGACGTGGAGGTCCGGAGCCTCCGCCCTCTGCCAATCCGACGGCCTTAAGTGTCCTTGGCATTTGCTGTTGTCGATGCTGAGGATGGGGCTGTGGCAAATCAGGAGGGGACCGCCGGGTGCTCGACAGGGGGAAGTCGCATCCGCAGGACGGCGCCAAGCACACGTGGACCGCATGGGCTGCGCGACTGGACAGGTGCTGCCCTCCCTCCCTAGGCACCCTATCATCAACGCCAAGCAAAGCTTCGTACCTTCCCACTCGCAAGCCATTTTACTTTTAATGGAGCGCCGGGCAGCATGCGTGCAATTTGTTCTGGATCGCGCGCCTACGCCTCGTGTGCCATCAGCAGCCTGAACCCATGGATGGGGTCGCGACACACGGCTGACAACTGACTACCGCTCCCGCTGCCACAACAGCACATGCGCACGCGGCCCAGCTAATCAACCCTGATGCCCCAGAGCCCTGGGCGCATTTTCCTGACTGCAGCTTTTTGCATTCGCACCTCGACACAGCTTCGTCCTGGTTCCGGGTCCGACCGTTGTTTCTCTCTGCAGGCCTGGCTGGCCAACCTGCCCGTAAGCGTTGGGGCTGTATGGACCACCTCGACACCACTTAGTCACAGATGAAACATGCATCCATATTCGCAACCACAGCAGCCGTCCGATAATGACAGGAGTGAAAGTAGTCACCGGGGACCGCTGAGCAGAACCTGGCCGCAAATATTCAAAAAGAGAAGGAGATATAGTCCTGTTCGAGAAAGCGCACAGCAGCAAGCACAGCAAGCACAGCAACACCAAGCCCAACAAACGCCACTGCAGCCTCAGTATGCACCAGCGCAACAAGTACAATTACCAGTACATCCCTTGCAGCCATTGAGATCGCCAACCATCGCGCCGCAGTCGGCGGTCACATCCCCGGTGTCATCGATGCGATCGCCATCAATAGCAACAGACACTGCAAGTACCATATCGACCATCTCCCATGCATCATCAGCACCACCAAAGAAAGTTCCCATCTCTAGGAGGAGTAGTAGCATTGCGCCTGCTGGCAGTAATGGTAAGTTCCGCCGAAACAAAGTTCTGTTTTCTGTCACAAAGTCCCGTGACTTGGACAATCGGAAGCCACATGCTGACACCCTGCAGGAGCCGGGGGCGTGACAACACCTCAAGCCGATCTACTGGCGTCAAAATCCAACTATGAGCTGATATCTTCCGGTGAGCATTTGGAGATGGGCCTGCACTTCAGCACCGCCATGGCCACCGGCGTCATGATGAAGCGCGCCACACACCGCGCTGCCGAACAAGCGCGGCGAGACCGAATGAAGACAGCCATGGTCGATCTCGCAGAATTTTTGCTCGACGGCGAAGTCACATTCGGCAGCGGAACCACATGCTTCGTCGTCATGCGGGGAACCGAAGGCAAAGAGACGGACGTCGGCGAGAAGGGCGAGAAGAAAGCCGTCCCTGGAGAGAAGAGAACGGTTAATAAAGCGCGACTGATCGAAATGGCGCTTGAGAAGATGAAGGCGCAAGAGAAGGAGATTGAGATGCTGAGAAAGGAGATTGAGGATCTCCGTACGACGCCCGATCAGATGGATGTGACGGAGTAAAGTCTTGGACGTGTTGCAATGGGCGAGATGGCGAGCGTGGCATTTATGATATCCATATACAACTGGCGTTGTTTATTAATTCTTCTTTCAAGCTCCTACAAGACGGGATATAGGGTAGCATGGTGGGACGGACGACATGGTAGACACATTGGCCGACTGCAATATAACGCGAGAGATATACACGCAACTTCTGGTAATCACCATGCGCATGTGCAACGTGTCGTCCATCAACCCGGTGTATACCAAAGCAGAAGCAGCCTTATAGCCGTTGGGGCCCACTTCAAGCAAGTAGTAGGTTTCTAGTGCAAGCCACATTCCCCTTTCTACCATATTATCTGACGTTAAAGAGTTATAGGCTGAGGCCAGAGGTAGTTAGCTGTTAGGTATTGGACCAACAGTGGAACCTGAAACGTTACCGGGGATGCCTTCAAGGTCTGAGGAGCTGATGTGATGGGATCGTTCATGCTAGCCTATCAGTCTTCAACATCAGATAACACGGTGTACGTTACGAGACGGCACCTATTTCCGATCCCGTGGATACCCCCACGATCGCAAAAATCCAAGCGTTTCGCAAGCCCTCCAGAATGAGTCTCTGGGAACATGAAAAACAGCTCCAGGATGGATATCATGAGATTGCTTTATACGCATGGAAAAGGATCATGTCATTCCGCAAGAAAATTGGGGATTTGCATACGTTGCTAACAATAAAGAGGAGATATCCTGCGAATATCCGCCCCATTACGCGGAGCGAATCTCGCAGTCCGCCATGGTCGATTGTAGCTCTTCGGTAGAGTTATATTCAATCCCATGGCCAGAGCGAGAGTCGGTCTCAGAGCCAAAGTCAGACTCATCACCATCGGCGTAGTGCTGGATCTCAGTACCCGCGAGGAACAAGTGTCTACCAGCCATGAGTTCCCCCAATCTGGCAAACAGCTCCGTACCTTCGCTATAGCGCATGTGCTGGGACTAGATTGTGTTAGCCACCGTGCCACGATTGTGGCCTAACAATGTTGACGACGGAGTGTCCACATAAACGGCCTGGGGGGGATGTGGCGTCCAAAACTAGCATGGGTCCGATGTCTAGTCAGACTAAATGTATCGTTCGAGATCTATTCGCAAGTGGAGATTGTCCCCGGGGGACTACCAAAAACTGCCAGACGTCTTGTATGTCGTTCCGGGCACTGAAGATTATGTACTCAATGCAAACGCTTCTCATGGTCTCGTTCATCTGAAGTTCTGAAGCTGCTCCGTCGCCTTCCTGGCTCCTGGGGTTGGTTGGAATTCGCAGACAAATGCACCGGACTTTGATGCATCCCTCGTTCAGCATCGTCGCTCTCTTGTATCACCTGCTCGTCCACTGATGGCTCCACCACCTGGCCGTGGTTCCCACCTACCGACTCCATTGTGAAAGGAGATGCGGTCGGTGCGTCAAGTATACCGAGCTCTTTCTTCGTCAGGAAGCGAGGCATAAGGAACGTTCGCATAGGGATATAGAGAAAAATAAAAACAGGAAAGCCAATCGCAGCAATAGTCTGTGTGATTGCAAACGTCGCACCAAAGCCGATCAACTCCAGACCAACGAAAGCCCAGATCACCCAACGGCGCTCGATTTGATTTAGTGGATCCAGACGAGAAGTGAGATGCTTGTCCTTGGCAAGGAAGACAAGTTTGGCGGTGATGCCATTCGCCTCCAAGGCCTGGATGCCCATGACGAAGAACAAGCCGGCAAGCACTGCTTGGGGAATGAGATGTAGCACAATGAGAAGCGGACCTGACATTGTGCCCAAGGTTAGAAGACCTTGAGCAAGATTAGAAACTCGCTGTTCGACTACATGGTCGACGACTCTGCGAGTATGGCCCTTGTTGGCTTCATCATCCGAGTCGGACACCGTACGCGTGACACAGAGCGATGTTGTATGGAACGGCGCCTGTGGAATAAGACCGTTCGGAAAAGGGATGCCGAGCAATCCTGCGACACCAGTCGTAGTACCAAGCAGGAAGATGTCCCAATGAAAGCCAGCCGGTTTTCGCAACGGAAACTCCGTGCCTTGCGCAATGAGACTCGAAACATTGTGGTCGAACCAGAACAGAATGGTCAGAAGGACAGCAAATGGAATAGCGAGAAATACGTCGCCTACGCTTATGTCCCAGAAATGGATGAGCCAACCACGGTCGGACGTAGGAAAGAATGCCTTGGAAGTAGGGAGCTTTTGCAATTCAATGCCAGCCATCTTGCCAATGTGTACAAACCCGGTAAAGAAAATGACTGTCAGAGGCGTACCATAATCCTCGATGAACTTTCGGACGTGGCGCTGGAGCAAGGAAGATTGGCCAACAATGCCGCAGATATATGCCACAGCGGTGACAAGCAGCGCGATCGTGATCGAAAGATATGCAGACGCGTCGCTAATAGCCCATTGTCGTGCCAGAACTTGGATGCCCTTCTGCAAGTATATGAAGGCGACATAGAACCCGAAGATATCGCAAGAGAATCTTGTGACATATCGAAGGCCATTGCACGAATTCGTAACGGCAAGAATCCAGTGGAAAACCAGCGACCACAGCCCAATCCAGCACATGAAAGCAAAATAATTTGTTCCGCGCGGAGTGATTATATTGTATACTGTGTAGTTGAACACGGTAATTGGACCAGTGACGCCGACAATGACGAGGGGTTGCGCCGCGGCGATCGAGAAGACGATGGAGGCTAGTACCGATGCCAGGAGGACTTCGTTTACGCCGAAGCTCTGGTCTGTCTTCTCGAACATGTCGAGCGAGAAGGCCAAGGCGGGTAGGATGTTTGCGAAGTACATGTATACTGTTGCTGGGACCACTCTATAATCCCATGCATCTTTCCAATCGCTCCAGTAGAATGGTGCTCTTCGCCGTATGTCATTTGTCATGCCACTGAAGAGACGTGTTTTCCACCATGCAGTTTTCCCTGAGTTCATCGTTCTTCGGGATTGTCGCGTGTGCTCGCGGCTCATCGCATCGTTGTTCGAGGTCGCATGTCGCTTCGAGGCTGGCAGGATGCGCGGCCTCCACGAGGTGCTGGAGAAATCTTGTGAGGTCATGTTCTGCACGCTAAGGCAACGGGATTCGATCCGATCGGGGCGTGTGTCTACTGGAGACGAAGTCGCTGTGACCGTGTCGTCATGGTCCGTGCTGGAGGTATACAAAGAGCTGAGCGGCACTCGAGTGGAGGCGCGGGGACGGAGGGTTTTGTAAGACACCAGAAGTGCCGAGAGATAGTTCACCCCATGCTCGAGCGGTCGGCGGGCTTTTTCGAAAAAGTATGGTCCGCGGATCGAAGAAGAATCAATGACCCCGGCAATAAGCTCAGCTGCAGCAAGGCGGTGGGTGACTAGTCATGCAAGCGAAGTACAGATCCTCGATGCCACTAACTTCGTCATTCGGCAACACCAGGATTCCCCCAATCAACACAAGAATGTAAATGATCTATCTGTAGCGTTAGAATCGCCATATGTCTATCAGCGTGTTCACATCCCGATCATGATATCGGGTTGTGGGGAAGAGACAGAACCCTTGCTCATCCTTGCATTAGCGCCGTATTTTCCCACATGGTCAAGATATGATCCTTAGTGACGAACATTGGCCGCTCATATACTACCTAGGTATGTGCTCCAATCCACGAGGGAAAATTGAATAGGGGCATCCTAAAGCCTAAAGCTATACACTGGCTAAACAGGCTTTGATTACAACGGCATGACGCTGTGTATAGCTTCAGGCATTGGGATCTGCTGTCTGCTATTGCACCCTGGTCGCTCTCCGCCGTAATTTGGTAACGTGCAGTACCATCCAATACTAGATAGATGATTAGTCCTCCGCATTATTACTTTGAGCTTGCACATTTAGGCGAATGTGCTCTGACGTCGAAGTAAGCGGCCTAAACCAGCTCAAGATCAAGTTAGGCAAGCGCCAACACCAGGCTTACAAACACAAGTCTTTACAAATCAATAAGCACAACATGGCACGCCTCTACAATAAAGGGGAATATTTAAAATCGTCTATATAGGTAAAAAAAATCATTACTTAGGATTTGTTGAAGATAAAAATGAACGGAATCGCAGGAAAGCAAACTTTCTAATTCAAAATGTCCCATCCAACCCTACCCGTTCGCGCTGCTTTGATCGGTCTCTCCTCCTCAGCCATAACATCATGGGCCTCCTCAGCCCATCTCCCCGCCCTCCTCAGTCCAATAGGGTGTTCCAAAATCACCCTTAAAGCACTCTTGAACAGCAGTACCGATGCTGCAAAATCAGCCATCTCGACGTACAAGCTCCCCGCTGATACCAAAGCATACGGCAACCCAGACGCGCTCGCCGAAGACCCAGATATCGATCTCGTCATTTGCAATACTCGGGTCGACAAGCATTACGAAACCATCATCCCGAGCGTTAGAGCTGGGAAAGACGTGTATGTCGAGTGGCCGATTGCTGCGAAGAGAGAACATGTGGACGAGTTGCTTGCGGCGGCGAAGAAGAGTGGTTCCAGGATTGCTGTGGGGTTGCAGGGGAGATGGGCGCCTCCTGTAGCCAAGCTGAGAGAGCTTTTGGAGGGCGGAAATGGTAAGCTGGGCAAGGTGCTTAGCGTAGATGTAAAGGCATACGGCGGGACGAATGATCGCGAGATTCTGCCGGTCGGGTTGAAGTACTTCGCACAGAGGGAGATCGGCGGCAATCCAATTGTGATTGGATTTGGACACTGTAAGTTTTCCATCCTGGACTTGGGATATCTGAGCTGACTTCTGCGAAGTGTTCGATACCGTGCTCTCGGTTGTTGGTGAGCTTGACTCTTCCACCATTCATGCGAAAGCCCAACTTCAGCGACCGAGCGTCAGAATCCGAGATACTTCCACGGACAAGATCGTCGAGACCATCACGTCCGACGTTCCAGACCTGCTTTCTATCCATGGAGCGCTTACTCCGACGTCTCTCGCAGCTCCTAAGGCAACACTGTGCGTTGGCTTCCGCCGTGGCCAGCCATTCCCAGGCACTCCTCCCCTTGTGTGGACGATCAACTGTGAGCGTGGAGAAATCCGCCTTGTGTCACCCTCTGGTACTGCACTCCAGGCCAACGCAGGCGACGATGTTAGCATTCAAATCCATCGTTTCGATACCGATAACGTTGAGAATGTCCGCTGGACGTGGAAAGAACCCCAGCAGGCACTGCCGCTCATGGCAAGGTCAGTATCAGAATGTCTGTATGCATTCGCAGAGGGTCGCGAGGATGGCGATGGATGGGCTGGTATTGATAGTGCGGCGGTGAGGGCTCGATCGATCGAGCGTTTTCTAGATAGCGCTTGAGCGTGTCCTTGCTGGCAGGTCGAAGATATAATAGTAGACAGCTAGCATAATTTCTTCGTATTGCGACTATGATGCAGAAGCAGAGCAGGGCCAAGATACTTTTTCATCAGCTTGACCTCGATGATGTTGAGCTTGACCCGCTAGAAATGGGATGACCAGCGATGTCGGCCTTGTCTTTCTCACCCAGTACAATGCGCTCGCACCACGAGCACCAACTCCTCAACTTGCCAGTGACTTCACGCTCGAGATATTGCACTGCCTTCTCTCGCTCGTCCTCGTAAAGCTTCACACATTCACCAACACGTACCTGCTTCTTGTGCTTGACCTTCAAAACGCCCCCAATACCCTCGATCTCCTGCGCAAGGTAGCTCGTGCCCCTCCAGCGCTCGCCTGCCTCTGGCGATGCATCTGCAGCAGCCAGTGCATCCAGTATATCTTGCTCGCAAGTCTCGTGCTCAACGACACGGGCGCCCAGACAAGCTGAGCCTCTTCCACATTCCACACCTTCATTACCTTCGCCGGCTCCAGTGCCCACACCACCTAGATAATAGCTGTATGTCGTTCTCCAACTCCAGGCACGAACATACATGGTATCGGCGTTTCGCAGGTCTTTGCCACACGGCGCGCATAGCCACACTACATTGTCGCAGTTACATGGCGTCCTCTCGAATGCTGGCGCGGTGAAGGATCTGGATTGATCGAGCTCGACTGCACGTGAATGAGGCGACCCAGGGGGCGAAGGCGAATCCGATGACGGAGAGCGTTGCTTGTACGCAGCCAGGAGAAGTGGGAGCGGTGCCTTGTTGCACGTTCTACATAGGCGGCGATGTCGCGCTCTAATTATAGGTGTAGCTGGAGGCTTCATGGTGCAGTTCTACACAGGTCAGTGCTTCTTGCACAACAAATTGCTCAATCTCAAAGACGTACACGACACACTACGACACCGCACCTCTGGCATTCTCCAACCATATCACGTGCGCATTTTCCCACACGACCACTTGTCAATGTCCGAGACGGCGACAGGTTAAATTGAGGTTCCGACCGCGAAGCCAGCTTCGTGGCGGTATCATCCTGCTCATTGCAGCAATGCAGTGTATGCTTGACAAGCTGATCGCGATACTCGAGCAGATTCGCACGAAACTGCCTACACGTGCGCGACAGATCATGCAACGTATTGAGGTCGAGTTGGCTGGCAAGCTGTCTGACTATACTGAACATTAATGCGGTGGTTAGCATTCATCGAAGCGTGGAGTCAAGTCCTTGCTGTAGGTTCAGGCTCACGGATAACAGCTCAATGCGGCGCTGAATCCATTGACATTGGGATTGGGCCTCTCGTTTGGCCCCGGCGCGCTGTCATCCGTCTCTGCTGCTGTTGGCGCAAGAGAATGATGGAGCGGCTTCATGTCACGAATGAAGCCAGGCGCGCGCGGGGCACGCGGAGAAGGCGGTTCGTCGTCGAGGTCAACTAAGACCACCATGGTGGAGGGCTGCAACAACAGTCCGCAGCATCGAAGCCAAGTGAAGCTTGATATAAGAGATGTACGTTCAAGGTTTTAGAGTCTGCGATGCCGGAGTCATGACGAGCTGACGTGCCACGGTCACGAGAAAAGTGGGCCCTTGGCGACATCGGCTCCAATTCCGCACCACGACTCCACTCATTCACATTTCTCTTCATGTCCACATGAACAAAGGCACTCCAATAACAGTGTTCCACTCTCCATTTTTATTTTCGATGCTATGTAAAATCGGAAGGAATTGGATAGGCAGACCAAGTTTCAGCATAGACAATTTGAGCCTCACGCAGCTTCTTTACCTAGATGACCCTTTCTCCAATACCAGAGCATAATTGCTCTACAGACATTACGTGTATCACTGACAACATGAAGTTATCCGTGAAATGAAAAAATCGACATTCTGGGATTGCTACATGAATTGACCCTCGACCTGTTGTCATGTTCCGCCTGTTACGCAACCCCTCCGCACCTTCCCCTTGAGGGTCTCTGAAATCGATTCAGCCGCTTCCATGCGCTCTGTTCTCCTGGTCTTCCTGATCCTGGATATTAACCCTTTGGACTAGGACCCCGAACAATAGGCATTCTACCTCTTGGATCTGGATCACCATACGGTACCCGGCGCTCTTGAGGGGTGCCATGATGTGGAAATCTACGAGGTATAGCTCTACCACTCGGGGCTCTACCACTCGAAGCTCTAACACTTGTACCTCGTCTCTGCACGCGTGGCCCTTCCGCCGACGCTCTTGCGCCAGGTCGATAATCACCGTCAGGCCCAATCATTACGAGATTCGATGTCTCCGGTGGCGGCAAAACATAGCAACCCTTAGTATTCTTCCGACCATACCAAATAGCATCGAAAGGAATGCCGTTGCTAACAGTCAAGTTTGGCTGTTTGTCTGCCCACTCATGGTACCGATTTTGTTTATCCAGCTGTTTAACAGTCTCAGTATGAAACACGAACACATTGACGGATTCCAATTCTTCTCGTGTGGCGCTGTCTTTGCCCAGAACATCGAGGCGCCGATGGTGCGCTTCATCCATGGTCATTCGGTTGCCTTGCTGGTCCCGGCAGACAAGGCCGTCGTAAAGCTCACTCGTCGTAGGGGTGCTAAAGGCGTCTCCATGTCTGACGGGATTTGCGCATCGGCATATGACGCCGTTTTCGACTGCAGGATCATACCCGGTGTAATGCGGCACGTGCCTTTCAGTTTCGGGCGGAGGTTGCTGCGCAACTCTGGTAAGAAGTGCTTGGTTGTTGTACAGCGCGTTCCTTTCCGGGACAGCAACTCTTGTAGGTACGTGTCCAGCAGCGCCAGCAACTCGGGGTTGAAATTGTCTGCGCGTGTTTGCGTCCGGTACTCTTGATTCGTTATTGAAGTGCTTCATCGTAGTGTGTGCTTTTCAGGGCAGTAGGCGCCTGTAGCTGAGAATGCGGAGTGTAAGTTGTAAGCTTGGACAAGATCTGTCGAGGACCTTTATGCACATTTTTATTCAAGTGTGAGGATCTTGCAGCTGGCAGATGAAGCGTACGCCATGTTGTACCGAACCCTTCATTCTGCTCGATAGTTGTCGCTTCTACAATCACTGCTTCTCGTAAGTGAATGTCACAGAAAGGTCATGTGTCCTGTCTCTGTTTCGAGGTTCACACATGCCCACATTGAGCTCTTCATCTGCCAGGGCTAAGTACGTGAACACATGAAGATAAGGCTATCAATTAACTATATGCTGAATACTAGCATTGGTGTTTTCTTTTCACCAGGTATTCCTACTTCCTTGCACGTACAACAAAACCTGTAGATTTCCATCCTACCGTGAAACGCACTAATACCACGGGTCTTATATCAAAGCCGCGAACGCTCTGAAATTAATCTCCCAGTTAGCATAAGTGAGCATCGTCGTGGTAGTTGTGTGCTAAAATATAAAACTGAATGAACTACAAGCCGTCTCCAGACCAGACAAGCTGCTTTGGTCCCTGTCTAGAATTCTGGAAAACAAAAATGTACCCGGAAACTTGAAAGACATGGTGCGTCGATACGGAGTTATTGTCTATGGACGACAGCCTACATTGTGAACATGTTGACATCATTCAAAACCATGTTCCACAGCCAATCATCCACTGGGGGCTGTTGTCCCTGCTGAAACCCGAATGTGGCCATATTGTTTGGGTTCCCAAAACCGAAGGCCGCATCAGGGTCCATTGACCCCGGGTCTTGGAATTGGCCACTCAGAGTTTGTTGATGTTCATAACCCTGAGATACCCCTCCTGAATAGCCTGATGTCGGGATATCATACTCGGGTTGCTGTATGTGGACATCATCGGGTCGAAAACACGCCATCTTCTTTATCTCATCTAGCAACGCCGTTTGCAGTGTTGCGACCTTCATAAAATAAGGCTTTTGCGTTACTGGTCGATCCTCTTCTACAAAATGTGTAGCAGCAGCTTCCACCTTTTGAATGAAAGACTCTAAATAGCGTCACAAGCTCCCACTCTTCGAGACTGGTGATATTTTCCTTTCAAAGTGAAGTCGAGCGATGAAGTCATACTAGAGATCTTCTTGTCGTGCTGCCACCATGATCTTGAGCAGAAGATCGCCGACTGTATGCGGCACGCTGTTCACGCGTGCAGAGTCTGTTTCGCCGAACCTCTGCAGGACAATGATTTTTAGTACGAGGACTGTCGAATAAAACCACCCTCCCCAGGTGGTGCAGTTCAATCCGTTCAGTGAAGATGTCGGTGTCGCAAGAAGCGAACGCGCAAAGTTTTGCGAGGCCAGTAAGGAGCGTTGAAGCATAATGATCCGTGCATGGGTCATTGTCGAGGATCGATCTGAAGGTGAATTACGCCACAAAGTGCTGTGAATCGAGCATTCGTACACCATCACATTAAGCATGTCAAAGCCTAAGCGCACGGTATCTGCTCGTGGTGTCAGATACATCAAATTACAGCAGTAATCGAACATACTGTTCCCTCGTATAGACTCTGGTATAGCATCCCGTAACCGCTGAATCTCCGCGCTGAAATTGTTCGTCGACAGTTTCAGCAATGTATCTCCATTGATGTCTGAATCCTCAATTTCATCGTACGAGAAACAATCGTTGATGCGACACATCAGCTCACTCGACTGTACAAGAGGCGTAATGAGGAGATCAGAATCAAACTCTGGTCTTTGAGAGAAATCTTGACAAGCACGAGCAAGTGCTCGTGTGTAAGGCACGGTAGTGCGCTTTCGCCACGCTTGTGCAAACCTTGAAGAGTTAGTACTTTCGTGACACGGCATGTTCCAGGACACTTACGCTGCGGCAATATAAAAGGTGCCCAGCATAGCTCTGTTCTCTGCATTTGTGAGGACGGAGGGAGCATCCGAGAAGCCACGACTCTTAGCCTTGACCGACAATCTAAGTTCTTGTGCTAGAGCAACACACATTTGTGTCATTAGAACGAGCTGCTGCTGTCTAGGACGGTAATAGTAGTGGTAGTAGGCTGAGTAAAGCAGAAGTCCCTGTAGCATCTCCAAACCTTTATGTGAGCTTCCGACTATTCGTGTCCCGATCTGACGTCTGAAAGCTTCGCCTAAAGCACGTTGTATGCTTGGCGTTCGATAAGCCATGATCGACATGATGGAAAGGAAGAGGAAAGGTTGTTCTTGTCTTAGCGTATCGACGTCCAACGCAGGATCCACGACAACAAAAGGGAAGCAGTCCGTGTAATCGCGACGGAACTCATCGAGAAGCTCTGTCGCTTCGCTCCCTTGCAAAATCCCGGCATCGACCGGATCGTAGGCGGTGAACTTATTTTCTTCATCAACGAGCCCTGCGCTATTCGTGTTGAAAGTATCAGCAAAAGCTTCAGAAGAAGAAGCTCCAGGAGTGTCTTCCAGTAGCGGTGATGTATCACTGTCTGGGCTATTGGATGCTGGGTCTGTTGGTGCGGCCGCTCTTGCCTGGTTTAATAGTTCAGGGTCTGCACCAGAGGCAGAAAGCATGCCCATTAATGTCTCAACTCGTTGCTCGAGTTGATTCATGCGTCTGTGGTTTGTATGTCAGTGAGATAGTACATTGATGCAAGCAGCGCGAATACACAGCGGCGAGGTTATGTCTCGTATATGCGAAAACCTGTCAAACCGCATCAATCATTCAGTGCATGGAAGCCGACTTTGTGCTATTATTCGGGCCAAAATGATGCTGACGAATGTGGTATGTGAAGAGACAAGGTATACTAAGTGGTGTAAACTTACGATCGAGTGCGTGGCCCTCGTTTTCTCAACGAGGCTCCATATGCACACTCCTTGCCTAATCTTTCGCATCGCTGACAAACATTCGCTTGTGAGTCGGAAGGAGAGCACTTTGCTTTCGCCTTGGTGCAGGCATCGCATGCTTTTCGCTTCTTTGCTTCCGAAGGAACACATAACTAACACGAACGTGAAATGAAGCTCAAGGTGGGAGACGGTGATTAGATGCCCGCGTTCCCGATATTCTTTCTAGTAGATTTTTACGCAAATATCTACTCGAGTGCGACCGCGTTGGGTGAGGGTGATGTTTACAGCTCGGGGTACGGGTTAGACTAATACCCGACGGGAGCGGGCCTCGAATCTGTACCGAAACCCGTGCTTGCCTGATTGACTAAATGCAGCAACAGTATGTGCCATCAGACACAACCGCGACCTTCCCATTCTCCTCTTAAAAACGGCTGACGAGGGCCAGCGCTATGTTATCATCTATCAAAGATACAGAAGCGCATGGCTTTGCCCCTTGAAAACACACTACATCCAATTAACACCATCCCGAAACCAACGAGCATGTTCGATCTGCAAAGCTGACTGGAGCAGCGAAGTATATTTCGCCGTAGACCATGTTGTGAGACAGGCTTCCTCAATTTGAAGCTCCTGATAGATAGTCGCACACTGGAGAGCGCCTGTCATCTGGGGGCCAAGGCGTGGTAGGCTGCAGCGTGTATGTAGCTGACGGGCCTGAGTTTCAGCCTGGCTGGAAGAAGCTCGAAGATCTCCGAAAGATTACACGAGCTTGAGAAGCCCTTTTGACATGAGTTCTGCAATGTGCGCCTGAAAGCAAATGCGTATCGGTTCTCATATGGATCAAAGCCTGATCGAGGCATTCTCAATGTATATCTAGACGTTCGTGTGTCATCTTTGGTGTCCCCAAGGAGCGAATCGTTGCATGCGCAGAGGTTGGAATTGTTCATGGAGAAGTCTGGGTGCCGTTTTGACGGCGATGAGGGTTGATTCGCCACCAAGGCGCGACCTCCGGAAGGAGCAATCACAGCTATCACCAACGCGTGAAACCCCCGGCATGCACTTCAGCAAAGGCTATCATGAGCTCAGAGTGATTTGGCATCCGACCGCGATCGGTCTGCATCTTATCGCTCGGGATGAACCGCCAAGCTAGAATGGCTACGTCATGATCGGGAGGCTCTGTTAAACTTTGCTAGATCGAAGTCCAACGGCCGTACCATATCCACTTCCACGTGCAAAGATCGACGACGATGCTTGTTGCGAGGCTCTTTGACTGGATGGTTCCTCGTAGATCAAGCCACATGTTGCATACCCTCCGGCAGTGCCGGTATGTACAAGTAAAGTTGACGTTTCGAACGCTGACGACTTGCCGAAGCTGCCCGATGTTCGTCCGCGAGTGCGCATGTTCCCAACAAAACAGCTGCATGCTGCATCTCATATCGAGGTCTGCACAACCATGAGGCATGAACGTACGATTACTAGACATGCAGCTGAATAGTTCGGAGTTTGAGTAATCATTCCAGCACTTCTACCAGATGGCTGACTAGGCTGAAACAGAGAGGCCCTTCACCTGATTACTATATGCGCCGTAACTACTTCAGGCATGCTAAGCGAGTCTAGATACTCCATGGGTCCTTCTAGTGGCGGGCAACACTCCCGATATGCGAGAACGGCGATACCCAGGGCTAGATCCGTAGGCCCATTGTATTATCAATGGGCGACGTCATTGCATGAAATTTCAAATCTGGGGGAAGAAGGAATGAGGTAGTGACATAGGTAGAGACAGCTACTGCTATATAACAGGAAACACAAACCCCTCACTTCATCATCACACAGCGCTATCTTATTACAAATACTTAAGTCTCACTCTCAATCGCCTTTACACGTCTTTAACAACCAACGAAACATCACAATAATATCATCACGTCAGCATCATTATGCCTAGCTTCACTGTCTACAAAGGCTCCAAGGAGGGCAAGATTGTCAAGGCCACAACCAACAAGCCCGATCTCCAGAACGATCAAGTCCTCGTCAAAGTAACCGCCTCCGGTCTCTGCGGCACAGATGAGCACTACAAGGAAGCCGACATGGCTCTCGGCCACGAGGGCGCCGGTGTCGTCGAATCAATCGGGCCCCACGTCCAGAACCTGAAGAAGGGAGACCGAGTTGGCTGGGGCTACGAACACAACAGCTGCGGCTCATGTGAATACTGCCTGACCGGACGCGAAACCTACTGCCCCGAGCGCGAGATGTACGGCCTTGCCAACCTGGACCAGGGAAGCTTCGCATCACACGCCGTCTGGAGAGAGGCTTTCCTCTTCAAACTGCCCGACTCCATGACCGATGCCGAAGCCGCACCACTCATGTGCGGTGGCGCAACCGTCTTCAACGCCCTCTTCACATACGGCATCAAACCCACCGACCGCGTCGGCGTCATGGGCGTCGGAGGCCTCGGCCACCTGGCCATCCAATTCGCCGCAAAGATGGGCTGCGACGTCATTGTCTTCTCCGGCAGCGACAGCAAGAAGGACGAGGCGATGAAGCTCGGAGCCAAGGAGTTCGTCGCGATGAAGGGAAAGACTGAGCTGGATATTGGCCGCAAGGTCGATGCGCTGCTTGTTACTACCAGCGTCAACCCGGACTGGAACATCATGCTGCCCGTTATGGCGCCTGACTCGGTCATCTTCCCGCTCACGGTTTCTATGGGCAACTTTGAGATCCCGCATATGCCGTTGCTTCAGCAGGGTATTAGGATTCAGGGATCGGTTGTGGCTGCTCGCTCAGTACATCGCCACATGCTTGCGTTCGCTGCGCAGCACGGTATCAAGCCTATTCTAATGGAGTTCCCGCTCAACGAGTCTGGCATTGAGGAAGCGATGTCGACTTTGAGGGATGGAAAGATGAGGTACCGTGGTGTCCTCAAGCCGCAGTAGATGATTGCTGCGAATGATATATATTTTAGCGTAATGTTTAGCGATTGATAGATTCAATGAAGAGATGACCACAAGGAGTCAAGATGCGATTTCAGTGCTTTTGAATTAAACATTATGTTCCTGACACTTCAACTATGTCATAAAGAAAGTAGCCTCTTTGTGCTAGTATCCTGAGGGAAGAAAACTGCTGAAGAAAGGAGGCCCAGATGGAAGATCCTTCATACGGGGTTCCTGAAAACTCCTCTTATGCTTCTCCACCTTCAACTCGCTCAGCGTCCGCTTCAGCTCCATCGCGCTACTTTCACTCTCACTCTCCAGCGGAAACAGACGCATGAGCGCTGGCAGCATAGTCTGCGGCTCCATTGTCTGTACACAATGAATCGCAAATTTGATATCTGTCGGCGTCTCCGAATCCTCCCTGAACTCAAAGTCTGGCTTGTCCGGCTCAAGCAGCGGAACGCGCAGAGCCTCGAGCAACTCGTTTCTGTCCGACTCTTCCTTATCCACCACGTCCATCGCATCCGACTCCAAGATCCTTCCGTCATGTAAATGTGCCTTAGACCCTAGACCCTGGTCCTTCCTGCCCGGCACAATGCTCCCGACAAACGGCGCAACCCGCAAATCGTACTCGCGCCTGCCCATGTGCTCAATCGCAACGTCGAGCTCAGCTTCCCACTTGATCGTCAAGATTTCCATTCTCTTCTTCAGCAGCTTCTTCTGCGAAGAGCGAAAGTCCCCGAATAGGTCCCAGCGACAGCCTTTCCACTTTTTGACGAATCGATCGCGCGCGTCGAATAGGGCGGGCGTGTTGTGGCACTCCATTACAGCGGCGATGTAAGACTGCATGAAAGACCGGCCCGAGGGAGTGACAGTAGCGACTGGACGTATGTAGTTGGGAGGTATGTATGACATGAGTGCCTTCTGCGAGAGTGCGAGGAGGGCAGTGAAAAACGCGAGGTTCCAGCGACATATATCGTGATAACGTTGAAGTGGGCGAGAGTCGTGAAGGTGATAGTAGAAGATCGCGCGCGTGATGTCCAGGCTTTGTTCGTCGTCATCTTTGATGGGGTGGCCTTTATGGCGGTCGATGTAGGTGCGTTGGCGCAGCAGGAAAGGGAGTTGAAGATCCGGAGGTATGTTTAGCACATGAACCGATCTCGCCGTCTTGAAGAAGACATCATCTATCGTGAGGCGGGGAAGGATGTGGTTGGGTATGTGTTTGAGTTTGCGATCCAGCAGGCTTTGGAGGTGGGAGACATCATCTATGGTGAGGTCGGAAGCCATGCGCGTGATCTCTTTGATTGTCGCCATGGTTGAGAGCTGCAGTTGGGTGATAAGTTGTGGAGGAGGATAACTTTATTTGCTCGATGAATGGGACGCGGCCAGCCGCAAGTGAGAGAACGGGACCCTGCATTCTTTCATCGCAGGAGCAAACGCTCGCGGGCCTGAACTGCTACAATGAGCTTTGACAAGACATACTCACCTCGACAAGTGAAACGTCACCGCCGTCATCGTTTCTTGTTCAGTGGCCTTCCAGTCAGTACTGCCGGTGCCATGATGTCCTCTTGACCTAGCGTTGAATCTCCAACGCTTCTCTTCAGAAAGAAGTCTTTATGCTTATATGCGTAAATAATCTTCTTTTTGGCGATGAGGGGAATACGGATTCCCGGCGGTAGGCAAAGACTTGCAGTATGTTATGACAATCCCAGCAGCGGGTTGTCTGTTGGACCAAGTCGATGCTCACTAGATGTGGGCATAATGGCTGCTCATGTACCCATGAGCACGTGGTTGCTGATAATTGTTATGGTAGTCACCCAACATTATCAAAGCACCTGATGCGTACGTCTCGCTGCCAAAAAGAGCGTCTGGTCGTTCTTCACAAAAGTGTCCAGGAGCTCTGCCATACTAGAAGACATGGTGGCAAAAAGGCGCAGATACGCGCGAGACCATAGTTCAGCACAGTGAAAAAAAGCACGCTCAATACCCACAATATCACAGCACGCCTCATCCAACAGCCTCAACCAAACACTATCCACCACAGCGATCGCAGTTCGCTCCCCCTGCACAACCCACCTCCATTCGCCGCCCTACCTTTTGCCGATCGCCGCGCGCGCGCGAACAGCTCACACACCCCGCCACCTTTTTTTTCCGCAGATGTTCTCGTGTGACGAGATTAGATTCCGCCCCAGAAGGATCTCGAAGAAAAAGTTGTGTGCGTCTCGGCGTTGTTCGCATGATCGGCATCACGATACTCGAAATGGAAGTTCGTCAGCCTCATCATTCTGCGGGATCACGCGTAGATCGCGTCGACGTGGCTTGAGGGGTATTACTCTCAAATTGTGCGTGTGGTATAATGCGACTGTACTGGTGTGTGCTTGTTGTGCGCGCATTGGTGTGGTCAGTACCCTTTTTATGAGTGTAATAATGCGCAGTGAGAACGTCAGCATGCTATCTTTAGATGACCCTCCGGTTCTTCCGCAACATAGCAGTGTTTCCAAGACCGTTCGCCCTGGTTGCTGGTGATATTATGACATTGCCGCCCTGATGCCCTATCGCCGGCTTCTTACATATTGAACTTAATCCAATCGCAGCAGAGAGATATTCTACAGTATTTTGTGCCCGAGCTTCCGTAGATCTAAATGAGAAGCTTCGGGCATATCGTGAGGCGGGTGAAACTTGCCGAATGCTTTGGTGAAGCTGAAGGCTGTGTGTGGTATGATCCGCTACAGGTACTGTAATAATAGAGACCAAAGACGTCAATTGGATGGAAGAAGACCCGGTGGTGCGAGCAACGATGGGAGATTGAGGGCAGGGAGTACGAGGGATCCTAGTATGATATGAGATCCGACTGTATTGCTTTTGTGCAACTCTCTAATGCCCCGAGAAAGTGAATACGCTGCTGGGGACACGTCGAACTTCCTCCGTGCATGAGCCATGGCTACTCAATGGATGCTCCTTGGTATAGCCTCATTCCATTCAACAGGCAATGTTCATGTTGTGGCAGTCGCGACCGACGCCAGCCAGGTCAAGTCATAGCAGGTAGAGTGTGCTCGTGAATCGACACTGCATCTACTCATTGTAGCAGCTGTTTTGGATAGAGTTTGACCCGGTTCCGAACAAGACCGAAGTCACAGAACTACGGTCGAGTTGCTGCATGTGGTCCACGCAGGTTGCCTTGTGGAATACTCCGACTGGTTCCATGCGATTGCATTCGGCGCGCGTGATGCCCAACTGCTCCAGGCTGTACGATAGGTTCAATAATTATGAATCTTTCATCATGGTGAGTATCCGGTGAAGATTGAATTTGCAGCCAGTATGCGGGCCTGGAGGCGACGGTGGTTGCCAGCTGTGCGTCTTGCTGGCATAATGCAAGTCCCTGCAGTCATCAGATACGCCCTGGGATATTTGCGCGGACACTGCGGCATTACATGACGATGTAAGAGTCCTTGGAAGCTGTCGGGTTTGTGATCTTAGGCCCAGTTAGCTAGAAACAACATGAGGCGCATCCAGGTTCCGCAGCGGGATTCGTAATAATCGAAAAGGTGTTGCATCCAAGAAGCTCTATACCAATTGGCGCTGTGAAGAGAATCGTGTCCGGCGATTGTAATGTCGTGCCTCATTTTTGCGCAGGGCAAAGTTGCCAGGTGCGGGTATGTTAGAGCAAAAATTGGTCCTCTGGAACACGAAGTACTGCCGAAACGCGGCTCTTCTGCGCCGAAGTGACGCAACACCGTAGTAATCGGCTCACATGATCCCTCGCATTGCTTTGTTTGTGACGATGGCCTGACAACTCAATACCGCCCATCAACTCCATGCACTGCGACCCATGCTTGACGTGTTGTAGACCACGTCCGCCGGGAGTCCCTTAATACGTGCGGGGTAGTCAGACATGCAAGCATCTCGGACATGGACTGCTGCATATGTAAGTCGGCCCACAATCTGATTGTGTGGCGCGGCTTTTGGGCACTGAGCAGATGCCCGCGTCCGATAGGGAGACGGAGAGAACGATGACGATCACCACCTCCTGGGAACGACGTCAGCGTGAACTCGTTCTGGCCGATTTGAGCCACGAGTAGACTGGTATCTTGGGCTCGAGCGGTGCATCTGGGGCGTGTCCGGCTGCGTGTGTAGCGATTTCTAATGCTTAGGCGAAAGGACATACTTCGGAAGCCTCATTGCATCAGAGCGACCACACCATCATCGAAACGATACGGCATGGGAGTGGAGATCTCACCTGGACGGAGTCGCCTGCTTCTTGCCGACCACCGTCAGCTGTCAGTGCCGCTTTCCAGAATGCCACGTTGTTTCGTGAAGATACCATAGGTTGGATCTGGCCTTTCATTCGTCCTCCGCATCGCCCTCGTAATAACATGGAAGCGAATAACTAGGAGACCCTTCCTCAATCCTTTTTACCGGAGTATGATGCAAGGGTCATGAACCCGATGTGAAGCCGGCAAGCGGTAAGGAGATAGTGTACGTCCGTGAAACGTGGGACGCCGTCAGGCACAACTGCCTTATGTTTGTAGGCAGTTAGAAAGGATGTCCCTGCAAGTATCGAGGTCCTTCGTAGGAATAGGACTAGGGACGCTAAAGAGCGGTGAACCCGATCTGGCGTTGTCTGGGAGTACCGGAACACTCAATCTCTCATTCCAGAATGTACCCATGAACTGCGACGAAGGTGCAAATGGAGCTTTGGGTGAAGATCGACATGGTTGTGAATTGCCAAGGATAGTGCTTGCATTTGGGCGAGCATCCAGGTGAGCTGACGACCATCGCAATGGTTTGCATGGAAGAGATGAGACTGCCGCGCCCTGCTGAGGAGAGTCGCGGTGGCAAAGAGATCGCCTTCCAGCTCCCGCAACACTTATATGTCGCAGTAGGAAAACACAGACGTGGCAAATGCGCTGTTCCCATCGAGGCATGCTCGCCCTGCAAGAGAGCTTCGATGAACCCAGAGTGATACATCGCCTGATTAGAATATACAGGACAATGCATGGCGTTGGGTAGGCGCGCTGTGGTGGAGATGCGCCTTTGCTTCGTGGCGGTCGTACTGGCTGCACATGCGCCCGACGATCGTGGTTGGGCCGACAGGATAGGGCGGAAATGAGGCGAGACGGCACCAGTGCATGCAGGCCCAAGCGGGGCCTCCACGGCGGAGTATTCAGCGCTCATGCTTTTGCTCTCGTTGGTTGCCGGCTTAGTTGTTGCAGTTTCAATGTGTCTTGTGTAAGAGACGAGGCTGCTGGAACATATAAGGGTCGGTGCGCCCAAGCTCACATTCAACCCATCAGAAGACGGCGTGAACCTAGAAACCAACCAAGCTCACCATAGTCCCTCAATCGCAATACCTGACACTGTGTTAATAATACACCGTCTGAAATGGCTTCCGCAAACTCGTACTTCGTCCCAGGATTTGGCATCTCGAGGACTGTAATTCAGAACGAGATTCGCTACCACTGTGGCCCTGACGCCATCGTTAGACCGTACACCTTTCAAGTACGTCAGCGCGATAGCATCCTGCATGTGTGTTCGTGTCAGAGCTGACAAGGTCCCTAGGGTCGTGATGGCTTTCTCATCTCAACCATTGGCCCTCCATTGACAAAGGTATACCTCTACGTTATCGGCATTCGCGTTCTCCTGTACTCACTCTGATAGGCGCAAATCGATGACTTGAAAGAATCGTCCCGCGAGTACGAAGAAAAACAATCCCGAATATCCAACGAGTCGAGCGTCTTCGTCAACGCACCTATCCCAATCAACCAACGGATACGCCGGCCATGACCGACGGATTATACGTTCTCTTGCTTTTGAGCGGGTGGTTAAATCTTTTGCGAAGTTTTGCACTATATCCTAACTCTTCATCACTTTATCGAACTTGCCCTCGCGATGTACAAGGCCTGGCAGGAGGCATGAGCAGGTCTCGGATCGTTGACAACAACGTGTTGATTTCTTACCGGACTGACATCCGGACTCACTATATAGTTTAGCACTTTTTCTTTTGGTGGTCTACTGAAGCTATTCTTCTGTCTTCAAATTCGGCTTGGTAATTTTTCTTTCTATTTTCTGTTGGAGCTTGACTTACGCAATTGATCAAATCACATTTCCATTGTTCCTGTAATTCTGCCACGTACTGATAATGTTCATTTGGCTGATTTGCCGTCTGTGTCACCTTTTGCTGGTTGATCGTGTTATTGATAAGTGTACACAGTTCTCGGCTGGTGCTGTGGATGCTTTCCAGCGGGGTTTTGGTGGAATCTTTGCTGAAAGCAGGAAGACACGACGTGTGCGGAGTGGATGAGGTTTGTGGTGCGGCTGCGACGCCTCGACGCAGGGACGACTGGGCGTTGATTGGGCTAGGCTTTTAGTCAGCTCACCGGTGAACGCCAACACTTGAGAGGTCTCGCAGTTACGAGCCCTGGAGAGCCACACACCGAATGATGTTTCCTGCATTTTAATCCTCTGCGCGCAAAGTGTTTCATCGAACACTAGCGCATAGCAGACATTACAGGTTTGCAGGTTACACCTTCACAACGACCGTTGCTGTGCGAGCGAGAAACAAGCTTTCCAGGAACCAAGTTCACGAAACAAAGACATGTGGTAATTTGTGCCTTCCCGCAGTTTGAGATGGGAATACAGCAAGCACAGTGCCTGTCGCGTACAACACCAGCTACCTCCTCTCCTGATTCAATCCATCGCACTCTTCCAAATCCATCTCATAAGGCTGCCCACCTCAAAAAGCCCGACGAAGACCCGCCGCCCGGGAATCCAGATTCCGCACCCTCAATGGCCCGCAAAGGCCCCAAGTGGCAATTCTCACGATCATTGCATCACAGTCTCGAGAAACAGTACGCTATGCGGTCATAGCACTCCAGCCCACCCAACCCGAGCAGTCGGCGACGCCAACACAACACGTCGCACAGGCAGTGAATTCGGCGCATTGATACCAATCTCCACTGCGCCATCTCCCAGATCCTTCGGACCGTGTTACACAGACAGTGGACACGATCTCAAGGCACGGATGATCCGACCGAGCGAACCAAGCCGGCGGGTAAAAGTAGGCTCTGTGGTTCGCTGGATCGGCGCAGGGCTGCTGGGGAAACTCGACCGAGTCCATGATTCAGAGAACAAGCAAAAACAAAGATAGGGACATTGTAAGGTATGACGATGCTTGGATTGTCTCGGGGATTTTTTATTCCCTGCTGGAGTTGCAGGAGTGAGGTGCACCCATGCGATGGGGCAATTCCAACGATGGAAGTTATTGGGGGGTGGGTTGGCGATGCGATACGAGCGCACGCACGTTGCTAGGACGCCGACCTTTGCGGGGACGGCACTGTGATATTTGGAAACATGCCTGGGGAGATCATGTAGATACCCATGTAAGGAGAAGATGCAGCTGCAGCTATGTTTACCTGCAATCTGAGAATGATGCCATGATGGCAAGGGTGAAGCGCGGGGCTCGAGGACACCTTCAGTAATTACGAACAGTCCCTAATAGGCATGCACGGCGCGGTGCAAAAAGGTACCATCGTAGACGTCAAAGGACCGGGTGAATTGTTGGCATCTTGTGGGCATGGTAGCTTTGCATAGTATCATTGGCAATGTTGGGATTCTTTCTTGTTAACAAGTTACTTTGGAGTAGGTGTTTTGCATCTTCTTTGTTCGATTGAAAGCAGCTTTGGCTGCCGACGCCGTCTCTTAGAGCGTAAAATGCAGGCGGTGCCATTGGTTCCCAACGGTTGATCCGAAACTTAGATTCGCTGTCCCCGCATGATTGTGGTGAAAACAGGCTATTTGGACGCATGCGGCGCGTGGGACGGCTGGCAGAGAAGACTTTGCTGCCTTTGGTCTCGACTCGTCCACTGCGGCGGTACCTGGAGTAGCAAATGCTAAGCTTTTTGATGCGCTAGTGCACCCTGGTCGCTGTTGCACCCCAAAAAGCAATTGCTTGCAGGGGGCTACGATCTTGGAGGCGAGCTGAAATCGTGCACGCCGAAAAATGTGGCGCTTCCAAGAACACGTAGCGTCGATAAGGTATTGACGTGAACAAGAGGTGGAAAATTGAGTTTACGGCTTCGATAGCCGATGTTGAGTGGATCTTCGAGGGGCATTGTGCAGATGTCAATCAAGCAAGGCTAGGAAGAATGAAAGTACCGCCTGCTGCAGCTGCAAACAGAATTACCTACCAGCCTTGCGTTACAGAGCGCTGGAGGAATTTGCGCACGGGCAGCGAGATCGTTCCTTGTGATGCTTTAGTCTGCATGTACCCCTGCAGGCACTCAGGAACGCGAAGCCGGCCTCAGCTTCTGCTCGCGTGCCAAGGCGACAGCATTGATCTTCCCGCTGTCAACTTTGACTTGCAGGGGAACAGGACCGCAAGAATTCGCCGTTCTACCAGCGGTAACGCCAATCACCGCAGATGCCTGTCAGGGCGACCACTGTGCTGGCATCGAGATCGTGTTGGTATGATGATCATAGATCGCAAAGCCCAAGATCCAATATGGGCTTGCTTTTTGGAGATCATATCGTGAAATGATCTTGTGATACGTCACACAGAAGATCCACTTTCATCTACCATTGTCTCAGACACCTGCAGTCCTGCGCAACGGTAGAGCTCGGGGGAGAAGACGGTGAAGATGGTTTACACCACCGCATGCGGCTGGGGCGTCGGTCAAAGAAACAAATGCGTATGTTCGGCATGCGCGGCCACGTTTCGCGATGAGGTGCGTGCTAGTTAAGCGTACTCGTTTGCCCCTGAAGAACTGCCATGATTGGCTCCGTGGCCCAAATCAGCTTTTGTAGAGGGGTGAGTGGGGATGGGCAGCCAGCCACAAGCCTCCACGCTCGGACTCACTCTGGGACCTGAAGATCCGGCTTTGGATGCGGGTCAGTGATGCGAAATAGCAGGGTTTGTACCACGCTTTCGGTTTCTATTGCGAACATCATCCTAGTCGCTGGCGGCGCCATTGTCGTTCCTCCCGATCTAAGTGACCGGTTGCCGGGACGCGATGCGTTTCTGCCACTTTATATAAGTCTGGCTGAAGTGCTCACGTACTATCACTACTCACTAGCACTCTCATCATCATCACCTACCCGCAATCCGAGAACCAAAAGCCATACTCAAGGACAATCTCGAATCAAACCTCATCGAGCCTCATCAAGTCAAATCAACACTTCGCCCGTTTAAAAAAAATCAGCCATGTGTCAAAACCTCGAACTCAAGACGCAATCAGCCGGTCTGGCTTCAGGACTTCGTCTTACAGAGGAGAACCTGCGTCTGCACAGCGCGGTGAACAAGAAGGTATGCTAGAAAACCAGCCAATTCTGTTCCTAGTCTAACACTTTCATAGATGCCACCGCAAATCATGTTGCAGAACCACCAGCTCGCCGAGAAGGAGTTCCACTACAACTTTAACATGGACTACGAGGAGTCGGAAGATGGCGACCTGCTTGCAATGCACGATCTGGCACTTCGGCAGGCGGTCTCTCTGGAGGCGCTCCAAGCATACGGCGGCTGCTTTGTCTCTGGCTTCCTCGCTATGCAAGAAACCCCTCCATGGGCATCATCACCGACTGCCACAACATACTCGGGCACGTCGTCAACCAGCACTGGCAGCCCGCGGCCAGACTCGCAGACGCTGAGCCGCGAGGACCTTCGTGACTTGAGCGGGAAATCAAAGAAGAGCTGGAAAGGCCTGAAGAAGATTCGAAGCATAGCCCGCCTGTCAAAGAACTGAGCCTTGCCGGAGCATCGAGAAGAGATTTGATTTCCAACTGGTCATTATTTAGCGTAGGCGTTTGGGTCTGAAACCTGTTGAAAAGCATCGCGAACACCATCTCTTTTGTCATCTCTTTTGTCACGAAGTCCACGACGACACGGCCTGAAGCATCTTCGCATAATGTATACTAGCAGCTATCACGGCTGAAGACATCTCTGATTAGCGTCATACAGTCAAATACTAGGTATCACCTGATCAAATGTGCCTCCTCCAGATGTCGTCGTGAACAATGAGAAGTAAGACAAGCGTACCTTGCTCCGACTAGCAAGTGTCAGCACTGCACCTCCGACGCCGAACATCGGACTGGGGCGCGTCGCCGCTACGCGTGTCGCTGATCCTCGGACGCATGATGTGCTTGTCATCGGTGAGTGTTGTCGCTTCGGTCACGATGTGGTTCGCGGGGAGGTTTGAGACAGCGAGCGGCTCTCAGTGTGGTGTGGGGGTTGCTGACAAGCTGTTGCATGTGACGTGTAGCCAGCCAGTCAGAGCGCGTCAATTGTGCGCAGGTGCATGGCGTAGATGCGCATGATCTGCGGTCAAAGCGAGAAATGAATGTTCAGCTCATTGTGCAATTGAAGCGCGGCAACCCGTGTTACGAAGACAACACTTGGGTATGCGATGGATGTGTTGGTGGAAAGACGAATTGCTGAAGAAGTAGTGGGCGGTGACGTATGAAGTGGGCCCACAGCTTTCAGCAGTCGCGATGAGGAGGCAGGCGCTACACAGGCACAGGAGACAGCTTTCGCGAAGCACAAGACGTATTTCGCAGCTGCATGTATCCTATATGTCCTGCTAAAAAGCTCACCGCCTATCGCTGCTGCCTGCAATGCGTCGCCCCGACTTCCTTTCAATTCCGTCGGTGGACCTGCCGGCTTCGTATGCAGGAAAAGTGCACTTCTTCAATCTTCTGCGGGCCCATAATCCCTTGGCTATAGCTTCACCTACCTCTATTGCCTACACCACCCTACTCGTTCTCCCAGTATAGTCTGTCGTGGCGCCACCTGTCCCAACATTGAATTCTAGTATCAAAGCATCCTCAAACACTGCGTCGTGGGTCCCACCGCTACCCCCACCTCGGCGGGTCTGAGCCAGCTAACTTCGTCACAGTACCTGTACCTAGGCCATATCTTCAGCACCCACCACCTCCCACCACCACTTTTCACGGCCAGCACTGCTCCATTGCTGCCCAAGCCCTGCCGCCCCCGTAGCATGAGCTCGCAACCTTTGAAGACGCGTCGAACTTCGTCAGTTCAGGATCCCCTTGCTCACCCCCATGTGTACTACGGCGAAAGCCATTCGCGCAAGCACAACCGCGCGAGGACATACTCTGCGGTAAGTCTTTTGCCGCCATGCTCAATGTTTTCTCCGCTGACACGCTGCAGAATGTAGACCGCTCTGGCCGCAATGCACCACTTTCCGAGGGCGTGTCTGCTGGGCGGCGCATCAGTCACGGTACGTACCTGCAGTCGTAGAGTGCATGCAAGAGCTTGAAAGCTGAAAGCTGACTGCTGCAGATGAGGTGTCCATGCAGCCGCGCCGCTTCCTGATTCAGGTCGACGAAACCCTACAGACGCTCCTCTCCCGTGAGGATCTGGATGAGAACTACCAGATCACCATAGATGACAAAGGACCAAAGGTACTTCACCTAGCTACTGTTAAAATCACACGCTGACATGTGCAGGTACTTTCACTCGGGACCCTCGCATCCAATGCACACAACAAATTCGACGTTCGCGGCACCTATATGCTCTCCAACTTGCTCCAGGAGCTCACCCTCGCAAAAGACTATGGCCGCAAGACCATTGTGCTTGACGAAGCACGCCTCAACGAGAACCCCGTGAACCGCCTTCAGCGACTCATACAACACTCCTTCTGGGACGGCCTTACCCGCCGCATTGATGGCTCAAATATTGCAAAGGTCGGACGGGACCCGAAGGACTGGACTAAGGACCCACGTCCCCGCATCTACATTCCACAGGGTGCACCCGAGCAGTACGAGTACTACACCCGCATCGCGCGAGAGCATCCTGACATGCGCCTTGATGTTCAATGGCTGGCCAAGGACTGTGACAGCCCTGAATATGTGCGAGACCTGAACAAGGCGCCCGGGCTGCTCGCCATTGCTATGGAGGAGTGGATTGATCCCGTCACCAAGAAAAAGGACCTGAGAGGCCTGCCATTCGTGGTGCCCGGCGGTCGCTTCAACGAGCTGTACGGCTGGGACAGCTACATGGAGTCGCTTGGCCTGCTCATCAACGACCGCGTGGACCTGGTGAAGCCAATGGTCCAGCACTTCTGTTTCTGCATCAAGCACTACAACAAGATCCTGAACGCCAATCGGACCTACTACCTCTGTCGTTCGCAGCCACCCTTTCTAACCGACATGGCACTGCGTGTCTACGAACGCATCAAGCACGAGCCCGGGTCGTTGGAATTCCTGCGCGAGTCCATACTTGCCGCTATCAAGGAATATAACTCTGTCTGGATGGCTGCACCACGCCTAGATCCCGTTACCGGTCTGACGCGGTACCGTCCAGGCGGTCTCGGTGTACCGCCCGAAACAGAAGCCAGCCATTTCGAGCATGTGCTCAAGCCATACTACACTAAGCATGGTATGACTTTTGAAGAGTTCGTTGACGCGTACAACAACCAGCGTGTCAAGGAGCCGGAATTAGATGCCTACTTCCTCCACGATCGTGCAGTACGCGAATCAGGTCATGACACTTCTTATCGACTTGAGAACGTCGCTGCAGACCTTGCAGTCGTGGATGTCAATGCACTTTTGTACAAGTATGAGGTCGATATCGGTCGCTGTATTCGCAACCACTTCGGAGATCGTCTTGAGATCCCTGCAGAGTTCTGTGCCGGGAACATGAAGCCTGGCCAGATTGAGACATCTGCCGGCTGGGAACGCCGCGCTAGGAAACGGCGTACTCAAGTTGACAAGTATCTCTGGGACGAGGAGGCTGGCATGTACTTTGACTATAACACCGTCAAGCAGGAAAGGACCGGCTACGAAAGTGCAACAACCTTCTGGCCCATGTGGTCTGGTCTGGCTACTCCTCGACAGGCTAGCATACTTGTTGAGAAGGCATTGCCGAAGCTCGAGGTTTTTGGTGGTCTGGTCTCTGGTACTGAAAAGTCCCGCGGCCAAGTCACTCTCGAGCGCCCCAACCGGCAGTGGGATTATCCTTTTGGCTGGGCACCGCAACAGATCCTTGCATGGGTCGGAATGCAACGATATGGGTACGATGCCGAGGCACAGCGATTGGCTTATCGATGGTTGTTCATGGTTACCAAGGCTTTTGTTGACTTCAACGGTGTCGTCGTGGAAAAGTACGATGTCACCAGGAAGATCGATCCTCACAGGGTTGAGGCAGAGTATGGTAACCAAGGCAGCGACTTCAAGGGTGTGCCGCGCGAAGGGTGAGTCTGCTACCTTCCATCGTAGACTTCTCATGATTAACGTCTTATAGATTCGGTTGGGTCAACGCAAGTTATATTTACGGCCTCACGCTTCTTAGCGCCCATCAGCGTCGCGCGTTGGGCGCTTTGACCGACTATGATAGCTACGAGAGAGCGGTGTCCGACCTCGGCATGGCCTAAAGCCTGCTATTTTGTACTTGCATCAATCACGACTTCATGACATGCATTCAGGTCGGATGCTAGATCTGGGCTTCTGCATTTCAGCGAGTCAATGAACGTTCACTCGTTAAGTGGCGCAATGTAAAAGATGATCTTGCCTCTGGGGAGTTTGTTCGGAGTGTTCGCGGCTTTGATATGGAGATCCTTGGTATTAGTGCGAGTTGACGGCAGGGTGGAAATGTGGGGGTTTTCGGTATGGTTTGACTTAGGCTTGAGCTATGATCAATACAAGACATTAATACTCCAAAGGTAGAACTTCCATTAGAGAGAAGGAGCTCATCCTCGTATTTGATTATTGGCTTCATCAGGTATCAACAGTGTTACGAGGCCACCGCATGTAGCTGCAGCTGGGAATTGCCTACACGGGCAACATCAAGATTCCACAACAACCACGACGCCCGGTCGCAAATACGACCACTGGTCAGCCAATTCACGGTATTCAGCGACAATCTGCATCACTCCGATCAATGAGTCACTGCTTCTGCCTTTATTAATTCTCGAAACGATGTATTTGCCTCAGATCTCTATCGCCTTTCGAGACAGTTTTTGGAAGTATGCATAATGCTTCTATGCACCACCACTGACCGTCCACCGCCAAGATTCCAGAACAGGTAGTGTCCCGCCACGACGCCCGTTTTCTTAGTGTTCAGACACTCCTTGGAGATGTGGGCCAGTGCGTCTTCACGGTATGGTAGTTTCTCATCTTCGGCCAGCTCCTCCAAGGCTGCCAGACTACCTTAGAATGCTTGTTGATTGGAGATTAATGAAGAGGTTGTGGAGACGCGGCTATGCGGCTTAAGGTATGCGGAAAGGGTTTGCTACCTGGTCATGGCGACAACGTCAGGCACAGAAGCATGTGGATTGTCTGATGCTTGCTCCGTGCTTCCACGTGATGAAAAACAAGTTGGATGCATTGAGATCCTACATGACGAATACAAAGTCTCAGCTCCTTCCACAGTGCGAAGCAAAAGCGCACAAAGGACCACAAGACGCCATGTCACGCTCCCGAATTCTCTTTAGTTGAACAAAAAATTGTTTTCTGAATCTAGCCCAAAACTCTGGGCTAAATGCGTCAAAGTTGATTCGACTCCTAAGGGCAATCCATAGATCTGCCATGCTAATTTTCCTTTCCAGTGTTGAATAAGTGATATCTTTGCCGAACGCCAGGAACCCCTTTGCTGTTGTTGAGAATACATGATTGCTGTTGAATGCAACACATTACCGCCTATTTCTGCCCATTGCTGGGCGTGTAGTGTCTATCGTCTAAAACATGCCGTCGATCTCGCCAGTTTCGACGTCGACATCGATGTTGAGGTATCCCGGTGCGGTGGGCAGACCGGGGATGGTCTGGATATCCGCGGCAAGCGCGTACAGGTATCCTGCACCAGCTGCCATGCGCACGTCTCTGATGGGGACAGTGAAGCCGGTTGGTGCGCCCTTGAGCGCTGGGTCGTGCGAGAGCGAGTATTGCGTCTTCGCAACGCAGATGGGCAGGTTGCCGAGTCCCTGCTTGACGTAGGTGTCGACCTTCTTCTGTGCGAGCTCGGAGAACTCGACCTTGTCGGCACCGTACATCTTCTTGGCGATGGTCTCCATGCGCTCCTGCACAGTGCCAGAGTTGACGTCGTAGAGCAGCTTGAAGTCCTTGGGCTTCGCAGACGCGGAGATGATGCCGTTCGCGAGGTCGATAGCGCCCTTTCCACCCTCGGCGAAGTGGTTGGCGGGAATCGCGTCTTCGGCACCAGCGGCGATGGCCTCCTCGCGGATGACATCGATCTCAGCTTGCGTGTCTGTTGCGAAGCGGTTAATGGCGACAACAACAGGCACACCGTACTGCTTGGCGTTCTCAATGTGCTTCTTGAGGTTGACACAACCCTTGCGGAGAATCTCCACGTTCTCAGTGCGGTAAACCTCCGCGAGTTGAGCACCAGGGCTGATGTCGGGACCGCCGCCGTGCACCTTGAGTGCACGAACGGTAGCCACAATGACCACAGTGTCAGGGACAAGACCAGAAGAGCGGCACTTGATGTTGAAGAAGCGCTCGCCACCCATGGTAAAGTCGAAACCGGCCTCGGTAACGACGAAACCAGTCTGCTCGTCGTGGTTCTCATCCGGCTCAGTACCGGCGAGCTTGAGAGCAAGCTTGTCTGCCAGGACGGATGAAGCGCCGATACTGATGTTAGCAAAAGGACCGGCGTGGACGAAGACGGGTGTGCCTTCAAGTGTCTGCATCATGTTGGGCTTGATGGCATCAGTGAGCAGAGCGGTCAGTGCACCACCAGCACCAATGTCGTCACAAGTAACAGGGTCACCAGCACGGGAGCTGGCAACAACCATGCGGCCCAGGCGCTCGCGGAGGTCGTGGAGGTCATTGCTCAATGCAAGGATGGCCATGCACTCGCTAGCGACCGAGATGTCGAATCCGGTCTCACGAGTGTGTCCCTTCTCAGTAGGTGCCTGGCCAATGGTGATGCCTCGCAGATGTCGGTCATTGACATCGAGGACTCGTCGCCAGGTGATGGTCTCAGGGTCGATGTCGAGCCTAGCAAATTTCCTGATCTCCTCCTCGGTAAGCTCATCTGGGTTGGTCTTGTCGATGCCGAGCTTCTTCAAGCGGCGGAACATGACAGGTACGAATTCGCGCTTGCCCTTCTTGGTGGGGACAAGGCGCTTGTAGAGGGCGGCATCTTTCTGCGTGCTCTCATGGAACATGCGCGTGTCGATGGCCGCAGCGAGCAGGTTGTTTGCCGCAGTGATGGCGTGGATATCACCAGTCAAGTGCAGATTGAACTGGTCCATGGGGATGACCTGACTGTATCCTCCACCAGCGGCACCGCCCTTGATACCAAAGGTCGGTCCCATGCTAGGCTGTCGCACGTTGGCGAAGCATATCCTGCCGAGCTGGGCACCCAATGCCTGCGCTACACCAATGGTAGTGGTCGACTTGCCCTCTCCAAGAGGCGTGGGGGTAATACCAGCGATGAGGATGTATCGTCCGTTGCGGCGGTGCTCGAGTCGCTTCAACAAAGAGAGGTCGACCTTGGCCTTTGTCGAGCCATATGGCTCCAGCTCGTGGGGCAGAATACCCACCTCCTTGGCGACGGTGGTGATTTGCTTGGGGTGTTGTTTTCTCGAGATGACATGATCGGCAGGAATGGGGTCCTCGAGCTTGAGCGACAGAGGGGTGATCTTCCGCTTCTTCTCGCGGTCAAAGGTGGCATCGGCTGAGTCGACGAGGTTCTGCAGCAGCATGGCAATCGTCATGGGCCCGACACCGCCTGGCACTGGTGTGATCTGTGACGCGACCTCGGCGGCGGACTCAAAGTCGACGTCTCCGACCAGCCTCTGTCCGCTCTTCTTCGTGTCATCGGGGACGAAGTTGGTGCCCACGTCGATGACGACAGCACCGGGCTTGAGCCAGTCGCCCTTGACGAACTGGGCCTTGCCAATGGCAGCGACGACGATGTCGGCGCGCTTGACGACCTCAGGCAGGTCGGCAGTCCTCGAGTGGCACACGGTGACGGTGGCGTCGGCGTTCTTCAGCAGGTAGCTGACGGGGCTGCCCACGATGTCGCTGCGGCCCAGCACCACGGCGTTCTTGCCCTTGATGTCGACGCCCGCCTCTTGCAGCAGCACCATGACACCTTTGGGCGTGCATGGCGTGAAGAGCGGCTTTCCGCCCCGCTTCGCCAGTTCACCGATGCTCTGGACGCCAAAGCCATCGACGTCCTTCTCGTCGGCGACGGCCGAGGTGATGGTGTGCTCGGAGATGTGCTTGGGGAGGGGCAGCTGCACGAGGATGCCGTGGACCGCGGGGTTGTTGTTGTACTCGTAGACGAGGTGCAGCAGGTCGGCCTCGCTGGTGTCTTCGGGCAATTGCACGAGCTCGCACTCAATGCTGGCCTCCTCGGCCGCCTTGAGCTTCATGCGCACATACGTGCTCGAGTCTGACCGGTCGCCCACTGGTGTTTGTTAGCATTCACTGTCCTGCCTGCATTCGTGTGCCATGTCATGTGCTCACCCTGGACAATCTTCAAGCTCGGCTTGTACCGCGGATTCGCGCTCTGCCTCTCCTTGATCTTCGCACCCAACCGCTCGCGGATGCTCTTCGCAATGGCAGTGCCATCGATCTTGGTGGCCGTCATGGTGAATGCTGTGGCCGAGAAGTACCTGGTCGCGTACACGCTCGCCGGGGCTGTATATAGAGGGCCGGGCGTTCGTGGCCGACAATATTTTCTGGGCGGGGTAGCTGTAGCTTGCGGAAAGCAACGGGCGGGAGCGAGAAGACGTCCGCACATCGGATGCAAACTCATGCTGATCCAGGTCACCTCAGCGTTCCTTTTCCAACTCTAGCGGGTTTGGTGTTATCATTCCGCTATCTGATTGTGACTCAAGACGGGTCCGCAAAATATTATTCAAACGCCCGGAGAAAGCTGAAAGCCCGCCGACGCCAAATTGGCGGCCCGCACCCTTGGATTACGTATTGCCAGGGACATATTTGCCAGGTACAACAGCACCACACTAGATCATTTGTAAGAGTAGAATATCACCGGGCATGCTTCGATTCTCTGTCTATCATCCAGAAACGTTCCTCACTATGCGGAGGGCTTCTTGCCTAGACTATAAATTCTCCATCAGGACACCGTACAGCACAAACAGCTGCTGAGCCTTGAGCTTCAGCGCTCCGGACCGTCCTGGATCGCAGAGCTGGCTGAACCTATCCGGATGCCACCTATTGCGCTCCTCCTTCAACCAATCATAGCTGAAGCTCCCTGAGCCGCGCAGCAGAACCTCCAAGTCGTGGGCACAAATGCCCAGGCAAGCCTCATCGTTCTTGGTCTGCTTGCATCCAGCCCTAGTGCACACAGCCACATAGTCGGCCATCCTCAAGAACCGAGTCACCGGACCTGGCCGCATGCTCGCGACGTCGTCCATGAAGTGGAGCCACGCAGCTCGAGCATCGACATAGTGGAGGCGGGGATGATCGAAGTCCAGCCAGGATCCATGCGCGTATCCCTTCACGCCCTTTTGATCAATGACGATGTACCAATCTGCTTGCATTCTCTGAAGCACCTTGATCAATTGGCCCTTCTTTACCGATAGCTCCCAGGTATCTCTGGTGACTCCATGAGGACGACCTGACTTGGTACAGACGGCCCAACGGAAGTATTTAGGCTCCGTCTTCTGTACGATAGGACGAAGGCTGTAGCTGACACTCGGAAGCCTAGCGTGGACAGGTTCCTCACCCAAATGCAGGACGAATGATACGTCTTCCTCGGGGATCTGCTTCTTGACTATCGCAAACTGCTCGCTCGATGGTGCGTGGGCACTGATAGCCAGATGCTGGGTACATGAGTGACTTTCCTTTTTCTTCAAAGTGTCCACTTACCGCTATCTCTGCGACATGTTCTTGCCCAAAGATGCATTTCTCCAGTCCTGGCCACAAGCTCCACCAGGCTTCTACCAACATGGCTGATCGGAATTGCCTGTCGTTAGCGTGGGTAGTCTCAAGGTAGTATGAGCCGTCCCTGTTCCACTGAACGTTGATGAGAGAGCCCTTCTTAAGGGAGCCCATGGTGATGTTTTGGCCGACACGTGTGCTGGAGCTCAGGGAGCACATATGTTTGTGCAGCTCGTCTGGAACGTTACCAGAGCAGGCCCACGCAGTCTTGCTCCAAGCCACAAACGAGTTGGCGTGACCGAGCTGCACACGTAGTGTGCCTTCGAGATCCGTCGGTTTGCCGAACCTACCAACGTACTCGCGGAGAGGGCCAGGCACACCTTTGCCGAGACGGAACGTCGTGGCACCATCCTTGAAGGCGTACGCGAAGAACCAAGAGTCAATAGTACTGCCAAAAGCTACCCATGTAACCTTCTCGATATCGCCTGCCGCAAGCTCAGCGAGTGGCTGGGTGGGTAAGTAGCTTCTGCGATACATTATTAGCTGCTTGTTAACACACAATAAAGCAGTGTCGGTCGCTTACGCAGAGTATCCATCGCAGGTGGCAACGAACTGTCGGTTTTCGGGACCCAATGCGATGATGTACTGGTCGATGTCGAGACGCTTGAGTCTACTCAGGGCATTAGTGATGAGGTTCGTGTCGGTGTTTATCGAAGACATGACCGGGGTCACTGCTGCTGCCTCAGATCTGCTGTTAGTAGGTAACTTGCTCCTCGTGAAGCAAGTAGAGCGTGTTGTCGAGGTGTTGCGGGGTACGCGCGTGTCGGAGTTGAAATAGAAGGAGCGTTTGCGCCAAGACTGCTGACTAGGCGACGGGACCGTAGGTGACAGCAACCGCAAGAACACAAGGTGAAGACGAAGCGAAGATCAGGTGAAGACGATTAGACGTGCTATTTGTGCTCGTGCTATCCAGGATGTAGGATATGATCTTGTCGAGAAAGGAATCTCACGGCACTGTTCGGTCTGTGTTGGCACACTGCCTTGATCTAAGGACCATGCTGAATGAAGGCACACCTGCAGAGCACCTGGGCATGAGCACCCACGTCGGTCCACCTGAGTGTAGCACCGATCATGTCACTCCGTAGACCGGGACACGGGCACAAAGCACTCCCCAGATTCTTGTCCATAGGTCCCAGATGACTTCGTCAGCTTGTCGTAATGTCGGGCGCTTCACGGCTAAGAACGCGTCAGGACAATTGCGGTATGGGTGAGTATAAAGCGCAGTCGCTTGAATACAGATAGATATAGGGTTCCAGGCTCTTCGGATGACAGGTCATCTTTCGATAATCCCGTTCCCTGCCTGGTCTGGGCCGTACTGGCTGATAGAAGTAGCAGGTCCAGGGTGGCATGGGTAGTTTTTGAGACAGCGCATTGAAAAGAAATAGACGCGAAGAATCAGGCAATGACAAGGGTGAGATGGACATGAAATATTGAAAGACTGAACGATGACGTGAAGCATGACTTTGCAAGCTTCCTAGGCCATTTGTGAGAGAATGAATACTCCACCAGCAGGGCTTGCACTGTGATTGCACCGGCGTCAGAAGACGAGAAGCAGTCTGCTACTATGCGGGTCTTTTCCCGAGTCACCGTGGTGAGGCAGACGGCTCTCTGCCCCAGTCATTGTTCATGGTGCTGAAATGCGCTACAGGCCTCGACGGACGAAGGGGATTACATAGTGTCGAAGACTCACACCGAGTGCACTGCTGAAGTCAGAGACAGACAGCTCTGGCGAACTTTATGTTAGCTGAGTGTGCGATGTCTGGAGCAGAGGGTGAGTCAAGGTGTTGGGAGAGATGATGTCGCTTGTACGAACGGGCGATTATGCGGACGCTCCCCGCTTTGGCGCTAGCTCGAATTTCGACAGCCCACTTCAAACACCAAACCAGCGATATCAAGAGTCACCGAAATTGCTAGAAGCCACCTCCGCTACATAAAATCGCCGCCCACCGCCTCCCCGACACACCGCAATCATGAGGCCGATTTTGCTTTCCGGACACGAGCGTGCGCTCACGCAGGTCAAATACAACGGCGATGGCGACATCATCTTCTCCGTCTCCAAGGATCACGTTGTGTGCGCGTGGTGTTAGTGGTCACTTTGAAGGAAGAGACGAAGACCAGAGGCTGACAGGATGCAGACTCACACAATGGCGAGCGGATAGGAACCTACCACGGTCACCAGGGTGCGCTCTGGACCGTCGACGTCAACCCCGATTCCACACTCCTCGCGACTGGTGGCGCAGACAACACCCTGCGGTTATGGGAGGTCCAGACGGGAAAGCTCCTGCACACCTGGGAGTTCAACACATCGATCAAGCGCTGCGAGTTCTCGCCCGACGGCAGGCAACTACTCGGTGTGACTGAGAAGCGATCCGGTCACCTCTCCACCATCGTCGTTTACGAAATCAACCCCGACCCCGAGGCGAAGCAGAGCGACGAGCAGGTACTGAGAATTGTCTGCGACGAGAGCAAGGCCACCGTTGCTGGCTTCAGCTACCTGGCCAAGTACATCATCTCAGGACACGAGGACGGATCCGTTACACAGTGGGATGGCAAGACTGGAGAGCTCCTGAGCAGCAATTACGATGTGCACGAGCCGGACATGCAGGGGTATGTTCCAGAAGATCCGAGACAAGATACAGGTGCTAACAGTTGGCAGTTACTGATCTCCAGTGGGCGCCCGACCGATCATACTTCATCACAGCGTCAAAGGACAAGTCCGCCAAGGTACGCCCTCGCGACAAAGCATGTGCGCTTCGATGCTAACCGTGTGCAGCTCGTCGATGTCGAAGATCTTACCGTTCTCAAGTCCTATGTTACCGATACACCTCTCAACAGCGCCGCCATCACGCCCGTAAAAGACTACGTTATCCTTGGTGGAGGACAAGCCGCCATGGATGTCACCACCACCTCTGCCCGCCAAGGAAAGTTTGAAGCGCGTTTCTACCACAAGATCTTCATGGAGGAGATTGGCCGTGTCCGTGGTCACTTTGGACCCCTCAACTACGTCGCCGTGCACCCGCAAGGCACCGGATACTGCAGTGGAGGAGAGGACGGTTACGTGCGCGTACACCACTTCGACAAGCCATACTTTGACTTCATGTACGAGGTTGAGCGGGAAGCGGCGAGGGAGCAGGCCAACTTGTAATTGCCCAGCACGATTCATGAGGGATGTCTGGGGTGATGCATGCATGCAACGGCGTTCCGGCAGGGTTTTGGCTCTTCAAAAGTTCAGGAGAGCATGTCTAAGTCTAGGGACAGTATTGAGAGCAATGTATGCCCGCTGTATCCATGATAGAATGGGACGCGCAAAGCAGCACTTGCCGATAAGAAGTGAAGGAAGGGGCTCGGACGAAGCCTGAGCGTGATGCTCGATAGCCACTTGAAGCAGATCACAAGAAGCCTTGCAAGAAATGTAGAGCAAATGTAAAGATTCAACAACAACCGAATCGCACGCGTGACGCGCCCCAGAGATGTGATTGGCCACATGATTTAAGCGATTGCGACTTCTACTTTGAACAACATTAACAACCGTCATGCTCTTACATGTGCATTGACTGAAATTAGCAACATGGGCAAATAACTCGCCAGACTGTTATGCTTCTTCCCTCCAACATCCACAAATCGAAAGTGTGTGGCATTGGCATCCCAATGCAAGTATGCATCAACAGCACGTGGTACACCCAGCTAACATCACGGCAGACCCATCTTCTTTGCATCCGCGTTCCTGATCCTGCTCTTCTATTTCTCGATGGGCGACACACATCATGATCTGGTTCCGGCAGAGCCGTCGCGGGACTTTCACTTCAAGTTCGCAGTGCTGAAGGGATACTTCATGCAATCCGAAGACTCCACCGATGATGTGACTTTTGACTTCGTACGCTACTCTGTTCACTCGGTGGGCACGTGCTAATTCTTCGCAGAAGAAAAGCAACTTCGGTCTGATCAACAGAACCTACGACACCGACGTTGCCAGCGCAGAGAAAGAGCAATGGAAGCGTTTCGAGGCCCACATACGCACGTTAGTCTCGCAAGATCCATCCATCAAAGTAATTTGGCTCGGCCGCCACGGCCAAGGATGGCACAACGTCGCTGAAACAAAATACGGCACAAAAGCATGGGACGTTCGTCGCCGCCTTCTTCCTCTCAACCTCAACATCACCTGACCTAACAAACAGTGCTACTACTCCGCCCTTGATGGCCACGACGGCATCACCTGGGCCGATGCCAACCTCACCACTGCCGGCCAGCAACAGGCCCTCGACGTAAACGCCCTCTGGAAACAACAATTGCCTCACGGCATCCCCGTGCCAGAAACATTCTACGTCTCCCCGCTAACGCGCACCATCGAGACCGCTGATCTATCCTTCAACGGCCTGGAGCTGGGGTATAAGCCCTTCATCAAAGAACTATGCAGAGAAGCACTCGGCATACATACGTGTGACCGGCGCTCGACGAAATCTCACATCGCGAAGACGTTCCCTCATGTGACGTTTGAGCAGGGGTTCAGTGAGCCGGATCCGCTGTGGGAGAAGGACTATCGCGAGCCGCCGGCTGCGAGGAGGTATCGGTTGGCGCGCTTCTTGGACGATGTATGGAAGAGCGATGACGGTGTGTTTTTTAGCTTGACGAGCCATTCGGGCGCGATTGCGAGTATACTGGAAGTCATAGGGCATCGTAAGTTTGCGCTTGAGACGGGAGGGGTTATTCCGGTTGTTGTGAGGGCAGAGAAGGTGGATGGTGCCAGAGAAATTCCGCCCAAGGAGCCGAGTGATTCTCCACCCATGTGCGATAGGCCACCGGAGATGGTTGGAGCTGTCTGAAAAGATGTGAGTAAATCACGAACAGGTCTGGTAGTTGTCATGGTTCATGGATGTATTGGGTTCGCATTCGCACTCTGATGCAGAGTGCCAGAACCGCTGGTTCGATATCTCGCCGAATCATGCAAATCTAATGATTCCTCCATGATTTATGTCCATCAATAACGCCGTGAATCCACGCCCGCTAATCCATCCATGTCGCCAAGATGACGTCCTGACGTCCACACCATCAGTCCACCCTCTATTTCTTGTTCGGGAACTTGGGCTGGCCAATCTTGTCACCCCGTAGAATGACGTTCAACGTGCGCTCCATCTTGCCCAACAGACCCTGGTCCGGCGTCGCAGTTCCGCGCTCAAAGTCGGCTACGATAGTCGGTGTAGTGTTGCACTTCTGCGCCAAATCCTTCTGCGTCATCGTCGTGCCCTTGTCGTTCTTCGCCTCGGACCGCGCCTTGCTAATCGCCTGTCCCACAACCGTGCCCACCGTCTTGGGCTTAACGATGTCGTCGGAGCGATCGACCTTGGTAAGGCGCTGGCCCTCGGACGAGCTGCTGCCGACCTGGGACTGGGGATTAGTAGACAGGTAAGCGGGTGTGTCTCGTTGTGGAGCGAGGCTGGTGGTGTCAAGCGGGGGTTCTACTTACGGCGTTGGCCGAGGCGTACTTCTTCTCCGTGGCGATGATGCCGCCGGAGCGCTGGGCAGCGTTGAGCGCGGCTTTGCCTTTGACCACGGTCTCTCGGGGTCCGGCTGCGCTGCCGCGGGTCCGGCTACCGATCTTGGTGACTTCGTCCCAGCCTAGTCCAGACATTTTGAGAGAGTTCTTGGGTAGTGTGAGAAGAAGTTGGGGTATTCGTGGTGCCTGAGGCTGACAGAGGAGTTGTCCTGTGCGGTTGGCGGGGGAGGTGGTGGTTGCTTCTTATATCGTTTGGGCAGAAGCGTTTGCTGAGTAATTTGTCAAGCGGATGAACAGCAGCAGGTTGGTAATTGAATGTGCAGTGATAGAGGCTGTTTTGATGGGCGCTCTGGAATTTATCGGGCTCTTTGATAAACGACGCAAGGCGGCGATGAGTCGGAGCTGCTGCGGTGAGGTCACCGCCACACCCTAGTCTCGCTTAGGGCACGCGCTCTCGAAGATTCCATCGTGAGTTCTGCTTTGCAGCCCTTCCGCCCTTCTTTCACCACCCAACGTCTGCTTACTCTGTGGCTGGCTTGTGAACGACGTATCATTGAGATGGGCTCGCATTATCCGAGATGAAATCTATCTCTATGGACCACCTATAATCACGAATCCCAGCCCTCAAAATGCTTCCAGGGACACAATCGCGAATCACCGAGGAGACACCATTGGGCCTCGAGATGATACACACGCCCAATGGCTCATCTCATGATGACCAGTTGCCATACAGCTGGAAATTGCTACCCACCTCTTCAGTATACGTCGTCTCTCCTTCCCAATGAGAAACTCGTTTGTCAATAGAGGAAGATCAACCCCCACCCGCTTCAAGCCCGTACTTGTACTATTGACCTAATGCTTGGGTGTCTGATTCCTCTGCTGTGGACAGGCGCTGGTGCTTGGAGCGGGACATATGTTTGGTTACCCTGTCGATTGGAGAAGAACGTTCACGCAATGGACAAGATCAGTGTTGCTTTCACAGAGTAACACCCGCCATGTAATCCTAACATTGGACTAAGACATGATCTCGTAGAACTTGGCCATCAACAGATTGTTGGTCCATGCACATTCCAAACAAAACCTCCAGTGAGCCCTCTCCATCTTCCTGCAGTGCAATCTAGGCCGCTCCGTCTCTTCTTTCCGTCTACTACTTCCTCCACGCCCAGAACACACTGAACCACGACTTCTCCCCTGCCTTCTCGTCGGTCTGGGTGATCTTCCGTGCTTCCGCTTCCACTCTCGCTACCGCTGCTTCATCCCTCTTCTTCGCTCGTGCGTAACTGTGCTCTTCCCACGAGAGTTCCTTTTCTGCCTCGCTCAGACCGAGTTGGCCAGGCGGATCTGGAAGTATTGGTTTATTAATGGCGGACATGGTGTTGCTGTTTCGCTCGATATGTATTCGAGACCTTGTGTGGCGTCGAAGAATGAATGGTTGGAGTTTGAAAGATGTGGATTGTTGAAATCCGTGTGGAAATCTGCACCGAGGTCTCCGAGGCCGCGAGCAGGTCATACAATGCGAAGATGTGAATCACCTGGGCACACCGCGTGACAGTAGTGAGTAGCACGCACGGTCCCTGCTCGCGTCTTCAATAAATTGGTTCGTGTCACGTTGGCGTGTTGGGAAGCAAACAAATCATGTCGCAACACGCAAGTACATTTAGTATCTCTGTGATGTGCATTCAATGTTCGTGCACATGTACAAGTTAGTTGAAGCAGGGATTAACATTTAGACTGAATGTTATATCGGCGAGATTACAAGAAGGGGCAGAGCATAAAGGCTAGAAGTACGCAATGAGACTACAGAATAATGACAAAGGCTTGAAACTTTCCACTTCACTTATTTTCCCCAAATCTCACCGACAGCCCATCCGCTGACGCAAATCCTGATTGCGTTTCAATTTGGAGTACAGTGTCGTGAGTGCTTTGGCGATGGAATCGCCCTCTCCGTAAGAAATATCAGGATTGCACGACTCCTATGTTTGGAAGTTTAGCATAACAAGTACATATAATGATCGGGTGTCACTTGCGTGTGTCAACTCCTCTCGCGTCCCATAGCCAGCTATAAAATAGCGATACGTGGCCGGCTCGTCGTCCCTGAAGCCGGCACGCAATACGATCTCCTTCTCTTTGCTATCAGCTTGTTCGCTGCGCTCAACTGTCTTGCCAAAGAGTTTGTAGATATCGGCGACAGCCTTTTGCTCTTCTGCCGACTGTCCTGGAGTCACAAAGTCCCATTTGTCAATGCCATGTTTGCTTTGGTGCTCTGGATGCGCTTCTTGGGGTGCTGACACACGGCGCTGGACAGTTTCTTCGTCTTCTCTGCGCTTCTTCATCGCCGGGGTCTCATACCCTGGAGTTACCGATGGATCAGTGTAAGCGACGGGCTTGGATCTGAAGAAGTGCATGGTGTAGAAATATAGTAGAAAGGTGGGTAATTCGTTCTTAGATTGCTAGTATCTAAAGTTCCCTGCTTTTATACTAAAAAGCACAGGTTGTTTGCGTGGGTTGTGAATTGTGAATCCCAGGGTGGTGACGACTCATTGTGAATCGCTTGAGTCCGCAGACCAGTGACTGCTCCGGGTTGGCTTGAGTTAATGTAAGCGTTTTTCGAGCGATTCGCTTGCAGGTATGATATACAGCACAGTTACTAGGTGATCGAGATCGCTACCATGAGCTTGGTTGCATTTTGTAAATCCGCTTCCGCTTCGCAAAATCCGTGAGCACCGATCCAACAGAACTAGTTCATCGTCAGAATGTTCTCCTCGAAGTTTTCATATCAAATGCTAACGGTCGTCTTCCAAGCTCGAATTCTGTATTCAGCTCCCGGGGCAGTTCGTAATGCCTCGATATGACAACTAAAGCCTCAACACGATCGCGAACGACCTAGGTGCCTGCATTCTCAGGATCGTGGCTTCTAGCTGCCTCTTCTCAACATCACCGTAGCGATCTTCAGCGGACATTGCTGACTTCGTGTCACAAAATCGCGGATGCGAGGAGCAATGCAAGAGGAGTTGGTAGTTATCGCCCCCAAGGACCTCGCGCACCCGCGTGTGGCGTGGGGTCCTGCGCCCTAATCTGGAAGCATTTTGCGGAGCCGCAGACAGACTCCACAACATCCGCAACTGCCATCGATTGCATCATCCGTCAATGGTTAAATCGTCGCGCAGATTGGTCGCGATTGGCTTGTCCGTCCGGCGAGGGGTAGGAGATGGGTCGCTGGCTTATATAGTCGGGCCAGGTACCGTACCAGGAGTGCTGTCAGCCGTCAATCTCCAATCTTCTTCCTCCTAGCTTCTCAAATTCTCAGCAATATCGCATACATAAATACCCATCATGCCTTCTATTCACCCGCTGATCGATAATGGTATTACCAAGGGCGACGAGCACTTCAAGGGTGGCAAGCTGTACTGCCACTGCCCCTCCAACAAGGTCGAAGTCACCTTATCCAGCAACGTCGCGCATAACCACGCCTGCGGATGTTCTAAGTGCTGGAAACCAAAAGGCGCGCTCTTCTCAGTGGTCGGTGTAGTCCCAGTTGATGCACTCTCCGTCACCGCAAATGGCAACAAGCTTCACGTCGTCGATTCATCCGCGGCCATACAGCGCAATGCCTGTAAGGACTGCGGCGTCCATCTCTTCGGCCGCATCGTCAACGACCATCCGTTCAAGGGCCTGGACTTCGTGCACGTGGAGCTGAGCGACAGCAAAGGATGGCAGGAACCCCAATTTGCTGCATTTGTGAGCAGTATTATCGAGCAGGGTTTCCCGCCAAATCAGATCGACGCTGTCCGGGAGAAGTTCAGGAAGGAGGGCTTGCAGACGTACGATGTCCTGAGTCCGACACTCATGGATCTGATCGCGACGTATACTGGTCAGAAGAGCGGCAAATTATCATCAAAGTTGTAGAGGAAATAGAAAGCCGATGTTTCGGTGTTGGGGCGATCCCGACTTTATGTACAATTTGCTCCATGAGCACCATGATTTCACACTAAGTCTCCACACACCACACTGATCTGGCCACTCTAGCTGGGAATTGCTTCCTAAATCTCATGGCCTTGATGCATTTTGCTCTAACGTACCCATAGATCGTGCCAGGAAATGTAGCAGTCAGGTGCCAATAACAAGAACCGGACAGTGCTTATTCGTCCTTTCCAGGCAAGCAGGCCAATGCAACATTTCTTAAAGACCTCGATCAACCTGAAATTTCCCACAAGCGAGGTTGTTCAAGTCATGTCTTAGTGTCATACCAGTCGACGTCTGTGCATACACTTTCGCTGTCGACTCGTACCATGTTGCAATGGGCGACAAATCTAGAGGCCAGCCATAGCAACATTTGTCAAATGCGAAATGGTGAGAATTCCGCAATGCATGTTTAGTATGTCTTTGGCTAATGAGTATAACGCAAAATGGCAGATGTACGTACTCATCTTAGCGACGTGAACGTCCATTGCTTATTCACAAGCCAAGACGTGAATTCGTTGATCAGATAGTAGAGTGACTACACCACATGTTCAAGTGACGTGTCTTCTGGTGAGTAGAAATTGACAGAAATCATTGAGGCCTGATATCATTCAGCCTTGCTTCACGGATCTTCATTGGCCTGACTGTGAATATGTAGCCAGTGAGTATACGTGATCTAACTTTGGACACATCCCAGTGACTACCATGGCGCGCAGCATCACCATGATGCTTCTCTTAAATTTCTAGACCTTTGAACTGCGTTCAATCGATATCTAGGTATAAATCTTAAGCTCAGACAACTCAGTTACAGAAGGCCATAACACTCAACCAGTTGCTTTCGACAAACTCTACAATCAAATCAAGAACCTGGCCCAATTCAAATCCTCGTCGACGACCAGACACAATATGAAGAATGACGGCCCCCAGCCGAATTGGAACGCCTCAGATAGGTCAACGATGGATCGAATCAAGGGTACGTCGTCTTCGTGTGCAGCAAAATGATCGAAAGAGTACTGTCGCTCACAGCAAAACAGAGCGAGTGGCACGATCGTACCACTGTAGGACAGCAGACATAGGACTGTGTTTCGAGTCAGCATACGTACTGCATCTACATCATGGCCACAAGACTCGTAGGCACCGTTGGCAAGCAACGATAAAGCGTCTTTCCTATCCGACCAAGCCAGCAGACGACCTATATATAACTGGTTATCATGGAAAAGATTCGCATGCGTTGAAAGCGTTGAATCAATGGACACTCGGACTGAGATAGTACGTTCTTGAGAAAGATACACTGGTATGGCAAATTTATCAAAGAGTCAGGCAACAACAAATGAACGTGCTTGGAGAGCTGTGCTCCAGAAGACAAATTGGTCGCACGGTGTCTAAGCTCTGATTACTACTAGAGAATAGCTGTCACACAATATGCGCGCTTGATGACACTCGACAACTGACAAATATGTTAAGTAGTACTGAGATATTTTGAAGAGATTTCCATTCGTTCACCTGTTAATATATGTACCTAGGCGTCTGAGCCCTGTTGATGCTCATTCTGTCTAAATATCTTCATCTCTTCCATAACCTCCTCGATCTCCTGGGATGTCAGAGTCTTGCTTACACTTGTGAGGCAGTCTGATAGGCTCTGAATACGTGTCGAAGGATCATTTTCTGATCTAAACCATCTCATTACGACCGGTCTTTTGCCTGGGGGCGCTAGCTTCAACTCTAATTCAGTAATGTATAGCTTCTCCAGAGGACTTCCTTTCTGTATCGGGCATGTTACTACTTCCACGTCACCCACGTGAAGTTTGCTAATAAAGTCTTTTTGACACTCCCAAAAGGTATCTGGAACCACAAGGTCAGTTCTGCTCACTAATTTGCTCATATAAAGGCAAAGTGTTGTACTTGCCCATGATCTTCAGCGCTTGACCGGCTTCATCTTCGTTATAGTCAAAGTTATCCATTTGATCTGTATTGATAAGATCTTTGTCGGACATAGTGATGAGTTTTGTTTGGACGCGAATAATTTTCTCACTGTTTAGAAAGGATGTTCGGAACTGGTAGTATGTTAGAAGCGTTTTGGCTTTGACTACCGGTTTATATTGCCTGTGATTCACGGCTTGCCACATACAGTATGACTCGAACACAAAACTAATAAGACGATGACGAACCCAACAAGATGAGTCTAACTTTTGATGAGACTTGCGCATCTTTAGACTCACCGATGGTCTTTGCAGTTCAAACTGCGTACTTTGTCTGCTACACGTTGCGCACCCAGTACAATGCGCTCCATACACGTACGAAAAAAATACTACACCTTAGAGTAAATCAAACCTGTAGCCTTAGGTAGCTTGTTGAATACACTTTGTACGTAAGTGAAACTTGGCGAACATATTCCAGTGCAGGTAGAGCATGCCCTTTCTGAGTTGGAGAGAAAGTATCGCTGGGGAAACAACTGTTATCATAGTATTTTTGGTCGCACTATAATTCCATTAGGATAATGATACGACTGCATCTAAGCGCTAGTGTACGTCCGCCTCTCGGAGCCTCTTCACTTCTTCTAGATCGATTTCCGGCGCATATTCTAGAGTTGCGAGGAGTTTTTTCAAGGCAGACACTTTTCCCAGTCTTTTAGTCATCTCTGATTCGGCACAGGTCAACACACAAATGTTACATGAAGTATCGTCCCAGTAAGCAACTACAGAGGACGCATACCCCATGTCATTCTCCCGTCTCTTGGTAGTGATTCGCAGTTTGGCAGTTCCATTATCTTGCATAAATTGAGGTTATTTCCATTCAAACATCTCTGCTCAAATCTGTTAGTAATGCCTACAATCAGATACTGCTATTCCACAATTGTATTACCTAAACACTGGTGTTTGAGCTCTTCGATGCGCTCTTTTTTCAATTCACGTTCCGCTTCTCTATCCGATGCCTCAGGTGACGACATGAAGGCTATACTTGATCGTCTGCGTCTTCTGAAACTTATCAAACTGATAATGAAAATTGATTGAAGTATGTTCAAAATGGTTATGTTCAGGATGATCTTGTAGGTAATAGCACACAGAGAACTATCACAGATTTTATATTCCTTGAACAAGAGTCATGACCGATGAATCAGGCACATTTCATTTATGGGAATGACTCTCTGGTACTCACTCGAGAGGATGAGGTACCACAAAACTGCATGCACAGAAGGTATAAGTTTGATCATTATTACCTCAAGGAGAGTATGTATTGTGTGCAATTGTTGGTGTTGATTATATATGACGTTAGTGACATTTTGGGAACTTTCCTCGCTTCGTTGAGTTGCGATATTCTCACAAACCTGGGTAGCTCTTGATTGAGTATTGGCAAGATCTGTCGCCGCCTCCTCATGCTGCGTCACTTAATTAAAACATGAAGTGATGTAGAGATCGAGTCAAAATGCAACTTACTTCGCGATATTGTGCTGTCTAGATTCCGTAAGGACTTGATCTTCAATCGGCTTGAGCGCAAACGACGAAGTACGGATCAAGCTTTGAGCCAAGCTTCAGAGTCAAAATTTGTTTGATTGGTTCAGTATGCTTGTTGGTATCAATATCGCAATGGCTCTTGCAGACGCTAGGTATAGGGATCTTTCGACTCCTTGCTTCCTGCTTGGCTGTTTATGCAATCTCTACAACTATGAGTGCAATTTGCAAACAAATAGTCTGCATGGAACAAGTATGAACTTACCTGCGCTCAATATTTCCATCTATGGTGGAAGGATGGTATGCACTCTGTGACGTCATCTGTTTGCATTGTATCACGAGGCGGCGGCAAAATTCTTGCCTGCTCTGCACCTACACGACATGAGCTAATAAAAATTTAAGGGTATACTAATTATAAGCTTATTGGACCCTGAATGTACACGCAGGTCTAAGATACTCTACCTAATTCTGTTGAAATTCTTTGAGCATGTACAGGCCATCTCTTCACCTCTTCTTCTCCTCTCGTCAGGAAACGGTGGGCAGGAATTGTGCCGATGCCTGGTAGCATGACGAACGGAGAAAGCGTGTGACATTGAGTAAGCACAGCGGCTGCGTACATGACGTGAGTCACTGTTGATGACTCGAACCTATCCATTCTGCCCCAAAGCCGCGTCAACCTCCTCAGCGAAATTCCTCCACCTTCCTCTTCCAAATAGGCAAGGCTGCCAATGCGGAAGGCTAAGAGAAGAGTGCTTATCTCAACTGCGGGTGATTGGCCAACACCCACTTTGCGTTGGCTAAGCTTCGTCGACGTGGACCGGACCTAGGCCGTGACAGGCTTAGCACGCCGCAGGTGGACTGGTGAGCTTTGAATTGTATTAAGAGCCAGGACGAGCGCCATTTTCCAGGCCTACAGGCCACGAAGAGATAGCACGTAATAACGTCCGAACATACAAGTCGGGCTGCTACTGGTACAACACATCGTGAATGGGAAAAACAAGAAAGAAAACGACCCCAAAGCAGGGACGAAGGAGATCCAAAACAAAAATGACCGATTTCTCCTCCGGCGAAGTCGTTGCGGTCACTAGTACAAAAGGCGTTGAAACACCCCATAAAGAGCCCAGGCTCACCCAGCTCTGTATGTTTGAAGCTGGCGAACCCATCGACCTCAAACTCGCAAGGACCGCCGAGTATGTGAAGGATCCCCGGGAATACCTCGTCAGAACGATCGGGGAAGAAACTATCAAGGCCCGTGGCGATGTGCTGTGCATTCCAAACAAACCTATCGAAGGCGACTTCTACGGCACGAGTGTGAGCAAAGCGCATTTCGAGACACATATTGCCAAGCTCCTCGGCAAGGAGCATGGCCTCTTCTTCATCACTGGCGTACAAGCGCAGCTCGCTGCAGCCAAGGCTCACTGTGAGAAAGCGAACAAGGAATATCGTAGGGTGGCACACCTCGTGTCATTTAGAGGTCGCCGAGAACAGGGCGTACAAGGAACTTTATCATCTAGATCGCGTGCTACTCGGCAGCATTCCAAAAGAGCTCCCGACTGTTGAGGAGATCCAGAAGGTTCTGAATCTGCCTGAAGCCGAGCGCCCAGCCGTCATGATTCTGGAGATCCCAAATCGCGTCTGCGCTTGCGAGACCTACACATTCGAGCAGCTCCAGCAAATCAGTTCCGCGTGTAGGAGCGCTTCAGTCGCTCTTCACATGGACGGAGCTCGTCTCTGGGAAATTGAGCCGTATTATCAAGCCACTGCTGGCAAGTCATTTGCAGACCTTGGAGCACTTTTTGACAGCGTCTACGTCTCGATGTACAAAGGTCTCGGCGGTGCCACCGGAGCGTTCTTGTTGAGTAACTATCCGGACTTTATCGACGATGCAAAAATCTGGCAACGGCGGGCTGGAGGCAATGCTTACAGTTTGAGCTACTATTGGATCGATTGTCAGCGCGCTTTCAATGAGCACATTGGCACGTTCGCAAGCCGACGGGATAAGATGATTGCAGTTTCAAAAAAGGTACTGAAGGCTACGTCAGCTTACAAAGCTAAAGACGGTGATCCTGTTGTGCAGTTCAGACCATCGGTACCTAATTGCTGCTCAACACACATAATCTTTCATGGCTTCACCAATGACGAGATTATAGCTGCCAGAAACAAGGTCCAAAAAGAGAAGTATGTCCAGGCGTTTGGATTCTTGAGGCCGAAGATGAGCAACAAGCGCTTATCGGAGAGATACAAGGTCTTAGCTGCGCCAAAGTTCAGCGTGTCTGATCAAGCAGGGGGTATAGCGACCGCGACAGATTTGACGCACTGGACTGAGTGTACAATCATTCCTGTGACCGAGAAGCTGGAAGATGGAGTCTTCGTGGATGCCTACGTCGAGCTTTGCAAGGCGCTCTTCGAAGCGAAGCATTAGTGTAACTACTTGATGAGAGACAATACTCTGATATGCAAATCTTTACACAGGTGGACTGTACACAGTCTCTCCCAGAGCTGCCTTCTATGCTCGCAGAAGCAGCCGTTGATTTAACTCGGCCGTATCATAATCTTACAACTGCCAGAAGGCTACAGAATTTTGTGCCGCGCTTCGTCATGGTCAGCTCTTGAGACTCTAAGGTACAATCGGGAATGCTGTTTGAGCGAAGACAGCAAGCCGTCGTTATCGAACATTCCTTCATCTACTCCACCCACAACAAGCGGTGTGCATGGTCATAGTTTCACGTAGCGTCGTTACCCAAGGGTCAAATACCTCAGATCTGACATCTTCTGCCTGAATGTACAGCACCGAGCTCTAGGAAGTGAACCTTTGCACCCTATGGCGGAGCCGAACCTTTTACGAACATAAATGGAGACCTTGGTGCTGACCTCCAAATGTTTTATGGATAAATGGCCCGACTGCATACATCTATCGAACCACGGATCAGCACTTCCATCGACTTCTATACCGCATCAAGCGCAAGTTTGCCGCGCTCACTTCCACATCTAGATCAACTTATTCCCAACTCCACGTCCCCGTCTAGATCCCGCACTATCTACAAGTACCGGCGGCATTCCCACTGAATCGTAGTCATGCAGATCCAACACCTCGCCAAGCATCGTGATTGTGGAGTACCGCCGCCATCTCGGACCGATTTCGTCGACACGAATGAGGCTCACAAGCTCGGAACGTGGCTGCTCCGAACATTGGTGGCCCTGTATCGGGTGTGGCCATGTGATGGAGATCTGAGTGTGAAGGTTTGCATAGGATGTTGGTGTTTGATTAAGGTGCAGTGGGATTTACTGCCGAGGGGTAGAGTGTGACGTAGTCGGGTGAGATGGCGGGGGTATCGATCGTGTTGGCTTCGGATCTCGGGATGACTATGGGATTTCACTTGTAGATTGAATATTGAGGCGTGGAGGGAGTCGAGCTCGACAGTCAATATGAGAAGATACACAGTAACATAATCTGTGGACATAACATTCAATATCAGAATCCAACCAACGCCACTATCCTAAATACATTAAACATAAAACCCATAGCCACTTGGGCGCAATTTCCCAATCCAAATCCCATGCCCGAGATATCGGTACGCCAGATAAAAAATGAGTGTGGGGGTATCATAAACTTTTTCAGAAAAAAACCAGAGTTGCGCGCAAAATCAAGACCACGATTGCCACTGCGGCCTCTGCTCGTTCAACGTCCGCGTAGGCATCGGCGTAGGTGATCGACCAGCATCCTGCTCCACGTCCTGCGTTGAAGCTGGGATTGCTCGTTGTGGCGACTCAGGTACTTCCGGTATCACCGGGGATCGCGGGTCTTGTGGCCTCACGCTGAAGAAGGCCCTCGACGACTTTCGAGAATGTGTCGAGGCTGGAGAATTGGGTAGAGGTGGGAGTGCGCTTATTTCATCGCCCTCAAAGTTCCGCGTTGTGCGCGCAGTGGAGGCGTGTGTGGCATCTTCGGCGGTGCGATCGCCCATCTCAATGTCGTAGTAGTGAGCATTGAGCATGTTGAGCGTGCTGACAGACGTATGCTTATTGGCTGTTGCCTTATTGGCGAGTGCGGGATAGCGGATGACATCGATGTCTTTCTGGACTTTGACGCCGCCGTGGGCATCGACCGAGACGGAAGTGTTTGAGTTAGAGATGTATCCGCTCTTGCTCCGAGAGGCGCCGAAGAAGGAAGCAACCTTGCTCAGCAAGCTTTTGGTAGAAGCGATTGTCTTCGATTTCGAGTGTGCGCTGTCCACGCGACTGGAGTTCTTTGACTGGAACGGCGATGTGAGCTTGTCATGGAAGAAGTGCTTGAAGAAGACCTTCAGCGTTGGCGCGTTGGCGCAGAATGCTCCAACGTGAAGCTCCAGGAGCGTCGTGAAGAAGATATCGTGGGTGGACCAGGTGACATCGTAGGATTCGTAGAAGGTATGCCAGCAGTAGTAGGCACGCAGACCGCCGAGCGCCACTGCACCATAGCCGATTGCGAAGATGCCGAACAACGCAACCTTCTTTCGCTTCGAGATCTGCAAGTTCCAGTAGAGGAAGGTGGGCAGTACAGCAGTGAGAAGGTCTTGGGCAGCTGAGATAACGGCAGCAGCGAACAGGTCTGCTCCTTCATCAAAGCAGTGATACTTGTATCCTTTGAGGCGTTTCTTGACATCGACCTGGTCCCAAAACGCAGATATGGGCTGACATCCGAGTATGGGCGCGAGCGTGAGAGCAATAGTGTAGGCGATGATGAAGCCAATGGAGGCCCAGGTGGTCCAGCGAAAAGCTTTCGACACGACTCGCGATGAGAGGCGGCGGTAGAAAAGAAGAATGGAGATTTTTATCATGCCAGCTGCTCCGCAAAAGATGCATTCGATGGCCAACACATACTTGCGCGAGGCGACGAGCAAATCGGATTCTTTGATAACGTCTATGTCCCAAATATGTCGGTCGAAGCCTTGGGATACAGCTGCATCTGGTGAGCAACGGCCATGCCGAGAAAACGGTAAGCTTACTGAGGGGAAACATTATGGTCAATGCAATGGTAGGAATCTGATGAGGTTAGTGACGATTGAGAGCAGCATCGGCTTTCCTTACAATTGCAGCAAGCATCAACCAGTCGTCCCAACCTGGGTTCCGCTGATGAAATATCCTGACCCAGAGTCGTGCGAAGAGGAGTGCAACTGTGATCGGACCCCATATACACGACACAAGCAGCATAGTATTTGGTCTTCTCTGTGGATTGACATAGTTTGGTGCTGGCCAGGCCAGAACGACGTCAAGAGGGGGGCTAAGTCCGCCGGGCATCGTGATTATTTTGACTCGCAAGACGTAGGTGGTACAAGATTGAGGTGAGGGAAGATCTGAGTTTATTGGAAAAGTTACAACGGGGAATATGCCTGCAATAAGTGCATCGCGGCTTCCTGCCGTGATTTACGTGGACATACTGTCGGTACTTGTGTACCCTTGATGTCACCCGTGAACTAGGGCACTTCTGTTTTTCGACAAAAGCAACTTGTCGTTTCAGCCAATATGATCTATGCGACGTTTCTCGAGTCCCCACGTCTTCTCCACTCCTCGGACCTGAGGCTATGCCTAATTGGGAGCCCAAGCGGCGGTTCATCGGCAGGGTACTCAGATTACTCTTACACTCCGGGCGAGCGTCCCAGCTGTCGCCCAAGACTGGCAGACTAGTAGATTGCGCATACTGCTGCGCTTTGGTGTTGCTGTATAGGGACGTTCGAACTTCAAGTTTGGTTGATGTGAATAGGACAAACTCAGTAACTCACATCTCAAGAACGGAAGTTTGTCTGCGCCAGGCTGCCCCTTGCATTTAGGACGTGGGCCCAGTAGTTGCGCCGTACAACAAAATGATGCGCCCGTCGCTCAATCTAGCTTGTGCATAAAATCTAGCCTGGTACTTTCTTTTCTTTTTGTGTCAAGTTGGAGGCGTCTGCCACGCGGACGTAAATAGTTAAAGTGGTCGCGGAAATGGTCTAGCCGCGAACTAGTGGGAAAGCGCTCGGAACATTCCTGGACGCTTGGCGAGCCTCATTCGTGGATGAAAGGTCTTGTCCCCGGTATGGGTTGGGACCCAATCATTACTGGGCACAAGCTTCGTGAGTATGATTCTGATCATTCGATAGTCGCTGAGCAAGTCCTTACAGTCTTGGGGAAATGAAGTATGCAGGTATGACTGGATATGTGTAGTATAGATGGTAATGAAGTCATCATTCCCTCCCGAAGTCATCTATCTCGAGGTAGATGGTAGAGGAACCCTCGTCTTCAAGGATACTCCAGAAGGTGCAGTTCCAGTGATCCGGATCGCGTAAGTCCTTGGAGTGGCACACAAAACGAGGAAGCAAGATAAGCATTTATTTCCTCCATCGTGGTTGGCTGGAGAGTGCAAATCACAGCGCGCGGAAGCTCTCCCATCATCGTTCCGACCCTCGTCCTGGCGATTGCCGTTTGGGTTCAGGGCTCGAGATGATGGTGGGCAAAAGTCTCGTGCTGGTAAGGCTGCTAAAGGTGTGTAGGCGGGGACTAGAACCCGATGCATGCGTGGCTGGGGCTGAGAACGCCAGTACAAATTCGACCATGGCGGCGTCGTTTAAGCACGCATGCATTTACAAGCAACTGTCGATTTCTTGGGACGACGGAAAGTAGGAGGATCGTTGAGATTATGACGGGTCATATTAGCCAGCTTCATGGCTAATTTTCGTCTTGGTTTGTAGCAGAGCAGCCGAGTCTGATCTACATGTTACGCATACTGATGCTAGATTGGGTGTAGTAGTTGCCATGAGGCAACACTTGGCCGCTCAAAAAATGGAGCGTCCCATCAGATCAATTTCGGCAGCGTGCAACCGCATCAGCGTGGATCGGGCGACGATGCTGCGTCGACGTGACATACAAGAAGAGGCGTGTGGGGACCATGGGATGGGATTGCCACGAGAAATAGGCGACGCTGACCAAGACGGCAAAGCGCGAGCGCGTTCACCGGGCCGTCACGGTTGAAACCGTGCAGGATCCACAACTTTTCCAAATACCGATATTCCGGAGCCCTAATTTGTGCTCTTGGACACCACGTGTTTAACGTGCTGTGTTTGAGGTCCCTGCCACCGTTGCAGATTGCAGCTTTGTCGATCAAAAGCGGATTGTACAACTGTATCTCGTCGTCTGTTCAAGCGAGGGCAAGGCAAGACCGATGTGCTAATCTGCTCATACAATCTTTGAGCCAACGAATGGTCCCCAAACCGCTTACGCACGTCAAGGTCGTCATGGACGTGTTTCCATTCTCAAGCATTTACGGGGCCTTTAAGCGAGCTGTCACTCGGGGAAGCTAGCGGACGTTGCACTAACCACTGCAGCAGGCAACGAAAAGGGTATGGCTGCTCTGCTATATTTCTTTTTCCACGTCCCCAGGAGTCTGAACTGCGAAAAGCAAGCACTAAGCGAGTGCGGCAATTGTGTAACGGCCGCAATTTCATGCGCCGAGCGCCAGAGTGCGCGGATATGGTTCGCCTCAGCCCGAAGTTTACAAAACCTCGAGTCAGAATTGGCATTGCCACTTCGGGTGCTTGACGATGAGCCGCGTATTCCACACATGGGACCCGGAACTTGTCCGAACCCAGCAATGCTACAAATAGGATGTTGCAAATTAATTCAGCACTGAAACCTGAACCAATTTACGGTGCAGCGGTGGACATTCTACAGCAAATTTGAATTTCAAAGTCGTGGACCAGGACAGACGCACCATATCGGGGGGAGATGCTGAGGCATTACCCAGGAAGTGATAGCATTCTGTAGGCCACGAGGCCGGAACTCAATAATAACGCAGAGACGTCATCGGCCCCGTCAATTCAGAAGTCAAATCATCTGCGCATATCGTCGTTACGAGGTGGGAGTAGAGGTGTCGCTACGCATCATGACGAACTTGGGAAGCCGCATTGAAGCGGCTGCTTACACAGCACGCTAGCGCCGTTCCAGCCAATGACGTATGTAGCCCGAGGTTTCCGCTGCAACCCTCCAGACATTACAGATACATTCTTTGCGGGCATAGATCAATCGCCTACTACTCGCGTAACTACAGATGGCTGACTGAGGCAGCGTCATGGCCCCGGAGATTAGCTAAGAGCCCAACAACTGGGGGTGGTCCGGGAGACGAGCGCTTCAGGTTATGTGCATCCGGCGTCTGCACGTGTGATGAGGGTCTACCAAATCCTGGACAAGCCACTGGATTACTCATGATTAAGATGCAAGGCGGAAAAGATGCAAGGCGGAAAAGATGCAAGGCGGAAAAGATGCAAGGCGGAAAGAATGCATATAGCTTGCCTTCTTCGCTGGGAGCAACTGTCCTTCAGTTTCTATTATTGAGAGAAGATAGCGTCGACGCTACGCGACGCTTCGACGGGAGATCCACCGCCCAACAGGAGAGCGACGTCAGTGCAAGATTTGTTTCGGCAATCCGGCCGGCTTTAAGCAGCAGAAAACATTTACAAGGAGGCGACGCCCGGGATTGCTTGCGACACACATATTTGGGAATCTGCGACCATGCAGGAAGAAGACTACGAGATTCTTCGCAATCGCGCCGACGCCAACCCATCTGAATACACGCAATGGGACCCGAATCGCCAGTTTCGCAGCCAATATGCAGAGTTGCACAAGGACGATGCCAACTATGAGGAGCGCACGCGCATAGCAAAAGAGAGGGAGCAGGAGCAACAACAGCCTGGGAAAGCCGCATCGCCTCTACCACAATTAGAGTTGGAGGAAGTTGCGACCCCGCTCTCGCGACACAGTAGCGCATCCTCGTCCTCCAGCTCGTCTTCAGCTTCAACGCAAGATGGCGCGCGCCTCGAAGAAATTCGAACTGCGCATTCGACTGGGCGCGACCGCGCGGCCACGGTCACCTCACAAGCCTCGAGCGGCAACATCCTTCACCTCCACCCCACCGAGCGCCACCCAGAAGCCATCCGCCGTATCGAGACACACCGCAGCCAACATGCTGGCACCGTCGGAGCAGCGCAGACGCCCTCGCGTCTCACACAGACTCTGTCGCGTCGCCGTACTGAAAGGGCACTGCCGGGCCTGGGAGCCGGCAAGCCCTTCCCGCCGCTGCTGCCCGATCGTGAGGAATACGTGGTCGAGTTTGAGGGCGTCGACGACCCGTTGCATGCGCAGAACTGGCCCATGAAGAAGAAGCTGGTCATTGGTGCGATTCTGGCCTTCGATGCTCTTGCCGCTACCATGGGCTCGAGTATCTTCTCAGCTGCCATTGGGCCAGTATCAAGGGAGTTTGGTGTCATCAACGAAGTCGGCACGCTTGGCACGAGTCTGTTCGTGTTTGGATATGCTTTCGGACCATTGGTACGTTTTTATTGGTATACACTGCATTGAGCTGTCTGGAGCTAACACACCACAGATCTGGGCACCTTGGAGCGAATTGTACGGCCGCAAACCTCCCATCATCATCGCCGCCTTTGGCTTCTCTATTTTCAGCATCGCCGTTGCCGTGGGCAAAGACCTCCAAACCATCCTCATCTGCCGCTTCTTCGCCGGTCTCTTCGGCTCCAGTCCGCTCGCTATCGTCGCCGCCGTCTTCGCTGACATGTTCGACAACAAGCTGCGCGGTATGGCTGTCGCTGTTTTCTCGGCAACCGTTTTCATGGGCCCTCTGCTCGCCCCTTTCATCGGCGGCTTTATCACATCAAGCAGCCTCGGCTGGCGCTGGACTGAGTACATCAGCAGTTTCATGGGCTTCATGGCATTGGCGCTGCTTCTGCTATTTATGGAGGAGACCTACCCACCTGTCGTACTCATCAACAAGGCCGCCGAGCTCAGGAGAAGAACAAAAAACTGGGGCATTCATGCTAAGCAGGAGGAAATCGAAGTCGACTTCAAGGAGCTGATTGTGCGCAACATCAGTCGTCCGATGCGCATTTTGTTCACCGAGCCCATCGTGCTGCTCATCACGTTGTACATGAGCTTCATTTGTAAGTGCAGAACTATCGTGCTACCCAGATTCATAGCTAATGAAACATCAGACGGCCTACTTTACCTATTCCTGACTGCGTACGCACTGGTTTTTCAAGGCGTATACGGCTGGAGCCCAGGCGTGGCCGGACTCGCATATTTCGGTATGGTTGTCGGAGAAATCATCGCCTTCATCATCATCATCACGACCAATTCGCGCTACGTCAAGAAGCTGGAAGCAAACAACAATATCCCGGTACCTGAATGGCGTCTCCCCATAAGTATGGTCGGTGGAGTCCTGTTCACTGGTGGACTCTTCTGGTTCGGTTGGAGTGGATACTCGGGAAACGTGCATTGGATCGTGCCTGTTCTCTCTGGATTGCTCACCGGCTTTGGCATCTTTTCCATCTTCTTATCGTTGCTCAACTACTTAGTGGACGCATATCTCATGTTTGCCGCATCCGCCATCGCTGCAAACACGTTCATGAGATCCATCTTTGGAGGCATATTTCCACTCTTCGCGACATACATGTTCAACGGCATGGGTATCCAATGGGCATCTACTCTACTCGGCTGCGTTGCGCTTGTATTGGTACCTATGCCAGTAGTTTTCTACGTATTTGGCAAGAGGATTCGAGCGAAGAGCAAGTTCGCGCCTGCACCGGACATTGAGCAGGATAAGAGAAGGGACGAGGAGAGTCGGTACACTCAAGAAGAGGCAGCCGAGACGCGCAGTGGAAGTACGACTGAGGGCGAAGAGGCCGCGAGAGAAATCCAGAAGGAGAAGAGCAAGGAGCAGTGAAGAGCAGCATGTGTACATTTAATATCTAATATCTCTGAAAGCTGGACACGTTCACAATTTGGAAACGCGCGCGCTGCCATCAATCCCGCTGTGGGCGTGTGGAGGAAGGTATGCCGAGCCGGAAACTACTCATACAGTAATGCGACGTCAACCAATCATGTGGATCTAGCCTCCGGACGACAGTCCCCCGCAACACCACGAGATGACGCAAGTGTGGACCAGAAGTCTGGTTGCGGGGCAGCTTTACTCCGCAATTTATCCAGCGTGCTTCAGAGAAAGCCACTTGTAAGTCTTGCTGTATATCTTCGTCAAACCTTCCTCATTCGTCTACATTTCACGCGTATAAGAGACACCATTGATACAATTATCTTAACAACATCCCTTTCCTCGCATCGCAAAATTTCTGCTTTTCTGCTGCAACATACCTCTCGATAGTGCCGCCAATATGTCTATGTCCATTGAAGAATGCCAAACCCCTCGCCCGGGCTTTCCCAAGCCTGTACCGGACACGCCGACAAACGTCATGCAGCAATTCAGCATGAAGGGCAAAGTAATCGTCGTCACAGGCGCCGCTGAGGGAATTGGCGGTGCAGTTGCAGATGCTATGGCAGAAGCCGGTGGAGATGTTGCACTATGGTACAATTCGTACGTTTCCTCTTCAGCAACCAAGCACGTGACCTCTTCTAACATCAACCTCCCAGCAACTCCGCCGCTATAAAGCGCGCCGAAAACCTGGCCTCACAGCACGACGTCAAAACCAAAGCCTACAGCGTCAACGTGACCGATGCCGCAGCCGTACAGGCTGCAATCAAGCAAGTCGTATCCGACTTCGGCAAACTCGACGTCTTCGTCGCCAACGCCGGAACCGGCGATTCCCAACCCCTCCTCCAACAATCCCTCGACGCCTACAAAAACCTCATGGCCACCAACATCGACGGCGTCGTCTTCAGCGCCAAATACGCCGGTGAAGTCTTCGCCGCCCAAGGCTTCGGCAACCTGATCCTCACATCCTCCATCTCCGCGCACATTGTCAACGTGCCGATCGACCAGCCGATATACAACGGCACCAAGGCGTTTGTATCGCACCTGGGTAAGAGTCTGGCGCGCGAGTGGCGCGAGTTTGCGCGGGTGAATGTGGTGAGTCCGGGGTTTTTCAACACCAAGATGGGGGCGGGGCCGAAGGTTATTAACGAGGGACTGAGGATGATTCCGCTGGGGAGGCAGGGGGATGTTAAGGAGATTAAGGGACTGTTTTTGTACTTGGCGAGTAACGCAAGTAGTTATATGACGGGGAGTGATTGTATTATTGATGGCGGGTATGTGTTGCCGTAGAAAGGAGTGCAGCTGGGGAATTGAATGTGCTAGGAGATCAAAGTTATTCTGAGAGTCCTTGGTATTATATTGAATTTATTAAGAGACATTGTGGTGAGATGCTGGAAGTGCCTTGGTTGCACACTGACATTGCACAGACTGCGGCATGTAGGCTGCATACATTTGATCAAAGGCGTCACTTCCCAAAATCCGCGCTCTCTTCATCAGTGCTTTTATGACAGCATTGTGAACGTTGTCCTTGAAGTAGCGGAAGAATGAGTGTGCCTAATGCGTGCTGTAGTACCATGTGGGGAAGACGATTTGCTCCTGTGAGCAGCAAAGCTGCATTCAGGAATTTTACCAAGATTGAGAAACTGGAATTCGATCTCAAGATCGCGCAGTGTTCAAGATTGGCCAAATAGAATTACATTCCAAGATCGGAGAGAATTCTGGTCGTCCAAGTAGAAATTGGAAACCGTCGCGTGTTTCTAGCTCAGGTTTCTAATTTTCAGTTGCTAGAGGATGCGTAAGCAGCACAACATCTATCAAAGGTTTCCCGAGCTCTGTTGTTATTAATGTTGTAATCATGTTTTCATCACGATCATATCATGATCAGAATTCTCGCCACCTACCCTGATACCGCATACCTAGCAACTTGCATGGACTACGAGACGAGATAGAAGAGTGGATCGCTCTTCACGCCACCGCGACCGCCCTCCCTCACGGCTTGTTGGAATTAGTTTGGCAACGTCAGCAAGAGGGCACGTGTTGTGACAGGTAATGGAGTCGTTGACGGTCGACTGAAACGCTGCCCAAAGATGCTACAGCCATAGGTGAATTCAAAGCTGCAGAGGTAGCTGGGTCTCCCAACCGCCATGATCTTCCACACAAGCCGAACGCGAACCAAACGGTGGTTTTCAATGTCTCCAATGGTCTCATCGAGGGATGTCATTTTTGTCGCGCAACAACAAACACCAGCCGCTGCGGAGCATGCAGAGTCGTTTCCTACTGCAGCCGAGAGCACCAGGCCATCGATAGAGCAGCACACAAGGCAGCGTGTAGCAAGATTAAGAAGGAGCGCGCTAAGCTAGAGGCAGAAGAGAAAGCTATCCGTGCCCACGCCGTAGACGACCACACAGGCACCAACGCATTCCAAGAGGTTGGAAAAGCCATGGGACACTTCTGGAAACATCAAATCATACGCCCACACTTGTTAGCTCGCTACTTCCTTGTTTTAGCATTGCTCAGAGTCAACACCAAACACGCAGTCGAAGCAGCGCTCGAGCATGGTCTCGATATGCTACGCCTCAATCATGAAGACAACCAAGGCTTGCGCTGCATCATCCCATCGCTCTACCTCCGTCTCGGTCGTGATCAGGACTGCTACGACCATCTCGTCTGGTGGCTCCTGTACGGTCGAGGAGACAACAAGCACCACTGGGGTCATCCAGATGCTGTTGTCAAGGACTACAACGCTCTCGAGCCCGTCGCTGATTTCATCAAAGGCCTCCCTGACCTTTCACAGATCGTTGCGCTCGCACTGATCAAGATCCGCATGCTCATCGACGTACGCAAGTTCCGGTCTAATCCTCAACACACATCGGTAGAATGCATCAGCGATATCATTGCTAAAGGGCGCGGAATTTTTGAGAAAGGAGTTGCTGAGCTGATTTGTGGGTGGTTGAGAAATTTGGTTGTGGATATGTATGTTGGGTGTGTGGTGTCACGATGAGGATTTTTGGGAGGCTATGTTGAATCCAGGGGAGTACTTGGCGGTCGGGCATTTCGAGTATAAGTCGATCAAGCATGGCCAGCTGGTGGTGACATTACAAGAGTGTTACAATGCGTGGGCGGAGACTCCAGGCGCTTTTGCGGTTCTGGAGGAGATGCAAGGAGATCGAGAGGTGCAGGAGAGATTGAAGCGGTTGAAAATAGCGGAAGTGTCACTAAGTGCCGCTACATGTCGTGCATGCTTTGATCAACCTCCTAGCATTGCTAGAAATTAGCCTCTATATTGTCAGTCTGATTAATCGAATTTGAGGGCATGTGTTACAATACACCCAGAGGAGCTTGCAGCTATCAAGCCTTAGCTAAATTGATTACGATATAAGTGCTCGATTTACACGAACTGCCACAGCCCACTGCGATATTTGAAACCGTAGTTACATGAGCGCGGATGGGGCCGCCTTTAGGGTCACTTTTGCGAGCGATCATGTATTAAGGTATCCAACACACAAAGACACCAATCGATATCCGGAACTTGATCGGCGCGCGCAGTGTTGACTCGCCTTTGGAAGTACAAACTTATCCAACTCTATATTGCGCCTAGAATTTCACAGCAACACCTGGGCATGCACTCTTCCCTCGATTGCACTTACTCACCATACGTACGCGCACCGCCTTCATTCATCCATACACACATCTCGACCCTCACACTGACTAAAGATGCACCACCGTACCTCGGTTGGTATAGCAGGCGTCGCATATGCGAAACCTGTTTGAAGATCGGGGTGTGTCGTTCCGGTGAAACGCTAGCTTGCGACACATCAACACCCAAACACCTCGGACGCTAAATATGGAAACGCGGAGGATCGCACTTGGCGACTTGCTTGTTGCGACTTGGCTGTAGGATGGGGTGCAAGGAAGATGTAGATCATGAATTGGTGAATGTCGGGACGGAGGCTCTGAGATGCGTAGTAGAAGTTCTCAATGCACGATTGTTAGTCTAAGTTGGCGGAATATCATTCATCGCGAACAACAAGAACTCGTTCACGGTTTGATGTCTATTTTGGTGTTGCTTCTGCAATGCAAATCGGCATCTGCAACGCAAATCACAAAACACAAACAAACAGCTAGCGCCCCTCGCTTCAGATCTCCCCAATCCACCCGTTTCGGTACCCTCTGCTCGCATTGAAGTTTTGCGCCTTGGCACTCAGTCCCTCCTCCAGGCGCCGCAATTGAAACTCTGTTCTGGAACGAAGGCACTGCTGAGGCCTAGGGATTGGCTTCGTGGATACGGCCAAGCGTGTAAAGAAACCCTTCCTCGTAGCCAAGCCCTGCTTCGGCCGGGAAAAGAGGCTCCCTGAAGCACATCGTGGTTTATGCTCATGGAGATCTTGATGTTTCTTATGGGAAAAGAATGGGTATTCCAAGACTGTAGCTAGTGCCTTTGTAGGATCATTGGGCGGAGATCGGAGCAGAGCAGGGTGGTTGGTCGAGTATCATGAGGTATAAGAGGAAGGCATCGTGGCGCCCATCAAGTCCATCATCATCATCCAGCAGTTCAATCGTCAAGCTTCTCTAATACACCTCCTCAGCCTGGTGCTATTTGCTTCTTGCCTTCTCTTAATTACCTTCATTCATATTCCACATCCGAGTTGATCTCGTCCAGTAATCCTCACATTCAATATGTACTTCTCACAGCAAATCGCTTTCGTCGCTGCTCTTGCAGCTTGCGCTTCAGCCCATGGTGTCGTGACAGAAATCACCGGTGCCAATGGCGTCAGCATGCCCGGTCTGACCATCCAGGATGGAACTCCTCGTGACTGCTCTTCCAACGGCTGCGGCTCCCAGGCAGACACTGCCATCATCCGCGACCGCGACATCGCCAGCGGAAAAGCCACTCCTCTCGGTCGCACTCAGGGGCAATGGGTCCCGTTGACGCAGCAGTCATGATCGGTGCCTTCATGGGCCAGGGCGCTGCACCACCCGCCAACCAGGGTGCATCTGGCAGTGTCGGTGTTGAGGACAACATCCAACAGGCGCAGAAGAAGCGTCAGTTCCTCGCCGGTCTCCTCGGTGGCGGTGCTGGTGGTGCCGGTGGAAAGGGCGGCAACGCTGGAGCAACTGGTATCGCAGGTCTCTTGGGCGGTGGTGGTGCTAAGAGCAACGGCCCCCCTGAGGCTCGCGTCGCAGCTGCTACTGGTGCAGGTTCAAGCTCAGGTCTTCCTACATGTGCCGACGATGGCACTGTCACCATGACTCTTCGCCAGATCAACCAGGACGGCGCTGGCCCCTTCACAGCTGATTGTGACGGTACCTCCGGAGGAACTGACGAGGCTGCTATGCAAAAGGCCACTGTCACCCAGGACGTCCCTGGCCTTGGTGTCCAGGGTATCTCGCTCGCCACCAACACCGAGTTCCAGATGAAGGTTCAGATGCCCGCTGGCATGACTTGCGATGCTACCGTTGCCGGAACCCCCAATGTCTGCGTCATGCGCGTCCGCAATGGTGCTGCTGCCGGTCCCTTTGGTGGATCTGTTGCCTTCACCCAGTCGACTGCTGCCAGGAAGCGATCCATTGCCTACAGGCTCAAGAAGCGCATGGAGTTCAACAACCGCAACTAAATGCACCTGGCATGAGGAAGAGCTGGAGGATAGGAATATGATCTTTACATATATATACGACCTGACTGGAGCAGTGTCAACAACGACTCTCGCTTATTATTGTAAATAGAAGACGCATCGCGCAAATAATGAATATCATGTTAGCCAACATACAGACCCTTCGCGCGATTCGTGAGCAGCGTGTATGTCCTTTGCTTGCATATTGTGCACTTCAACAGGCCTTCAAGGTAGCCCATTGCTATTGCTGACTTCTGTGAATTTTGCAAGTAACCTGCTTCGCCTTGTCAACCACGACTGAAAGCGACTAGGGTGCATCAGGTGGCCTAACCTGAAGTTATACATAAGTCCTTTCCGTTACATTCGAAATGCAATGGTATTGTGTATAGATCCAGGCTACATGATGGAATGCCGCTGCTCACTTTCCGTCATAGGTGAAAACCTGCAGTATGTTCACAAATTTTGTGTATACTTCTAAGTTTCCTTTTTCTCGTGTATGTAACGGTGACAAGGATCAAATTTTCACCTTATCGTGGATATCGCATAGACGCTCCAAACGACCCCTGCGAACCCTTACGGAAACGCGGCGAGATACGGGAGGGACCGAGCGGAAGAGATAAAGTCTGACGAAGGCGAAAGAGTTCGTAATGAAATGGGGAGGACTGGAGAAGGTGGACCGACTCCATGAAAACCCTCGTAACGAGTCGTGCCTGATGGTGGAACTAGGCCAATATCGGTCAAGCGAATCCTGGGGTCGCGGCTCTCCTGCCTGCAGTGATGGTCGAGAGTCTTCGCAATCTCGCGATGGCGCAGAGAAAGAGGTCCCGGGCACGCAGCCATTCGAAGAAGACCACCGCGTGCTTTTAAAATGTCTTATCAATGCATAGCTGGATGTTCGCTCCTACTGCAGATTCCGCCAAGATGGCCATGATTGCGCCATCTCCACCCTTATCGCATCATCGCGACTCGCTTGGCTTGGCTTCGGTCAATCGCTGTAGTCAACTTAGGTCTAAGCCAGACTTATGCCAAGCCGAGCTGGATACAAACATATAGCCATGGGTTTTCTCTCATCGATTTTTTCCAAGCGCCCGTCGTCCCTCTGCTTCTTCCCTAATGGCGCTCTTCGACAACAAGAACCCCGGCGAGGCCGCTTCGCCCACGGCCAGCTACCGCGATGAAGACTTCTCGCGCATCGATCCAGACTCGGGTGTCAAGCGAGGTCTGAAAACCCGCCATTTGTCCATGATGGCGCTGGCTGGTATCATCGGCCCTGGCATCCTCGTTGGAACTGGAGGCGCCCTGGCAAACGGTGGTCCTGCAGCCCTACTTATCGGATTTGGTTTCATCGGCATCGTCGCATGGAGCATTACTCAATCACTAGGCGAAATGACGACTCTGTACCCCACAGGAGGTGCTTTTGTCACTCTCTCTGATCGATTCGTCGACAAAGCGTTCGGTGTGGCCGTCGGATGGCAATATTGGCTCGTGTGGGCTTGCGTTCTGGCCAACGAGTACAACGTCATATCATCCCTCATGGTCTTCTGGAGCGACAAAGTACCATCGTGGGGATACTTTTTAATATTCTGGTTCGCCTTCCTGGGATTCCAAATGATCGGTGTCGAATCTTTTGGCGAGGCTGAATTCTGGCTGGCTTTGGTCAAGCTAGTTGGACTCTGCACGTACTTCCTCTTCAGCATCATCTACGTCTCCGGAGGCTTGATAGGCCAAACTGAAGCCATAGGATTCCGCTACTGGAACGATCCCGGCGCATTCACCAACGGGTTTCGTGGTGTTGCGCAGGTGTTTGTCTTCGCGTCTACGTTCTATGCTGGTGTCGAGGCTGTGGCTGTGGCAGCTACGGAGACTCGGAATCCTAGTGTAGCTGTCCCGCTCGCTATACGTCAAGTCATATGGCGTATCCTGTTCGTATACATGGGTGTTGCATTCTTTTTCGGCCTTACCTGTCCGGCCGACGCGGACGGCCTTATTAACGGCGAAAGTCGTGCGCTGAAGAGTCCGATGACTATCGCAATCCAAAATGCTGGCTGGGAGGGGGGCGTACATCTGATAAATGCCTTCATCTTCATCACCGTCGTATCAGCCGCCAACAGTTCTATCTATATTGGGTCAAGAACCATTCTATTTATGGCGCAGGAGCGCATGGCGCCACGATTCCTAGGCAAGACCAACTCGCGCGGCGTGCCGTACCCCGCCATCATCTTCACGAACCTGTTTGGTTTCATTTCTTTGATGAATTTGAGTACAGGAGGCGGCAAAGCATACGGATATATCATCAATTTGAGCGGTGTATCGACGTTCATCGTCTGGGGCGCAATCTCCTTCACGCACATCCGCTTTCGACAAGCTTGGGCAGCTCAAGGACGAGCTCCCGAACAACTGCCTTTCAGGTCCTTTGGCTACCCATGGAACTCGTACTTTGGACTCGGCGCCAACATTTTCCTTGCTCTTGTACAGGGCTGGACGACATTCAGTCCTTTCGATGCAGGAACATTTGTCGATGCGTATATCCTGCTTCCGCTGTTCGGCATCATTTATTTCGGATACAAGTTCATCTTCAAGACGCGATATTGGCGCGCTCACGAGATCGATTTGGATGCTGGAATGAGGAAGGACCTGGATACGAAGGAAGAGGTGCTGCATGGTGAGCCTGATGCGGGTGGACACAAGAAGAAGGGCATTGTGAGGAGATTGTTAAGTAAGATCTGATTCAGATCTCAAGCAATGATAGTTTGATTTTATATTTCATGATTGGGATTGAAATTTGAAAAGCAACATCAGCGCGTTTAGCGGTAGATTTTCAGATATCCAGAATAGAATATGTATTCCCTTTACCACTTTCGCAAGACTTTCTGCATATGTATAAATGGATCCATGCTTGAGAATTCATGGATTGCAAAAGTCCTCGTATATCGGCTTCTGCCTTGCATTAAAGGATCGCACCCTTGTCCGTGTTCCGCCAGGGTTGAAGTTGCCGTGTTCCCATTGGCTAGTTGCAGCCCCTCAATGTACGCCCCGACCAGCCCTCCCACGTCCGACATCTGCGGCACAGCACATTCGTGTTTCATGCATCGTCATAATGTAAGCCTTCACGCACTTACAGCGTGCTCACGAGCTCCACTTGACCCTCATTTGTCTCCTCGTATAGCACATCCTTTTCCCTAACTTCTGCGTCATAAATTTCGCAGGAAAATGGCGCAACCTAACGGTAAGGTTCGCCAAAGAGCTTGGAAGCCGAAGAACCGTAGTGGCTGTAAGACATGCAAGTGAGTAACTCTCATTGTACACACATGTAGCGAGCCTTCCATTTACGGAAACAATCTGCTGTACTGCAGAATAGGCTTGCATGCATCCTGGATATGTGCTGACTTCACCAGGATACGCAAAGTGAAATGCGACGAGGAGAAGCCATCCTGCAAAAGGTGCACATCAACAGGCCGTACGTGCGACGGCTACGACGTGACCTTTCGACCTCCTTCCAATTCGCCAAAGAATATTCCGCCGTCAAACCAAGGTCCGTTCCATCCTGGCAGAGAGCTTACTCATTCTCTCTCCCCGATACCGTTGGCACCAGCTTTACGTTTAAAGACACCCAGGGAACAGGCTAGTTTCGAATTTTTTACCACGCATGCTGTATCTTCATTAAGAGGATTCCTCGATTCTCCTTTCTGGCAAAGAGAGCTTCTGCGCGCAGCTCACCAGCATGAATCGATTCAGCATTGTATTGTTGCACTTGGCGCCATGCATAGAAGGTTTTATGAAGGTCGCAGCTCTCATATAGACGAGTCTGAACTGGCGGATGAGAACTTGCAATTTGCACTGCGACAGTCCAATCAGGCTATCCAAGGGCTGCTGAGATCAACCGGTCCTGGTGGACACATGGCCAGCCTAGACAAAGTCACGCTCATGACATGTTCCATATTGTTCAGCAGCATGGCGTGTCTCCAAGGGCACCAGCGAGAGGCTGTTCAACACTTGCGGAGTGGCATTCGGCTGCTCAACGAGTTAGACAATGAGGAGGATGGCCGGTTGGAGCGTCACCCAGTCAACATCGATTCATTGCGATCAATACTCGTCGGGCTCGACATACAGGCCCGCGCGATCATGACATCCGAGGAACTTAAAGTTTGGGAGCCTCTACCGCGCGTCAAAGAACCAATGATATCACCAAGCACAAACTTAGACGACGACTCTCTTGTCGCAATGCACTGCCATCTGCAAAGTCAGCTCAATCAAGTCCTAGCCTTCTTACCAGCGAATATGCACCGTCCTTCCGAAGAAAGAGATATAGTGGCTCATCAATATCGCCAAATACTCGCAAGATTCGATCGATCTACGGAACTACTTGAGACGCTCAGCACCAAAGCTGCCAACAGCAAGTGCGGCAACTTTTCACAGCCCATCATGGCGCTACAGCTGTTACAAGCCCAGTTGGAATACTACTTACGAGTACCACGAGGTGATCTGGAAGCCAAGTTCGATTTTTTCGGAGAGTCTTTGAGCGAGCCTTTTGATGTTGTCGCGCATCACGTCAAAATGCTTGATCTAGCGACTGAACTGCTTTCTCATAGCTCTTCACTCGCGCCCGTCTTCACTACCACTATGGGTCCATTGGCTGCGCTATGGATCATTGCGAGTCGCGCACCCTCAGAATGCACTGCCCTGCGAAAGCGCGCTGTCAGAGTCATGCTAAGCTATCCGCGGCGCGAAGGATTCTGGGACGGACTGGTAGCGGGCCAAATCGCACAGGAACTGCTGAGGGTGGAGCAGGAGGCCACGCAAGAAGAGTTGGGTTTGATCACGACACCGGGGCGCGATCTCATTCCTCCTGATGATCTGCGCATTGTTGTCATTGCGTTGAGATATGATCCTGTGGATAACAGGAAGGCGACGGTACATTATCGCAGTCTACGCGACATGACTGTGGACGCGCCGGGGAAGAAGCAGTATCTCAGCTGGTGATGTGGATTTTGAGGACTGCAACTGCAGAAGAGTACGTGGTGTGGAAGATAAGAAGACACGAGCAGCAGTTAGGGTATACTCCAGCCTTTCATGTGCAAATCGGGCCTACGAGGAATACAAGGAGCTCGTGAAGAGGCTACAATCTCAATTCGGGAAGCCTATACATGAGCGTGCACAGGAGAAGAGCAACACCGTGTATCCACACACAAATCTGAATACTAGTTGCCTCTTTTACACCATAGCATCTTCAGTCGAGTACAACGAGCTTTTGAAACACGCACAGCACGATGGCAAAACATATATAGTAACAGGGTTCATTTTGAACCACGAAAACTCAGAAGCATGAGCCGAAGATGTGGTATCTTTGTAGCTACCAGAAGGTGTCCAGGAGGCATTGGAAAAGGGTCGGTTTTTCGGAGATTTCAAATGGATGTTCCAGAAAGCGAGCAATCATCAGGGAAGTTGGATGGCCTTTTAGTAGAAGAGTAGGAGCAGAGGGATAGATATTGACTCTTCAAAGGAGCGGAGGATGTTTGCATACCATAATTGGCGACAAGCGTCTTGTAGTACTCCAAATTGCTTTGAGAAGATGATTTTGTGACTTGTCGGGTGACTTGTCGGCAAATTATCCATGTCGAAAATGTACGAGTTTCTGAGCGCGGAAACTTCGCCAGTGTATGAATGTGGCTAGATGCGGTTTGAGCAATAGATGAGGAAGACATTCAGAGCGTGAACAACATTTTTGACAGCGTGACGTGTATGTGATTTGAACCACTACCACAGCGCCATTTCGTAGATGTCTTTCAGACAACGCGAGGACAGAAGCAGCACATTACTGGACGGCGTCGTATTTTTGGTGGCAGGTGCTTCTTTCTGAGAAGAGAGGCAGAATTAAAGCAACCTCCACCACTTTGTTTTGTTTTTGCAAAGAACGACTGGTCGGTCAAACATTCATGTAATTGCCATGCACTTTGGACAGCGGCAGAAGCTCATAACTCGGATCTCAGGGGCTTTTGTTTTTGGGGAGGGGAAGATAGAGTGTATGGGCGGAAAGATTTTCGACAAGAGATGAGGTTTATATGTGCCGCGGATACCAGGTTCTTTGGTACATAGACCGCGAACATGTTGATTTTGGAATAACGTGGAGTAGAAAACCCAGGTTCTCATCGAAGTGTGCACTCGTACTTTCGGAGGGCCGAAAAAGGCACATATACTGGCGTCCTCGTTTTCTTTGTATAGATCGCGCAAGAGAGGAACGTTTCGTGGCGTTTTTTTGAAGCAGCGGCCAAAGTGAGGAAAATTCATTTCAATAGGCCTCTGGTATTACTTGAGATCGCAGTGGCTGAGAAATAGAAGGAGAAGATCTTGTTCCAGGCTAACGAGTGGCTTTTTTTTAGAATTGCGCAGCGGCGGAACTAAGAGACATCAAATGTCACTGATTTGGTACAACGAGAGCTTTGTATAATTTTGTATAGGCATACAGAACAGCGAAAGGAGGAGTTTATATACTCAATCCCCGAGATCACACGTCATCTTGCTATTCCTTCCGATACTTAGACGCAGAGACATGCCAGTGTCGAATGTAATCTCAAGCTTTCCGCCAAAGCCCCTTTTACTTTTTTTGCAAGTTTGGAGAAGCATAGACATAAGCGGCGTGAGCTGTTGTTTTGGTAGCAGCAACAGCGACAGAAGCTCTCCAATCATGTCGAACAAGGTCTTGAGGCTTTTTTATCTGCAGATCGCCACACGTTTCGTACTTCCCAACAGGAGTGGAAAGCCATTCGACCTCTTCTAGTACCTTTTTTTGTGCTGACCAGACACACCAGTCATCGAACAGATACTCGGTCCACTCGGAATATGGCATCCCAATCATCTCAGAGCAAGAGAAGCATGATTGTTGCAGTCGGCCTTTTTCTTTTACCATCCGCAGCTCCACCGTGAAGTTTTGGAGTTTTGGAATTTTCTTTTGCGAAAGCTCAGGAAATAGAAGTACTTTTATCACGTCCTTTAAACCAAGACACGACAAACATCACATGCTTTCGAAAACGCCACATCAGATGCATGGACACGCTTTCCCCTCACCAGCAAAAGCCTCGAAAGTGGCAAGCACAGCAGAAAAGAAGCATACAAAGATACACGCTATTTTTTTGTTCAACCCGTCAAATGATCTATTTACTCTGGGCACCAGAAAGATATACCATGGTGTTCTCAATGTTTTTTCTTTTTTGGAGAAAAACACACTTCCAATAACTCATGCTCGCTGAGGTTTTTGGACTCCGTTCCATGAAGCGGCACACATGCTATTTTGGAGAAGACAAGCAAAAGCATGAGAGGATGAGGTGCTGTATCTCAAGACTGTGGAGTGGGCTTATATACGCTTCCTAAGCCGTGAGACTTGGCATCTTGTATATCAGCGTTGGTATCAACATCACATGCACCTCAAACACTTCGCTTCAGAAAAATATGTCCAATTCCGGCCTTCCACCTCTAGGAAATCTATTCCAATCCCAACCCTACCCAACCCTCCCTCATTACCAGAGCCAGTCCAAAGCCGCCCCTACTCATACAACCCTCAGTTCACCCCACCCACGCTCAAATATCATCCAAATCCTCCACTTCCGCATCCTCATCCTTCTTGCCATTGCCATTGAGGCGATTCATCCTCACACTCTCGCCTCGGGGCTGATTGCCACTCATTGCCATAGCCTGTCTACCAGACTCGCTGCTCTCCAAGAACTCGCGTAACCTTTCTTTCCCAACTTCCAGCGCTTGCGCAGACGCCGCGTTGCCCATGCGGATCATGGGGCCCCAGAGATTGAGTGTGTAGGTGACGTATGCGCCAACGGCGCAGAGGATGAGGAAAATGAAGTAGACGGGGTTGCGTAGAACTATGTTTTGTCAGTGCTTTGTATGATGAAGAAGCGTGTGAGGACTTACCGGCTACTATCTCGTTCCAGCCCAGCGCCACCAGGAGGCCGTAGAAGTACAGCGGCACCTGCGTGATGCCGCCAATCGCGCTACGCTTGGCTTCGACGTAGACGCCATCTGCGGTTTTCTTGAAGCGGATGAGCAGGTCCGCTTGCTTGGCGTCGGAGAGGACTGTCATTTCTTCCTCCAGGCTCTTGCCCTCCTCTTCGTCTAGGCCGCCGATAGGTGTCAGGTCCTCTTCGTCGGCGGGAGTGACGGAAGCGGGTGCATCGCCAATCCAAGCATCGAGCGGTGGTGGCGCGGACGTTTTCGAAAGCTTGAAGCGCGCAAGCAGCGGGATAACCGTAATCGTCGACTCGCGAGCCTTGGTGTAAATGCCCTCAATGTCGTCGGTAGGCCGCCATATCCGCGGCACGCCCTGCTCGTCATAGCGGAACTTGTCTTCAAAGTTCTCCCTAAGCTTGAGAAGGATGTTGCCTTCCATGACTTCCTCGTCGATCTTCGCGCGGAGCACGCCCCACGATTTGCGCCGCAGTCTCCACAGACCGACATCCACTTCCTCGGGGCTAGCGTCGAAGCTTTGTGCGCGGTCGGTGAAGCGCTTCTCTGCGCTAGAAACGGTCTCTGTGAAGATTGCCCACACGCGATCCCAGAGATCCTTCTCGCTTGGTGGGCGCTCGCCGTGCTCTGGTGCGCCGGAACCTCCTCGGCCAGTTCCGAGCTTGTTGAATTCGAGACCAACAGACTCGTCCAATCGTGACCGTACCCAGCGCTCGATTCTTGTCGCAAGTCGTCGCATCTCGTCCTTGCGGAGACGTCCTGATACATCGTCCAGGTCTTTGCGGTAGACCTTGAGCTCGTGCTCAAAGCTGCTCCATGATGCGCCCTCGATCACAATGCTCTTTGCCTGCTCCCCGAACTGTGCAATTGCCTTCTTCTTTTCCGAGTCGACGATTTGCGCGAAGTCATACGAAGCACCCTTCTTCTGTCCGGCCTTCACCGCAGCGCTGACGGCATCGCTAAAGCTCTCAACGCCAGACTTGTGTGCGGCATTGAGCTGCTTCTGGGAGAGCGCCTTGAGGCGCGTATCTACCTTGCCCTCAAGCTCCGCTTGTTTCCTCTTGTAGACGCCCTTGTGGTACCGACTAGCATTGGTCTCAAAATCTTTGAAAACCGTGGACCGCGCAGCATTCATTGCCGCACCAAGTTCTGCAATGACCGACGGCTTTCCCATCCTGGTGTCCTCGGCCTGCTTCTCCTCGAGTGGCGCAATCGTCTCATCGAATAGGACCAGGACCTCGCGCGAGATCTCGTCGCATCTGAACTGCGCAAGCAGCTCTTGTTGTGTCGGCAGATCCAAGTCCTTGTTGTGCACGATCTGATCCCAAATACCTTCAGCGTATGCTGGGAAACCATCCGCGGGTATCCGTCGGTGGTATTGGGGTTGGAAGATGGGTAGCTCGGCCTCGTCGACAAGGCCGCTGGTCTTTGGGTCGTTGTATCCCTCCTTGAACCGCAGGCTGAGCTTTGTCACTGCCTCCTCAAACTTCTCCGGCTGCAGGATCTTGTGTGGTAGCGCGACGAAGGCGAAGTCGAAGTATTCTTCTATCCGCGAGTTTTCGAGTCCCTTCGGTTTTGAGATGGTTGACCATAGTTTCGACAGGTCTTGTGTGAGGGTGTTTTGGAGGTTTTTGAGGGGCGTGGTTCCGAGGTGGTCGCGGATGACGAAGAAGAGGAGGGATTTAGGGATTGTTCTGTAGCTGTCAGCAAAGTAAACCGCGCGAGAGACTTATGTACGCACTTGCTGTCTTTGATAAAGAGTTGCAGATTGACCTCGAACACTGTCTTGAGCAGGCCCATGTTTGCGCCCTGGTACAATCCAACCTGGTGCTCCCAAATATTGACAATCAGGACCTCGCTCGTCGCAAGCGCAAACAGGGCGCTCTTGCGCTCAAAGTCCTGGTCCTCCCCGCGCTCGCGACCGTCTGTGCCCTCAACATCCATGACCAGGATGTTCTCCGCCATGGCCGAGCCACCCTCTGGGCGCTTGTTCTTGCTCATCCATATGCCCTTGGTGGTCTGCCGGCGCTCCTGCTCGGCCATGACGCCGAATTGTGTGCCGAAGAGGTAATTGAGCAGCGTGGATTTGCCCGTCGATTGCGACCCAAAGACAGATATAAGGTGGTAGTTGAAGCCGGCGGGTATGACTTTCTCGATGTTGAGATATGTGGAGAGGTTGTTGCTGCGGCCATGTTAGCAACACCACACGGCATTGTCCCGTAGAAAGCGTGCACATACTTGAAGACCTTGTCCTCATCCACGACCTGGATGCCATGCCCGTAGGCCTCCTTGTCGACGTTGTCGCCAACGCCGGCAAAGTGCGAGTTCATCATCATCGAGGGCGCGGTCGGGTGTCTGACGGTGCCGGGGCGGGTCTGGCCATTGACGGACAAGTGCTGGTCGGCCATGTTTGAATAAGTAGCAGCCTGGCGTTCGCTGCTCGCGGCACGTGGTACGGGAAGAATAAGTTGAACTTGCTAGGGGATAGGTGGCCTGCGTTGATGTCACAGGGCTACCAAACCGTTGAGGAGCCTCGACGCCATTCGCTGCATCGCTGCTCGCTTAGTTCGCTCCTGGTTACTGCCGCGGCGAATGACGATCTGGGCCCGTCATTCACTCGACAGGTTCCAGGATTTTGGTAGCCAGCCGTGACTGCTACCGCGTGCGTAAATCTCGTGGAAAGCATGATGCGAGTCCAAGGTGTGCGCGCTGGCAGGTCGCAATTGGCCCGCATATGTCTTGGCACGCATGTTGACGGCCTCACCATCACGAGTACCGAGTGGAGACGATACACGACTAGATACCTCTTCATCTTCATCTTCATCTCAAAACTCCCTATGTCCCTTCCCTCCACTGACCATATCTCCGCTGATTTTGCTAATCTCCTCGCTATTCTTCACCCACGCCTTGGTCGCGTCCTTCCATGGCTCCTCTCCAAACTTGCCCTTACACCACTCCAACACCTTCTCCAACTCCCTCCGTCCCCTCTCCTCTAAACCCTCCTTGTCTCCCTTCTTCTGCTTTCTGAAAGCTTCAACATCGTCGATCAGAGCGTTGGCATCCCCCTCATCCTCATACACATATGAGAACAATGTCTCATTACTCTGCTTAGGCGATTTCGTCTTCTCAAACACATCGTCCTCCAGCTTCTCTCCTTCGTCGCGTTTCTTGGGCTTAAATCCGTCGCATGCGTCTCTCACATCGCCGAACCAGGCCCGGGCATTATTGAAATCTCCCTCGGCTCTGTGCAGGATGCCGTGGAGAAGCATGCCTTCCACAGCGGGCGGCGCTTGCATGTGCCGAACGAGAAAGTGCGCGGACGTCAAGTCTGAGTTGAGCATGTGGAGAATTGCTTCGATTGTTGGGTGAAGCTGCAGGTCGGCGATGATGGCTGTTAAGTCTGGGAAGGTGGCATGATGAGGTGGTGAGGCGAGGCGGGTTGATGTAATCAACTTGCGTGTAAGGGAGCTGAGATTATGGGAGTCTGACATGGTGGTGGTTCGATTTGTTGTAGTTGTTGGGTATTGGATTGATACAGGTTTGAGTGTGCCCCTACGTGAGGAGGCCGATGCAAATCTTGTAATCAGGAAGGATGGCGGAATACGTGGGTACAGCCTTGAGCTTGATGATACCAGTCCGTGTATAATGCGGGACGCGACCATTGAATGTCAAGAGGTGTTCTTGGTCAAAGCATGCACAAAGACATGTGACGGCGCTCAAGTAACTTTGGGGAGACCGGAATGCACACGTCATGATTGGCCCTGCATGCGTGCTTCGACTGATTAGGGCGCTATAACTCAAAGGTCAGTATATTTCACTTGATGATGCCGCAATCATGTCTGAAGCTACTCGGAGCTGCCCCAGACAAATATCAACGATCTTTTCGACTTGCAAAACGGTCGCACAGTGGAACTTTCAAATGTCTGAATTAGCCGGAGAACACTTTCTACAAACACAAAAATCTACAACGCGGATTTCGCTTCTGCATCATCCAAAGCACTTGTTGCTTATTCGTACATCGTAGAGACGTGAAAAGCGTCTCGCGCATGCAACCGCCAAACGCCAAGAAATGTTGTTGTGGATACGGAGAGGCCTGAGCAGGTCGTGGAGGAGGATATCGAGGTATCTTGAGGATCATGGCGAGCTCATTCCTTAGATTCAGCCTTTGCCTTTGACTCTTTTTGATCCGCCTTCTGCTCGTGCTTCTTGGCCTCGGCCTGAGCCTGGCTCTTCTTCTTCGCGGCCTCGCGTTCCTTTATGCGCTCCTCTTCGGCTTCGATCATTTCTGCAAGTGTGTTAGTATCTATATCAAGCATCTGGAGAATGGGTAGTGGTGGTCCATCGTACGACTCTTTGGGAGCAAACACCCCACCAAAATCGTACGAAAAACACCACTACGTTCAGCAACAAACGTACCTCTCCACTGATCCTCACCAGGATAGCTCTCATGATGCACCTTCTTCTCAATCATGTGCTTGTGCTCGGGGTCATTAGGATCCAGCACCCTAATCGTCTCCCACCTGCCCTTGCCCTTGGCCGCATCGTTGCCCTCGATAGCAAAACTCGCGAGGAGCGCCGCCAGCGTTGCTCCCTGCGCATACATACGCGCCTGCACAAGTTTTTGTGACCCGCTCAAATAGCGGTTGCGATTGACAGCGCTCCACGAGCCGGCCATGGAGGCGACCCAGAAGCCGAAGAGGAGCGGGTAGCGGTTTTCATTCGCCCAGTCTTTTGCACGCTGGAGGCCAGATTTGTTGGCTTCGTAGAGAGCATCGCGTTCTTGTTGGCGCTCTTGTTGGCGCTTCTTTTCGGGCGTGTGTTCGATGTCGTAGGCGGCGGAGGCACGGTCGGCGGCGATGACGGCTGTAGTATAGGGTGTCAGCTTCGTATTGCCAGATATGTAGAATGCACTTGTACGTACCGACAAAGGTTCCTGTTGAAGCGACGAGGAAAGCTCGGAATGGTACTGTGAGGGCTCTGAAGGATGGGTATCGTCGACTTGCGCCTGCAACTGCCGCTGCACCGACTGCGGTTCCGATGAGACCACCAATTGATCCTCCCTTGATGGTGGCACTGGCACTTTGTCAGCATCGCCTCCTTTCAGAAACTACAGCAAAAGTAAGGCCCACTTGTAATGCGCCTCCTCCTCTTCCTTCGTAAGAACCTTCATCTTGACTTGTGTAGGATTTTCGCTCAGAAATTGATTGTGTTGTATGTGGGGCGGGGACGGTCCCTTCACGCGGAATGAGGTTTATGTCGTAGGTGAAAAGTAGAATCGATAGTAAAGAAGTGGCTATTCTGAGGCGCACGCAAGCATTATAAAAGATAGCGAGGACGCCGATTTCAAAAAGCCTACACCATGGTGACGTCGCCGAGCTTCCAGCGCCGCTAGCGTATCCATCTGCGGCGATGAGGTAAAGTTGTCCGGCGGACCCTAGTCCAGCCCATCAGTCAGCCCATCGAAGCATGATCGTGTGTGCAGAGCATTCTTCGACGCCTATTTTGTAGTGATCCTTCAGAAGTTGAGCATATGAAATTGCTTGATCTAGTTCCTGAATTGACTTCTACATCTGCGCAACCCATCCCTCGCTATTCCTCGCTCTCAAGTTCTGTGGAAGACCCCAGTCAGAGCGAATCGCTCCGAATCACATGCTTCAAACAAAATCTTCACAAACGTTGTCTTGCATCAATGCGTGCCGCTAGGTCAGCCGCAATGTGAGCTCTTACCCCGGTTTCTCCCATTCGCGGCGCGTCTTCGCATGTCGCGTGTTCTTCGGAAACATGCGCTGAAGCCGAGCGGCATCTTGACTATGCCGCTCTGCCGATTTCCATATCCACGCGGCATGTGACTCCAAAAACTTTTCACAATATTCATACAACTTTGGCATGCCTTCAACCGTACAAACGAGTTCGTCTTTGCGTTCCACAAACATCTTGGTGTTTGCGTGGAAGAACTACGCGTCTTGCGAGCGTCTCCGAGTTGCCACCGAACCCGCGATATCTCCAAGCTTTACCGAAACTCGGTCTCCATCACCGTGGATCACGTCGACAAGAACGGTATGCGTAAGAACAACACCGGGTCACAAAAATGTCACATATGAAAGAAGGTCGACATGTAAACGTCCAGGATGTGGCTCATTTGAGAGGAAAATACCTACATCGTATGGAATGCCCCTCATGATAATCATGCCATGTTTCGATTAGTTTGCTTTTGGTAAGAAGGGTAAGTATGTGGGAAAACCAGACTCCCGTGATTCAACCATTTTGCGCCCAACTTATCACCACACTGATTCTGCCGTGTTGCCGTGAACAGGTGGTGCTGCTGCGATAAACAAGAAAGACATATTGGAAAGGTAGGTGTGTCAGACAGCCATGCTGTCCCAACCGCAGTAAGAGATGGCGTTTTTTTGTCTTATCCCAATGGGTATGACAATTTCTTTCGACATGGGCTGTATTTCGGGCATATCGCGATTACTTCTTCGAGATCGACACTTGCAACGAGCGTTCCGTGGCTCATTATACCCAATGTTGATTATGTTGAAGGCAAGAAGACTGTAAAAGGGCAGCATCTAACGGTAGTTGCTGAAGCCGCTGGTGGTACGAGGCATGGGGTTATTGTAGCGAGGTAACATGCCAGAGGGAGGTCCAGGACGGGTAGTAAGAGCAGGGTTGCAGCAGAGCATTGCGACGCGAGATCCATACTTGGAGCCGCGGAGGGAGACCATGTGCTTGCGAATATGGCTACCGACGATGTCGCGATGCTGAGTGCTAGTGTTGGTCAAGATGTACTGGACGAGATAGTTTCCGAACTGGTCACCAGCGACTGTATATGATCAGCAAGAGTCGACGGGGCAAGGGCTACGTTAGAACTCACTGTCGATCAACGGCATGCGTGGACGATCTTGACGGCCTTCGCAGACACGCTCCAAATAACGGTCAAGGAACTCGTTACCGCCAATCTTCAAGCACTTCTCAATCACCTTGGAGGCGTACTGATCCATGCTGTATTCAGTAGCGAAGCGAAGGATGTGGTCAATAGCGCGGCTTCGATCAGCCGGTGCTCCATGTTCGCAGATGTGCTGAATGCACCAGTTTCCGAACTGGCCGTGGGCAATGACATCGATGCTAGCAAGGACCTCGTTGATGCAAGGACGCTATGTCCCATTAGCGATTTGTTCTGGAGTTAAGACGAGTGCCACGTACCTTGTCTTCCTCAAGACAGTTCTCGAATATGTTCTGTACCACCAAGCTTCCCGTCTCACCAAGCGCAACCTCATGCCACATGCCACGAAGAGCCTCGTTGACATAGCGCATGATCTGAGGCGGCGAATCACTCCAGCGAAGCTCGAATAGCTTCTGCCAGACATGGCAAGCGTAGCGGTGGATCACAGTCTCTGGGATGCGGCGGAGCAACTCGTGGACCATGGTTGCTTTGTACTCTTCGGGAACGCAGTCGAAAGCCTTCTGGATAACATGGCAACCGAAAGCGTCCATGCTAAGAGCAAGAGTGTTTCCACGGATGGCCTGCGCAATTGCAATGATCTGTTCGGACGTGCCGTGTTCGAAGCAACGCTGCACCAGGAAGTTGCCAAAGCGATTGACCATGAGTGGATAGGCTTGGGAGATGATTGCCTCGACAATCTCGTACTTCTGCTCCTGAGTACCTACCTTGAGCTTCTGTTGCAGGAAGATGGATGCCTGTTGATCGTTGTTACAGATAATCTTGTCGACAATGTACTTCCAGTTACAGCTCATGTTGCGGTCGAGTAGGCGGCGATAATTCAGGGGCTCGACAGGAGGGACGTATTGAGAGGCACCGACCTCAGAGGGGGCCTAAAATTACTCATGAGTATGAAGGGGCGGTTTTATGCCTGCTGAGTTACTTACTTGAGAGTTCCAAGGCGAGGGACCCAGACCATTGGAGACGTTGAACTCGTTTGCATCAGGTGAGAGCCTACTACCAATGACGCCAACAGGCGCAGGGTAGCCGGGAGCATGCATCGAAGGGGGCATTGCATACTGGTTGAACATGGGGTCGAAGGCGGAGCCGGGACGACTCGGTGGGTTGCTCACGTTGTTACCCATGCCGTTGAAGCTGTTGCTCATACCGTTCATTCCGTTCATCAGACCGCTGCTCATTCCACTGCTACGGAAGCTCTGGCTGACGGGGAAGTGTGTAGGCTCGTTGAGAAACTCGTTGCGACGATAGCTGGGTTGGTTGACGGCAGGCCGAGGCTGGGCTTGGTAGGAGTTTGAAACAAAGCTGTTGCCGCTGTTGTATCCCGGGCGGACTGGCTCATTGCTCCATCCACTGTTGATCCGGGTCGATGCGTTGAACTTGTTCTGGAGCTGCGTGAGCGTCTGCTCGGTGACGTCTCCAGTGTAGCTGTAATCGGCGTCGGATGACTGGCTGAGATGATCCATGGTTGACCGAGCAACCTGGTGACTATGCATCTCTTGGTTCATGCGGCTGACCTCACTGCGAGCTTCCTCCAGCTCTGCCTTCAGCTTCTGTAGCTCGAACGCGTCGACGAGCAGTACAGAGTTATCCATAGACGAGGGCGGCGTTGATGCGAACTCATCGGTGGCCGGCGTGATGGGCACGGAACCGCTGGAGGAGTTGTACTGATCGGGTGGAGACGAGCGGCCGTTGATACGCTGAAGCAACGAGTCCATAACGGACACTTCCTCATGACCAACTAACTTGGGCTTCTGAGTAGGTCAGTGACGTCGTCAGGCATGAAATGGGGGCGTGGGGACATCATGACGGTGGCAGATGGAAGAATAGAGGGGAAGGACAGTTACTAACCTTATAGCCGTCAAAGGGATGCTGGTGTGGCATCATCATCTGCTGGTTGCCGAGAGTCGAAGCACCGAGAGTACGCTTTGGACCCTGCATGTTCGGTGTCAATGGTGAGCCAAATGCGCGGTGGGGGGCATATGGGTAGTGGTTTTGGTGATAGCCGCCTACCGCCTGACCCAGTAGCTCTGGTGAGGTGTCAATCTTGAGGTCTCCTGCGGCCCTGGAGAGCCTCGTCGCACCCTTGCGGGGCGTCGGAGAGCCGTCGGATGTGATGTTGAAGCTCATGGTCATGAGTAGCGTCGGATGTGTGAGTAGATGAAAGAGATCCGAGAGATGCGTGTGCTCGTACGTGACTGTGCAGATGCGTAGATAATATGCAAGACACAGACAGCTCGTTAATGTTCGTTTGGCGACGTATATGGCCAAAGTAGATGCAGGAAAGAAGACGCAGTAGCCCAGATGGAAACTAAATCAGCAGCTCCCATACGCGATCAAGAAGCGGAAAGCACGAAAGAGAGGAGGGTGCAGTCGCGAGTAAAGAGCAAAGAAGAAGCGGAGGTGGAGGGTAAAAGGAGGAGGGAGGAAGCGGGGTGGCAAGAAAAGGTAGTCCAAACAGCAAGAGCGCGCGCGACAAGAGGAGCAGGCGCGTTGACGCGCGTGTCGAGTCAACTTCACCATCAAACTGGACTATCAACAAACGGATCGTGGTACGATAACGCGTAAACAGCAGTGACAAGACCGAGTGCCGGGGTGAAGCTGGACTCATCGCCATCTTCACCTCAAAACAGGATGCATAGCACGTAATGAGGCAGTATCTAATGAACACATACCTTGGTAGCAATAGAGCATCAAGAGCCAGTTTCGAGAACACTGGACGCAGTCACCTTCCAATTTGCATCAAAGAAGCCCATCGCCAACACGCCCTCGACACCTCGCCACTTTGCACTCTCACCAAACACGACAAAGTCCGGCTGCCCTACACCTGTCATCATTGGCACGATACGAGCTGCTTGTCGCAGGCCCTCCTCATCTGCTCCCCATATCACCAGCTCGAGTCTTTCTCCGCCTGCTGGCCTTAGATACGCCGCCCCGCGAGCCCTCTTGCCATATTCTTGCTTCCTGCCATGATGGTCGACGACGCTACAATTCCCACTGCCACCGTGGATTGAAGACTCGGGAGGAGCGCTTGGTATGTTGTCGCCTATTGCAAGCGTTATGATGTTGCCGGTCGCATTGTCGATGCTGGACTCGGATAAAGACGAGACGATATCCGAGTCGGCTTGGAAATACTGGTGCAGGTTGCGGGAGACCTGGAGCGCGATCTGTGAGGCATTGATGGTGCCTGCGTGGCGTATCACAAACGGGCCTTGCGTGCGGAGGATAGCTGTCATGGATCCTAGCTGTCGTCCACGTCTTTTATTAATTGTCGCGTCGTCGTCTGTCGTAACTAGTACTTCTTCAGCATCGATATTGAGAACCTTCACTGATGAGGCGCTTGTGATCGCATCACGGGATGCGTCGAGTCTGAAATCTGCGCCATTCAACGTGACTGTATCTTGCCACAGCACAGGATCAAACTCCAGACTCATGACGTTAGTCGTCTGAATAGTGTGGCCTTTGACCTCCACTCTTCCGTATTGACCAGGGTCGATCAATTGCAGGACTCTGATGCCACTCTTGCTGCCCATATCTCCCGGATCACCCACGACTATGGTGAATTGTTCCAGCTTCCTGGGAAGTTCATCCTCGTTGCTTGTGTGTGCGTAGTAAAAGTCGACAAGTGCTTGTGTGGTCATGATGGTACTGGAGACAAGTTAGCTATTGCCTTTCTTGCGCTTGATGCAAATATTCGTACTCAAACCAATGGTTTTGGCCAGGAAGCTCATTGTAGCTTGAACTTGAGCCTGCCAGGTATACCTGCTGTGCAAGGAAACGAGAATGATAAGCAGGTACATTGTCATCGATCTGGCCATGCTGTTGCTGGATTGGAATGCCACGAGTGTTTGACATAAGCATCTCATGCCGATAGCTATTCAGCGACGCACTAATAACTGCCGTCCGCCGTGGGTCCGCAGGTTGCCAAAGCTCGTACGGTACGTACTTTTGTATGCTCGTATAACCAGACACAGGGGCGGCTGCTACTATCTTGTCTGGATGATGTGTCAGAGCATACCATGTGCCTTGACCGCCATTCGAATGTCCGGACATTATCCATCTATTGACATCCACATCAGGTCCGTTCCAGCCCACGCTTTCGATCCAGGCGGGGATAGTTTCCACGGCTGCTTCCACATCAGCGAAGCCCCAGTTGTGCCAGTCGTCACTCGACCAAGGTGTCACGCCGGTGGGAAAGAGCACCCAAGCACACAAATCAGCTACAGGATCAAGAGTACCTGGGACCGGAGAGTCGATTACTTCTAATCCGGCGCCGTGCAAATTCATCACTATCGGTAGCTTCGTTATTCCTGAGCGACATGTAGCATTCTTTGCCGGTGGCCGCAGTACCGCATATGATACTATCCCACCTGGGTGGAGGTAAGTGATTTTGTGGGGCTTGTAGATCGAGAGGTGACGAAGATCCTGAGAGACTTGAAGAGTCGACTGTTGTTGGCTGTCCGTGTTCCTATAAGTCACAGTGTACGATACCGAGGGCACGTTTTGGCTGGGCAACGTGATGTTGAAGACAAGCGATCTAGTCTGACCGGCAACCAGGACGATGCCGGAAGTACTAGCAGACGACAAGTTACTAGTCTCGTCGGCTGTCAGCGCTGCAATATCACTTTCGGTAAGAACTTGCTGCCCAACCTCCACTCCGGAGAAAGAGAAAGGCGAGCTCACATTCGCAGCTTGAATTCCAACAACTTCGATATCTGCCGCACCACTGTTTCTCAAGCTTACTGATGCGATGGGGCTCGCTAATTTGCCATCGACAACATCAGACATGAGGATGCCAGGCTTGGCCAGTTCAAGAGTTCCAGATGCTTGCTGTACATCGACCACGACATCAATTGTCGGCGCCAAGATACCGCCAAACGCACGTACATCTCTCACTAGTCGAAGATCGATTCTGTGAGAGCCGGGCGTGAGGTGCAAAACAGGTGGCGCCTTGCGGAACGTGTATTGGTCGCCTCCAAAGTAGTGTTGACCATCGACCCAGTATTCCAGGATTGCGTCCGTGTGAAGAACGACATGCTGCGTATCATTGCCGCCGATGATGAGCTCCCCGCGAGCCCATGCTTGATACTGGACAGCAGCCCATCCGTAGATGTTCTTTAAGAAATTCCAGTCCACGTTGGAGTAGCTCACGCTCAACGAGGCGTTGGCTGAGACTGAACTGCTTGAGATCTTCGAAGCTTCCGTCACGTTCCAAGTCGCAGTGCCATTGGTAGGGAGTGAGCTTCTGAAAGTCGCCTTCGGATCGTACGAGAGGTTCCTGAAGCCGCCAACGTACTCCAGTGGATCGGCGCCCCACGTGGCTTCTGCATTGAGAGTTAAATATAGCAAGACTAAGGGTGTCGTCATAGGCTTGGTGCTGTTTCGCAGACGGGATTCGAGCATTAACATACCTCTGGTGCCAATCTGAAAAGGCCCGAGTACGTGCCATGTACTGGAGAAAGAGAACATGCTCGAGGCTTGAGTATCATTTGCCATGAGGGGATGGTATTGCGCAGACCCAACAGAGATGCAGAGGCACAACAACAGGAGCCACGAAACTTCTAAGTGGAAGGCCATGTTGCACGGATGAGAAATTGTGCAATCGCCTCATCGTGACTTGATCTAAGGCACCGTCGATAACGTTCGTCGGCGCGACTTGGACCGAAGCATTGCCATATGAAGCAGGTACTATCAAGCACGCAGCAGCCGGCTTGGCGATGAAACGACGTCAAGTCTGCTGGTGACGCGTCTGGAAGCGGACCAGATCTGCCGCTAATTCGCGGAGGGCGAGCACACCAATCTTTAATTCACCACCACCACGTTTTCGCTCTCGATTGCCTGAGAGATTGCAAACTTTAGCGCGGCTCATGACACCTGCCCTTTGTACGGATCTGCGCACTGTGTAATACGAGAAGCGCTAGAGGAAAGGAGGCTTAAGGCCAGGTCGGACATCCCAAGACTTTGCGACCCTTTCTTCCCCCAATGGCGTTACGATAGACGCACGATTCCACCCCCACGACCCTCCAAACGCAGTCGCGATGGCGTCCATGTCGGGGCGCGACCCGAGTCCGCATCAGACGTTCAAATTCCCGGCCTTCCAGCCTGACCTCATGCCCATGCCCGAGGAGGAATATGGGCCATAGCTCGTCGCGGACCGCAAGCCCCTCACACGCACCCCCAGACGAATGGCAGCACCGTGCCGGCGGACAGGTGGCAGCCGCGCAAAGAGTCGCGATTTGGATATGCCAACGGTGCGCCACAGGCATCTGCGACGCGGCATGGCAGGCAAAAGAGCTTGAGCGAGGCTATTCGGACGATACGGACAAGGAAAGGGAGCGTCAGCCAGAATGCGCACGAGATCGCGGATGCATTGAAGGCGCCCCTGTCGCCCACGCTCATTGTAGGTGACGTGCTCTCTGGAAGACAATTGCAGAGTGCTGATGCAAGCAGATGCTGTGTGGTATCTGGTACATGACCTCCATATTCACCAACATGTCCTCAAAGGCCATCCTCACCGCGCTACCACAACCCGTGACTCTCACGACCGTACAATTCGCATTTGTATCTGGATGGTGTCTGCTGCTTGCGGCCGCGGCGCGCAGATTTCCCCGCTTGAAGCAGACATTGCCCTTCCTGAAATACGGAATCCGCTCGCCATCAAAGGACCTCATAATGGCCACGCTACCTCTTACATGCTTTCAAATTGGCGGACACATTTTGAGTGCAGACGCAACGTCAAGGATACCTGTGTCGCTGGTACACACAATCAAAGGCCTGTCCCCGCTGCTCACGGTCGGAGCCTACAGCATCTTCCTCGGAATCACATACTCGCTGCCAACCTACCTGTCCCTGATCCCCCTCACGGTCGGCGTCATCCTCGCCTGCTCCGCAGACTTCAACGCCAACTTCATCGGCCTCCTGTCCGCCTTCGCCAGCGCAATCCTCTTCGTCGTGCAAAATATCGTGTCCAAGCAAATCTTCAACGACGCTGCCGCAGCCGAGAAGGACGGTCTCCCACCATCCCGTTTCACCAAACCCGACAAGTTGAACTTGTTATGCTACTCATCTGGTCTCGCCTTTCTCTTCACCCTCCCCCTCTGGCTCTGGTCCGAAGGCTTTACCCTCCTCGGCGACTTCCTGCACGACGCCTCCATCGAACTCTCCGACCGCCCGGGCTCCTTCGACCACGGCCGCTTACTCCTCGAATTCCTCTTCAACGGCACCTTCCACTTTGGCCAGAACATCGTCGCGTTCGTCCTGCTCTCCATGGTCTCCCCCGTCACGTACTCCGTCGCCAGCCTGATCAAGCGCGTCTTTGTCATCGTCTTCGCAGTCGTCTGGTTCGGCAAGCCCATCACCAAAGTCCAGGCTTTCGGCCTGTGCCTGACGTTCGTCGGCCTGTACCTGTATGATCGCACGAGCGATGCGAAGAGAGTGGATAAGCGGGCCAAGGCCATGCAGGCGAAGGGCCAGGGCACGCTTTTGCCGTTGGCTACGGATGTCAAGAGTCGCGCGGGGTTCATGGCCAGCCCGTCGAGTATGTCGGCGGGCACGGCGGCGCACCCGATTTCGAGCATTGCTGAGGCGCGAGATGAGAAGAGGGATGATGATGCGACTGGGTCGCGCAGACACGAGGCCGGGAATGGATATTTACCGCCCGGCACGAAAGCGGAAGAAACATGGCGGCCGCATGGGATGAATGGACGAACGGGCATTGGCGTTTCATAAAAACATCCTGGATAGAACATGTTCGCTCCCCCAGTTGTTTGTTGTACACGAATAAGAATTAACTATATTATCATGACAAGTCACAAAACAATATGCATAGAAGGTGTAAGTGTCATTGTATCAAACCACACAGCTCGCATGATTGTCATTACCGCTACCAAAAAATTCCAAAGGAAAATAAACCCCTTCGACCGCATGCAAGGAAAGCAACCTACAAAGCCTGAAGCTGGCCGTTTGATCACCTCAGCCCAGCAAGCCCCAGCGCCCGTGTACATGGAAAACAGAGACATGAAGCAGACGGTGTAAAAGAGGGTAAAAAGACCAAAGAGGACTTCCTGGACGCCGTATCATTCGCATGACTCGTGTAGCCCTTTGGTCAACTTGAACATAACGCATTTGTCACATTGTATGTCTTGCGGTCACGCTCCGTGTCGAGCTTGTCCGCCCTGCTGAACCCAGCCAGGTGTGCGTATGTACTGGTTCTTCAGCAGCATCCGTTCTTCTTTTGTCCCTCGTCTGCCGACTTGCTGATCTCGAGGACCTTGCGCTCGCCGCCGAGGACGTTCTGGCCGCCCTCGCCCTGGTCGAGGGCTTTGCTTGATACGATGCGGTAGATTTCTGTAGGTGAACGAGTTAGCATGCTTCTGCAACGTGGGTAGACACGGCGGGAGCGGAAGTGGCGGTGTGAGCGCATGTGTGTTCTGAACATGCAGACTACTACTTCAACATGCATGCGCAAGCCACTTTGCTTGGTGCCGCATCTTTCTCCTCTCCAAGCTTACCTGTGAGAATGTTCTGGAAAGCAAGCTCGACGTTGCTAGCGTCCAAGGCAGAGGTCTCGATGAAAGACAGGTTGTTCTCGCCTAGGAGCAAAATATGTCAGCGAATGCTTGCCGAGTTTGCTGTATCTTTCTGAGAGTGGGTTCACATACTTGCAAACTGCTTTGCCTCCTCTGTCGGCACTGCCCGCAGATGCCTCAAATCGCTCTTGTTACCGACCAGCATGATTACGATGTTCGAGTCGGCATGGTCGCGCAACTCCTTCAGCCACCTCGTGACGTTCTCGTATGTCTGGTGCTTGCTGATGTCGTAGACGAGCAGCGCTCCCACGGCGCCGCGGTAGTAAGCAGAGGTGATGGCGCGGTATCGCTCCTGGCCGGCCGTATCCCAGATCTGCGCTTTGATGGTCTTAGCGTCGACTTGGATCGAGCGAGTCGCAAACTCGACACCGATTGTCGACTTGGAGTCGAGGTTGAACTCGTTGCGGGTGAATCGGCTCAGCAGGTTGGATTTACCAACGCCAGAGTCTCCGATTAGGACGACTGCGGGGTGTTAGCGGGCGGCGCCTGTGAGAGACTGACAGCATGTACCCTTGAAGAGAAACTGTAGCGCAGAATGTCAGTATTGGGCACAGGCACACAAGTGTGGCACGCAGGACTCACGTCATATTCGTCGTTCGCCATGGTTGCGGTAGGCGGGGGAGGAGGGGCTGCGCAGTGGAGGGTGAGGCTCTTGGTGTGGCGAGGAGGGTGCGATGTCGTCTGGCTAGTTCGGAGCTCGCTGCTAGTAGGTAAAGCTCGCGGTAGTCCTTTGCTGTGGGAGGAGGTCTGATTTGGCTGCCTCAAGTGCACCGCACCTCCCCCGACAAAGCGACTCCAACGTGTCGCCAAGGCCGCTAGCTTGTTAGTGCGCCTTCCTCACCTATTCGCGCCCCATTCCGGGAGCTGTTTGCAACGCAGCTCTTCACACTCCGCGACTACGCCACACCTCTGTAATTCATATCCAGAACGACAGCCGCTTGCGAACAAAGGTGTCTCGTTCATGCGCGCGATCGGGTGTGCAGCGAATTAGTCACAGGCGGGGCAATGTTCTCGAAGCTCTGAACCAATCAGCGACGAGACCCTAACTACCAACACCTAGTGTCGACCATTTCCACAAAATGGTCGGGTCGGACCTGGAGTATGACACGGATAACATCTCGCTCACCTCGACCGTAGAAAGCCAACATGATCAGATTTACGACATTAAACGCATCCTTTCAGAAGGATGGGGCAAGGACGAGCAAGGCGAGGACGTGATGAAGTACCTCATTGAATGGGAAGGCTACCCTATGAAAGATTGCACATGGGAGCCAGAGTACAATCTCGAGGAGACAGGATTGCTAACCCCTTGGGCAAAACAAAAAGCGCGCATGGGTTCAAAGGCTTTCCAAAAGTTCACCGAGGACAACGAAGATGCGTTCGAAAAAGCATTTGAGAAACACAAGAGGCTCCATGCCACCAGGAAGCAAAAGCGCGCCAAGAAACGTAACAGACCCAGACGCAACAAGCGGGTCGTCGAAGACAGCAGCAGCGAAGACGATGTCACTGAAAGGCAGCAAAACCTGGCCGGTCAAGCCAAGTCCAAGTCATCAGAAGCAGTCCCCACCCACAATCAAGAAGTCTACAACAGTCTTTTTGTAGATAGCCAGGACTCAAACCCCCTTGGACAGCCACCCACTTTAGATCAACTCGAACGTGACTCTGCTGCTGAAGGCCCACCAGCGGCTCGTACACCATTCATAGAATCCTCGACAGACGATGGAGATGACACAGCATCAGACGACTCATCAGATTCTTTATTGGCTGAGTTGGCCTCAAAGGCGAAGGGCCAGACCCGTTCAAAGTCACGAGGCAAAAAGGCAACAGGTCTTGCCAGCCCGATACTGGCACCCACGCGTTCACGCCAAAAGGTCCCAAAACCTTCACCCCAGCCAGCAGCGCCAGCCGCAAATCAGCCAACAGTAGAAGCCGCAGTACAGAAGCCAGCTAAACCTGTAAGGACACTTACCGCACCGGTAGTTTCCAAGACATCAGATAGCACGGTAGTAAAACAAGTTGAGAGGCGTCCTAGTGAGTCCGCTATCCAAGTCTTGACAGCGACCACATCAACAGAAAACGTTACGTCAGCCCCAGATCGCTCTATTGGTACTGTTGGAGCAGCCTCAGCCCAGAATCCCACACCTGCAACCACACCCGCAACCACAACAGTCTCCACCGGTGCTCGTAAAGCACATGTCTCAGGAGTCCCACCGTCGTCGAGGAAGACTGGAACAGCTTCTAAGGCAGCTCCTCCGATCAAATTCACGAATCAAAAGCAGGAGCCACAGAGGAGTAAATGGGACACGAAGGGCGTACTGTATAACAAAGCCCATTTCAGGGCAAAGGCTGAACAACGGTCTCGTTACGAGGGCACACCTGATCCCACCGTCCTCGAGTTCGTTGGTTCCGGTCCTCCTAATCTGGTCAAACCGAAGCCATCGCGTCCAGTTGATGACCCTTACTCACGTCGTGAGACTGGGAATCGTCGCGTGGAGTCATCGGACGAAGATGAGTCTACTGGAAGAGGTGGTCATCAATATTTTGACCTCATGCACGACTGGGAAAAGGATAAACTCCCTCTAGTCTGTCCTGAATGGAGACTTAGCAGCAATTGCCCTTACACCGCCAGGATCTGCAAATATCTGCACCGCAACAAAGACGGCAATGGTCGTGACATTGAAGTCGCTAATATTGACGGGAAGCTACCGCCGAAGATGCGCATACCGCCAGTGACATGTTTCTACTGGATGACAGGACCGCGTGGATGTCGGAAAACTGATGCGGAATGCAAATATGCACACTACAACACGGGCTGGCTACCAATCGAAAATGACACTGCACCGATACGCATAGACCCTGACGAAAAACCCTTGAGTGAGCAGAGACAAGAAATTGCGCGCCCCAGTGCAGGCCGGATACCAAGCACTAATCGCAACACCGGACCGATCCCCACAGGGCCCAAAGAAGGACTACCGAGCGGGCAGAGACCAGTCGCTGGATGGAATGTAAAAAAGACCTGCTGGTACTGGGCTAATGGAGGCTGCGAGAAATCGGACGAATTGTGCAGCTTCCACCACTACGATACAGGCGTCGTTGCGGACTTGGGACGCAGACGTGAGTCTTCCAAATCTTCCTCGCCGTGCTATTACTTTCTCAGGGGGCTTTGCAAGTTTTCAGCGGAGCAATGCCGATTCTTACACACCGACCCTAATCATCCCAATACTGATCTCAGTACGTCCAATATCCGTTGCAATGTTGTCACCAACTGATCATATTTAGACGCCATTGCTACAACTACGCAAGAGCCCAGGCAGCACTTCACAGCTGGCCACGCGTCACGCATGCATCACGATGAAGCAGTAGATACTCATATGCATGATACCGATGAGCAGCCATCCGCGCCTTTACGTCGGCCAACGGTTGATGAACAAAACCAGTCTCCGTCCGCGCTGTCACCACTTTCCACTGTAAGCAATAGGCTGCGCACATTCAAGGCACCTACGACTCCACCTCGTACAGTCCCTACAAGTTTGGAGATGAAACTCAAGATTGAAAAGGTGCTGAAGACAGATTTTTCGCATATGTTCCAATGGAGCCAGGACGAGGGAGAGAAAAGTATGCTCGATCGCAAGGCGTTCCTTCTATACCATCCTGTCGATAACCAGGAGGAACTTGAGCTCATGACTCGCTGGCTTATGCTACATCATGTAGAAGTGCGCAACGCTTATTTTGAAGGTGCCTGGAGGCAGTACGCGCGCGAACACGTTGAGCAAAAGTCCAGCTCCGGTATCTTGGTTGTGAGTCTACAAGCTGGACAAGCAAATTATTACGTACTGACGAGCACCTCAGGTACATCCGGATTTCGAATCTTTTTCGGAGCTGAAGGATTTTGGTAAAGTACTGCGAAACCAGGTCCGCGTATGGTCGGTTGGAAGGCAGGAAGGCATTGAGTATGATCCTGCTACATCGCTCCCTCCGCCTGAGAAATGCCAAGAGTGTATAGAGTTGTTTCCAGCTGGGGGCTTTATCTACATCACCGATGATGTTTTCGAGGTCCGGCCTCGTCAGGCCTTGGAGATTGTCAAGCTGTTCATTGCGAAGATCGAGAGTTTGCGCGATCCCGAGTATGCCCAAAACCCATGGCAAGAGGTCGACAACATCAATCTGCACTGGCGTATCTGCGTGCGTCCAGAGCTCATGGAATACCTCTTCGCAAAGTGTGAAGAGCAGGCGAAGGCACTGGAAGCCGGCGAATCAGACGCGATGGCTCGAGCTGAGCTCTACACACTTCTCAGTGACACCGAGTACATTGAGCAAGACTCGCCCGTCCTGCCACTGAGTCAAAAAGCCGACAAGTTTCCCATCATGTCGGAACGTCGCGTCGTTGCTAAGAACGAGCCTATCGATTACTTCAACTCGCTCGCTCGCAGCCATGAGAAGGCTAATTTGCGCATGATCCGCTACTATACGGCTCTACACATGGACCTTCGCCGCGACTATCGTCATTTCTACATTGTTCATACTGACCCATTCTCTACTCCTGCAAAACAATGGCTGCGGGAATGCTCCACCATTACCGACGTTATAAACCCCGAGAGGTGCATACTGGAACTTTCAAAGGACGGGCATGACGGCGAGGAACGATGCTTTGACTTCTATGAGAAGTACTTGATGCCGACAAAAGACGAGACTGTACCTCTAACGCAGGTCAAACAGGTGACCCTCATCCAGGAGGAGGATGTAATGGAAAGCCAGTCATCGCTGGAAAGTGGCGAGATATGTTCATCTTGACGAGACCATCAGGATCTCTCAGCAGAGTCAAGAGATTGTGAGGCTTCATCACTATTCACTACAGGACAAAACAGCCCGAAAGAAGCAGCAACATGCTCGGATTAAAGTTAAAGGCGGCGTTGAACACTTTGCAGTATACCCAATGCATTCAGATAGCTTCATGCATCCGCTTCCCTTAAGAACAAACAAAAAGTACAAATCATGTCTACAGTAAGGACTCCAACACCTTTATCCAGCTCAACATTCTCAATCGAACCCCTATTTGTCTTTGACGTTCCCCATCCGCTCCGCCCTCCACAATTCTACCGCAGAAGATACGAAGCGCCCCGACATTGACCCGCTTTTGCGGCATGTCTAGCCGGCACATGGGGGACATGACGCATGCGGCTGATCGGTGACAAGCCGCATCTGACAGCGGCGAGCGCGATGCGATAACAATTGCGGTCTATCCAGGCGATTGGGTAAAGGGCGCATAGCTTATCATAGGGGCTTGCGGGTTTGATGGGTGTTGCGGCGTTGCGCGAACGATAGCAAGGTTGCAGCGTGGCTTCGGATCTAGACTGTTTTCCCCGCAGCGTTGGGATAGACACGCGACTTACCTTGGACTTTTCTCGCGTGCGGGTTTCTTGGGACTTAAGATCTTTTGCTTGTTCCTGGTCTTGTGTTACCACCTGCATCTACCTTGCTGCACGCAAACCACTCGCGCGGCGTCGCAACATCCACATTGAGAAGAGTCGGCTTCCACGCTCGAGGTTGCACAGGTTCTCTCCCGACACCATCCGCCAACATGATGAAAAGAAGAAGCAACTCCATCACCGGCAGCATGTCAGGCCCCAGACGAGGTTCAACGACCGACCCCAGCGCCGACGCCGCGCTCGCAAAGATGGGCTACCAATCCGAACTCCCTCGCAACCTGAGCATGATGAGCGTCCTCGGGCTGTCGTTCGCCATCATGGCCGTGCCATTCGGTCTCTCAACCACGCTGTATATCACGCTTACCGACGGCCAATCCGTCACCGTGCTCTACGGCTGGGTCCTCGTCTCGCTGATTTCGCTGTGTATCGCTGCGTCACTCGCGGAAATCTGCGCCGTGTATCCGACTGCTGGTGGTGTGTATTATTGGTCTGCGATGCTGAGTACGCGCGAATGGGCGCCGATTACGTCCTGGATTACTGGATGGCTGACGCTCGTGGGGAATTGGACTGTCACGCTATCGATCAATTTCTCGGGCGGGCAACTCATCTTGTCAGCGATTACGCTGTGGGATGAGGACTTTGTGCCGAATCAATGGCAGACGGTATTGATGTTCTGGGCTGTCATGTCGGTTTGCATGCTCACGAATATTTTCGGCGCAAAGTACTTGGATCTCATTAACAAGATTTGCATTTACTGGACGGCGAGTAGTGTGGTTATCATCCTTGTGGTGTTGTTGAGCATGGCGGACACGAAGCGCGATGCGAAGTTTGTGTTTACGCACTATGATGCTAGCCAGAGTGGATGGTGAGTGCTGAACTGTAATTCTGGTGAGGACAGAAGTGCTAATACCTTTAGGCCATCTGGATGGGCGTTCTTTGTCGGGCTACTCCAGGCTGCTTACACACTCACCGGGTACGGAATGGTCGCTGCCATGTGTGAAGAAGTCGCGTACCCAGAGCGCGAGGTTCCCAAAGCGATTGTGCTTTCGGTCGCGGCAGCTGGTGTCACTGGTGTCATCTACCTGATCCCAATCCTGTTTGTTCTGCCAGATGTGCAGCTTCTCCTCGACGTCGCGAATGGACAGCCCATCGGACTGCTCTTCAAGACCGTGACTGGATCTGCCGGCGGAGGATTCGGACTTCTATTCCTGATTCTTGGGATTCTCTTCTTCGCTGGTACTGGTGCGCTCACAGCAGCTTCACGATGCACGTATGCTTTCGCTCGAGACGGCGCTATTCCTGGATCAAGGCTATGGGCCAAAGTCGACAAGCGCTTCGACATCCCTCTTGGTGCACTTCTGCTGTCGACAGCCGTTGACTGCCTCCTCGGACTCATCTACTTTGGCTCGTCCGCTGCGTTCAACTCCTTCACAGGTGTCGCCACCATCTGTCTTTCCGCATCGTACGGCATGCCAATCCTCATCTCCGTCATCAGAGGTCGTCACGCCGTCAAGAATTCGTCCTATTCTCTGGGACGATTCGGATATGCCATTAATGTTGCGATGATTGTCTGGATTTGTCTCGCAATTGTGCTATTTTGCATGCCTGTCAGCTTGCCTGTCGAGCCTGCGACAATGAATTACGCAAGTGTGGTCTTTGCTGGGTTTGCTACCATTAGTGTTGTATGGTACTTCATCGGTGGCAAACACTTCACTGGCCCACCGGTGCCTCAGGATGTTGCGCCAGGTGAGGAGGTTCCTGTTACCGGAATTGCAGTGCATGATAGCCGAGAAGGTGGCGTGGTTGATGACTTGAGCAAACAGAAATATTAGGTAGCTAGCCGCAGTACATGAGAACAATTAAGAAGTTATTAGCAGAACATACGTTTCAATTTAACAGATTGCACATGTGACAGCAGGTAAACGTAGTTGTCTCCCGTGTCCAAATTGACTGGCATAGAACCTGCTGAAGTGAGTAAGAGTTCAAGATGAGTGGGAGGGAAATAGGAGGTAAGTGAGACGCGAGTGGGAGGTGAGACTGTTTCTGCGCTAGGTGCTGGCAAATAGTCAAGAAATCGCGCTAGTTCAGCTGCAGTTGCCCCAAATGACGCACGGTCGCAAACCACTTAACGCGACATTCACCTTCACTCTGCACGTCTAAATGGACGCGACATTTTGGCTGGACAACGGTGATGTTGCTGGGGTAAGTTGATTTATTATTCTTCTCTCCTCCTCTACATATCAACATTTGAACGAAGACGCACTGCTTCAAACTTCACACATATAATCGCGACCAGCTCTAACATGCGCAGCATTTGGGGCAAGGGTATTGTGGACCTGACCCTAGATTCAGACGATGAAGAGGAAAGAATCCTGTCGTTCCCTGCGCTGCCCAACCCTCCGAGAACGACGGTGCCTCCACCTAGTTCAAGTAGACCCTCTCTCGATTCAACACCGAAAGTACCACCTGCTCCCCCACGCGTACCCGTCCCCGCAACAACACTTCGAAACCCTCCCGCGTATTCGAGCGCACCAAAACAACAAAACCAAAGCCTCACGAATCCCACAAGCTCTGGCCACATGCCAAACGCCACGGGTGTTACCACAAGCGCAATTCTAAACGCGCATGTGCCCCTTCACACGGACACGCATGATGGCTCGTACGAGGCTGATGCGATGGATCGCCCGCCAAAGAAGAGGAAGACAACAACACCAGGAGGGCAGATGCACATCCATGGCCCTCCAGCTCAGAATACGCATCGCCAAACCCACGCCATTCCAGCAACAAGCAACTGTCCACAACCCAGGCCCACGCCGAGTCGACAGGCAGACCAGGGCATGTCATCGAACATGACGAATAAAAATCCATCCGTGCAGTACATGAATGCAGCTCTGAAGTCAAATGGTACAACTACGTCCTTACTAGACAAAGTGGAAGCAACCGGACCAAGACCCGTACAGATTGGGCGCGTGTCCAATGTAGGCAGCTTCGACACGCCCAGGTCGATTTCGTCTTCAGCAAACGAAGCTGCGCGTCGCAATTCAGTGCAGATACCACATAACAAGGCACAAGCATCGCAACATATCGAGGACAACAACGTCAGCGCTGAAAGAGGCCCGCGTGCTCAGATTGCGTCAAAGCTTCAAGCACAACCCAAGCTTCCTTCGCAAACTCCATTGAACCGCACTCCAGCTTCTAGGGCTCAGCCACCCAAAAGCGGAGACTTTTCCGGTGCAATGGCTGTCGAAGCCGACAGTGACAGTCCGATGTCCGACGCGGTGGTCTCGGGCGGCCCGGCAGAGTCGCGAACCACTGCAAAGAACATTGCGGCTGTCCAGAAACCCTCGTCTGGTTCCTCAGGTACATCTGCTCCCCCAAAAACTGGACGCGCGAAGAACACCAGTCAGCTTTCGGAAGAGGAAGAGCACCTCTTGATATTCTTAAAAGAGGTCAAGAAGTTCTCATGGAAAGTCATCACGGCCGAATTTCAGAAACATTACCCTGGACGCCCATACCATACTCTCCAATCCAAATACACGACAAAGACGAATCGGAGAGACAGATCTCAGGACCCTGCAGTTCTGAAATTGCCGGCACAATGGGCGGGAGAAGCAGCTATAGACTGGGCATCCGCGTACGCGGATAATCCTGGCCCACGGGATCATCTCCCAGCAGCAGACCTGCATCCCGCTGCACCAAGACCAGCTCCTGCGCGTGAAATCATTGAGCATGACTACTCGTCAGGGACGGATTCTAGTACCCGTCAAGCACGCCCACGCCGCGCGCCCCCAATCAACTACGATGTTCGGATGCGCATGAGACAACAAAGATTTGGGACGGTCCAATTTGGTATAGACGAGGATCTTGCTCGTAATTCAGCAGAAGTAGACATACCGATGCGATCAGCATCCCCTTCTGAAGAGCGGATAGTCTTACCCGAAGCCCACGTGGTCATCAACACACCTCTGGATATGGATTTCGACACAAACGACGCCGCCATCGCGCTAATCGCAGATAACAAGGGGCTTCGCAACGCCAAGTCTACGAAGCTACCTTACCTCGACAGTTCACAGCGTACTCTACTCCAAAATTCACCTGAAGACTGGGAGTGGGAGCAGTCGGCAAGTCGTGGCTGGCAAGGGATGCTCCTTCACGTGGACTTCAGCACAGTAGAAGTGGCTCATGTTGAGCGAGCAGTTGCCAAAGTCTCCACCTTCCCCCAAAGGCGCACACATAGTACACAACGACGTCAACTCCGTACGATGCTGAAAGACGTGACAGACTCGAAGCTCCAACGGCTCATACATACTCTCAAGCAGCGTCTACCCGCTCGTGACTCTCTTGGGATCGCGTCATTCTTGAACGATGCGCGTGGGGGTCGCGTGGCAGAAGCACCACAGATCCTTCGACTCGGTGCAACCCGCCCACCCAAATCCAAGAAGGCTGTGCATACTGAAACTACGTCTTCGATGCTACGTGAGCGGGAGCTGGGCATTGGATCGAGGAGAGGGTGGCAAGCAGCTTCGAAACCCGTGACTTACCAGGACAAGAACAAAATCACGGATACCTTGGGACCCCTAGCTACGTGGACCGGTGCGTCCAGCGATATACACACTGTCGCTTGGTCTCGAGACGGGGAGCGCTTCGCCGCAGGTGCTGTTGCAGTCACAGACGTCGATTCAATGCAGTACAATCGGCCCAACAATCTCCTCTTCGGAAACCTATCGGATGCAACTATTCATGAGCTTGCTGGGCATACCATAGAACGCGAGAGAACACAATCAGGCGCCAACTCAAGCCATGCTATGTTTGTTTCGCAGGATCCAAACCTCTACACCACAGTGACTGCAGTCGCATTTGCGGAGAGCGGGAAGCTCATGTACTCCGCTGGCTATGACCGGTCTGTCTGCGTCTGGGGCCTGGACCCGGCGTATTTGCAGCCATATCTAGCTACAAAGTTCACACAAAAAGCTGAGGTTGAAATGTTGGTTGTCAATCGTAAGCATGCTGGCATACTGGCCACTGCAGCGAAAAGGACCTCTGGCGCTGCAGTGAAACTGGTCACATTGGACGAAGATGAACCCTGGGAATGCGGCAAGATCAACTTCAATTCCGCCAAGGCTGAATCGCGTTCCGATTTGCGCATTCTTCCCCAGGCACTCCAATTCGAGCCTAGATACGGTAATTATCTACTTGCTGGCTTTGGGGCGAATGTTCGAGAAGACGATGCTTTCGATACCAATGGCGATCTTTGTCTTTGGGATATAGAGTCACAAGTCCAAATACCGATCCATGGCTCTGGCAGGAATGTGTTCGATATCACGTTCAATCCGAATCGAAGGTACATGCCTTTATTCGCTGCCGGCTGCGTGGCAGGAAGCAACGTGAACAGAGGTACACGATCAGTAATTCGCCTCTACGAAGAGAGATTGTCAGACAGGTATTCTTGTCCGTTGGAGATCGAGTGCAAGGCCCTGGATATGAATGACGTCGTCTGGTCGCCACAGGACGAGCACCTGATTGCGGCCGGCTGCACCGATGGTCGCGTCTATGTTTGGGACCTGCGAAACTCGGATAGTCCCCTCAAAGTCCTGTCGCATGGACGTTCGCTCATGCCCCTGCAAGATGGCTTACCTCATGAGCGTACAGACACCGGTGTTCGGTTTTTGTCCTGGGGCGAGAACTCGACGCGACTGTACAGCGGGTCCTCAGATGGTGTCGTGAAGGCGTGGGACGTCACTCGCTCCGATGATCACACGTTTGTGAAGGATATTGTCACCTTCAACTCTGGTATCATGGCCGGTGCTTTCAGTCCTGACTACAGCAAGCTGGTCCTAGGCGAAGTGAACGGATCTGTCAACGTTTTGGATGTCGGCAGAGATGACTGCGAAGCGAAGGATATGGAAAGGCTACGTTATATTCCCTACGAAGGCGTCGATTGTGACTACGACTCAATCACCGGCGAAGTCATCGACAGGCCTCCCAAAATTGAGTCTGGGGTTGATGAGGGCAACGATCTTCTCACAAGTCAGCAACTACAACTTGCGCCGATGGGCAATCTGCCTGTCACGCAAGTTGTCCAAGGGCCGAACTATGCCGGACCGTTTGATGAAGGTATTGACGCGCCATACCTCCGTGAACAAGCCCTTGAGTTCCAGCTGAGCATGGTGGCACGCCCTGGGCCACAATGTGATATTCCAATGTGCAGGGACAACATGGTCAAGATGACGTGCGAAGAAATTGGCGATTCTGGACGAAGCGTAGATCGCATACCAGATGAGCTTCGACGACAGTGGGCAGCAATCGACGCTACGACTCGCATTATGCCTGGCAAGTCTAAGTGCACACACTGCGGTCGGCCAGCCCGGCATTCCCCAGCCAACGATGACACTGAGGAAGCGGTCTTGTGCGAGCGCTGTTCCTTCGAGTGCTTCCGCTGCCACGCCGTCAATCCTGTCGCACCCGCCACCACAACGCTCATTTGCGACTCTTGTGCTGGTGTCTGGGAGATTGGCGCATTAGGTTACGAGTGCGTAGAACAGCCTGCGAGGACTGCAGTCAAGTTGAATGTCCCTTCACTGAGGCGCTTTGGGAGACACGTGCTCGAAGATATGCTGGATGAGCAGAATACGACTCATGCGGATGACGAAATGAATGCGCTCACGGACTACTACTTTTCGTTAGCTATTGATCGGCCGGAGAGTCCACCGCTTTGAGTTTTTGGGGGACAGGAGCTCAAGGAAGAACAGTCCAGCTGAACAGGGATTTATGGCATGGAAAAGGAGTTAGAGAACACAATATCGCGTCAACGCAAAGCATCTGCATGGCGCGGGAGGAAGATCTGAGGCTTTGGCGCCTATGACTCTGAGTTAACGCGTCTATACCCATCTGGCTTTATTATCAATGATATCATACATACTCAACAGCGCCGTAATTGAAGCAGTATCGTCTCGCTCATCTCTAGAACTATTTAATTAACATCCATATAGCCGAAGCACCAAGCCCTACAAGCAGAACCACACCTCCAATAGCAGCGGCACCATACCCCAGTATTTTCAGGCCTAGCCCCACACTCTTCACCATGCCGACCAAAAAGCTCGATAACAACAGGCACCAGGTAATAAGGCAGCACACCAGGAACCCAACGCCGATCGAAGGATAAATCCAACGGCGAAACGTGAGATCAGTCTTCGATTTGAGTATCTGCTCGTTTAAGCGAGCGTACACATTCAGTAAACCGATGATTATGAGCACAAGAGTACCAATCAGGATGATCACTCCACAGAAGTCGTAAAATATCAAGTGAAGATCCACGAGGCGGGTCTGCATACTGAGAAGACCCGTTGCGAGTGACAGCGGCAGGAAAATGCTCGCCAATAGACCGAGGATCCAGACACCCTGAGATTCTTTGAAGCTACGTAGCAGCTGAAATAGCTCGATGTGTTGGCCCAGTCTATTACAGAGTCGGTTTGATGTCTTTGTCAAGTCCGAGCAGATAGCACGGGTATCGGCAGCAAGGTAGTCAAAGCTGGTTTGCGACGGGCTTCTGAAGTTGATACTGAGAAGCTCGAGCAAAGTCAAGCTAGCGGAGCTGAGGTCCGATACGCAACCCTGGAGTTCTTCATAAAAGTAGGCGTCTCTCACGATGTCTTGAGTCGAGGATATGCTTATCGTGGTACGGCGAGGATCTGTTACTGTCTCGCGAAAAATGGTACGAAATTGCTGGTAATCATCGACAAACTCTGACAATTGAGCAAGACTGACTCGGCAGAAGCTCATGAGCACCAGCTGTATCAGAACTTCACACGTATATGTGCCTTTCCAGAGCTCCTTGAAAGGTTCAGCTGTGATTTCGCTCTTCAGAGAATCACAGAAATGTGTGAGGCGTAGATGAATGTCTGCCTGTTTGGGACGATAACGAGCGCCCAGATCTGCCTTGGCCGAATCGTTCGGGAAGATTCGGTCCAGGACGGTAGTCTCAGTTAATACTGTTATGAAGACTGAAGATGGTCAGAACATGTATGAGTAGAGTGTCGTCGCACGCCTTACCTGAAAAGCAGCCTCGGTCATCTTTGGCAACACAGATTGACTTGGAAAAGCGCATTAAACTGGCTAAGAACCACAACGATATATCGGAAAGACTCTTATCAAAGTTCGTCGTTCCAAAGGACGTCCCATAGGACATTGAACGCCAGGGTACCAACCTAGACTGTGAATTCCATTGGCACCTCAGCCTTGTGAAAGAAGGCAAGCCCGAAAAGCGGTAGTGGTTTGTAGCCGATTCTTCTTTCAGTATACCAAGAACTTCCTTGTTCAATTCCATTCCATCTTCAGTGTCCTCACCGATATAGAATCTGAAACTCCCTGTCTCTTGGGTTGGGAGCGCTCGAAGCTCTGTTTTCAGTTGTTCGCTAGACCTGTGCTGGCCACCTGTCTCCATCAAATATTTAGTCTCTGCTTTGCCAATATGACTGAAGTCGAACACGCTTAGAAAAGGTGTCTGGTTCTGCGAAATATGTGATATACGCCGCCATCCGCCGTTGTCCGTAAAGACGTCGCCCAATGTGCGCATGTGCATGCCGAAGATGAGGCTAACGATGTATCCTGCCATGGACGCGGGAAGGATGGATCAAGAGATGTATGTTGATGGACGAACTATAGTTGAAGTGGTTGACGTGTTTTGATTTCAGCCGCAGCGACTCATTACGTCGTCGAGGCTGAGACCCATGCACAAAACGCCAATCGCTTGATGCACGTCAGCAATCCACGTTAGGTCCTTCGAGGTTACCTGAAATGTTACAGCCCCGCCACAGCCATCACACAGCAAGAGCAGTCAAAACTAATGGCCTGTGCAACCCGTATTTGCTGAGATTTGTGGTTGACAGATTCCTAGGTTAGTGATGCCATCTACCAAAGACTCATCATAAACACGTACGGCAAGCACGCCCAAGTCAATTGAAATGAAATAAAAAGTATGCCATCGCAGAAATCCGAGCCATCTCTTCTTACAAAAGATGTAGTGGTGGGTCTACAAGCGTGCTATGGTTTAAGTTTGCACTTTCATCGTTGGGTGATTAGCCATCCTTGGCCAAGTCCTGTCTGTTGATCAGACAAGACACACTCTCAGGTTGTAGAAGAATCGAGGAGAAGCTGATATAGCTAGACTACGACAGTAGTTTAAGATAAGAAGAAAATGATTAGAAAAAGCCACACGCAAGCGAGGAATTCATTCTGCAGGTAACTTTCTGAAGCTTCTAAATCTCGCTTTATCTGCAACGTGAGAGGCACGTCAATAAGCCTCAATGGATCCTTCCTCTCAGCCTCACTATGTAGACCACAGCGAGCGCAGTCAAAGCTATTGTAGTTGCGCGACATCGAGCGACTTGAAATCATAAATGGGCTTCATCCAGTTTAATTAGAATGGAATAGGACCCAGCGATGGTAGCAACATCCTTTTGCACCATGGCTAGCAACCGGGTAACTAGGTAGTCTTTCAGGAGTCACAAAGCGTGTTATAGCCGATGTTCGCACTCTCTGCGTTGCATGCATAACTACCCTCATCCACTATGACTATGCATTTACGAAACCATACACACTGTACAACGACGCCTTTAATACTTTTATTCACTAAATATGTCTAAGCCGCATGGTTGAAATTCACATCTAAAGCAACAGTTTCCCAGAGCAATTCGCCATCACGCCACCATCTCCAGATCTCGCCTCACCTCACCTCAAGACGACTTCCCCAGTGTACACATGAATCTAGAACACGACATGACGGGGAAATATATACCAGCAAGTTTCCCCGTGGCGTTCTCGGTATCCCAATAAAATTATACACTGAACGTTTTACTCCAACACATCACCAAACATAGATCCACCAAATCTCTCCAACAACATGAAGTTCTCCCTACCACACCCTCACGTCCACGCAAAGGCACATCTGCGCAGTTGGATGACGACTGTTGTCGACGCATACTCGCGAATGTATGGACTGTATTGAGAAAAAAAATCTGCGGGTAAGTAATAACTTCATAGCATTGTCGATGCAAACGTGTGGATGCTAAATTCATGCCTCAGAACCCACTATGAATCACGAAAGATATGAGGCGTTTGGTTGGAACGATTGCTATGGTAGTCAGAAGGAAGCGGACTTTAAAAAATACTTCCAACTACTTTTGCAGCTTTGCAAAACTCGTCGTAAATCTTCTTTACTTAATTTTACTTGAACATGTGCATAATACATCAAGACTACTTCTATCGCCCACCACGCAATATTGTTCCCATCAGATCACCTGAAAACTCCAATCACTTGTTTTCATCTATTTCCCAACATGCGCTTTACACATGCGCGTGCTCTTCTTCAAGAATTTATCCGGCCCCAATACTCTGGTGTTGCATCTCCTCTCGCCATCACATCACCCCACCGTCTCCAGACCCCATCGTCACGCCACTCCCCAGCATCAAAGCACACGTACATAAAAATGTGCATCTGCGTCACGGCTTGAAGTCCCCAAACACACATCTCCACATACCCTTCAAACACTCAAGTTGCATATCACACGCTCCAAACACATTTACCTGCTCGACATCTGCGCATCACACGATGATGAAATTCCACCTCCCCCACCCGCACACGCACATGCACGCGAAGACACATCTACGGAAATGGATGTTTGACATGATCGAGGTGTACGGGCGTATGGGTTGAGAAAATTGCCAAAAAAAAAACATAAAGCAAGTAAGTGAGTGAGTTGACTCGCCACGAGTCCCGTGAAGTATGTATGCTGAGACTATACTTCGCCAGCTGTGTACGATTAGTACTGGCGAGGCGTTAAGGCATACACGTACTGCAGATTCTCACCTACGACGGAAAGCGACCAGGACGCACCCGCAGGCCGCCCATCCATCCATCCATCCAACAGCCTGAAGCCATACACACTGTCGCTAGGCTTCGACTACGACAGCAATGTCCTGTGTATATCTTCAGGCAAGCACTCTGGCCACTTTTCCATCGCAAGTGATGACACGGAGTATATTGGTTTTGGTCTATACCCCCCCCCCTCTTACTATGGAACAAATATGTATATGAAATCTCCATTCCACCACAATATATCGTGATAGCGCCATGGTTGTCCATCTGCCCATGACTACCGACTCACAAAAGCAGCTCCACACCTCCCATGACATCTGCCCATCGCATTCACCCCAACGCATACATACCCCACATACCCATCTCTACACCGCACATCTACACTCGTTCATGCCTTCCACCCCACCATCTTGCTACCCCTCGACCCGTTCGAAACGCCAAAACCGCTATGCATGAAGTCTTGTGAAACGCGGGGGCGGTGCGGTCTGTGTCAGCATTCCAGTGCGGGCAAGCGAGTTGTGTGGCACATATCTGAATGCGGTCAGCGGAGCGGGAGCGGCTGGTCGTGTGGTGTGGTGTGGTGGGGAGGAATGTGTACATGTCACGTGAGATATATGAGATGAGATAAGCGGACGGGATGTGAAACGCGGGGATTTGGATTGTATTGCAAGCCTTGCATGTGTCATCTCCAGGAACGTCCTCAGCAGGTCATAGTGTGAGATTCAATATATCGACAGCTGCATATAGTTCTGATATTCACGGCAAGTCGGTGAGCTCATGTATCACGTGGAAAGTTGCCTTTGATTCGTCGGACAGCGGCGCGTTGCCCGGGCGGTCGACTACGATGGTGTAGACGTCGGCTTGGGTCGCGGCTTCGGCTTCTATGGGGGTAATACAGTCAGCAATGAGATATGTTGAGATGAATGATTGTCGAGACGATGAGGCGTAAGCTCGTGGTTGAGAGAGCAAATTTGAGGACCATCCATCATGTGGAAAGTGCCGCGTCAAAGGGAAGGCGTGACGTGAAGGAAAGTTTGGTGGGGTATTGGATGTCGGGATGTGGTGGTGTGGAGGTGTGGTCGGCCAGGCTAATAGCGCGCTGACGTGTAGGGATGCGAGAGGGTGTCGTGTTTCACCTGAACACCGACCCAGTGGATACTTAGATTCCAACATACCTTTGACATTGTCCGTGAAGAAGGTAACTTTGGTTACGTCGTGGTTGAGCTCCCGACAGATCTTCTCGTATGACGCCTTTTCAAGCTTCGGGCCTGCATTGACCGTATCATAATGGGCGGAGAAGAGGTGCTTGATGTCCTTTGGTTGATTGGCCGTCACGAACATAATGAGAAAGAACTGGAGCTGCGCCTGCACACATCCCCGATGAGAAGATGGCTAGGGTCTTGCCGGCAGCCTTCCATGCTTCCAAAGTGGGAACAACATCCTCAAACAGAGGTGTCTTCAAGTCACCATTACGGAACCCTGTTGTCCAAAGATGGCCTGCTAAAGTGTTAGTCAAAGTATGCTAGTTGCAATAGTGGATATGAGCGAGGTGCAGCTGATAAGACAGTGGAGCACAGATAGCTGGTGATGCCAGTACTGTGGACACGTTGCGCAGCTCCAGTAGACGGCCATGGTGCTATCAGTCGGCAAGGGGCAGATAGCGAAGGCGACTATCACCATCTCGACGTTGGTTCAGGTGGTCATGATCATCGAGTGACCTATTGACGATCCACGCTAATGACTTAGGGCAGCGCGCTGTCGGCGGATCCGGCGCTCAGCGCTGGCGCGATCCCTGAGCCAGAGAAGTGGTGCGACAAGAGACAGGCAGAGGAATGCCAGCCGGCCTAGAAGATGGAAGGATGAACTTTGGAACCTACCTTGGAGCTGCTTGAGATAGACGGCCTTGATGTCCCGTTGGGTCAAGTCCTGGACGTGGGCGATCAGAGCATCGGCATCTTGCCTGGTGTTCTCTGGGAACCCCGCAATGAGGTGCTGGAAGTCGGCATCTGCCCAGGAGTTGCGTGCTAGCTGAGCGAGGCTATCAAGAGCGTACGGATACTGCGGCTATGGTGAGCTGCGGGTGTCAGAATTGGGATGGCTGTCCCCAGCGATGGATCGCGTGACGGATGGTGTGAGCCTGAAGATCTTCAAGGAAGCCACAACCGACGTCAGGAAAGGAACAAATCTAGATGACACAAGAAGATGTGAGTGGCTTGAAGGGAGCGCGGAGTGTCACGATGACAAGACGTGGGGACACGGGGTGGG